TCTATAACGGTAGAACGGTTTACCAACGAGGAAGATCAAAAGTGAAGTAGCCATGACCGTTGTGAGTATGATACCAGCCACACCCCAACCAATACGGTCTTCGATATAGACGATAGCGGTCACAGCGGTTAACACACCAGCGCATAGACCGGCACTCCACCAGTTAAAGTAAGACATCTTCATCTTTCGTTCTTCGGGATGGCCATCCTCGAATTGATCGGCTCCAAAGCTCTCAAGGGCTGGCTTGTGACCACCGGTTCCTATGGAGATCAAGTAGATTGCGATGAAGAAGGCTATTTCGTGTGCTTTTCTTGGCTCAACACACATTTCTTCATGGCAAGCTTTCAATCCCGGTATAAACCAAGACAGTGTTAAGAGGATCAAACCCTGTCAAATTAAAAAATCAATCAAAGATAAGAAACAAGAGAAACAAACCATCAAGTTTTGTCTAATCTCAAAACTTTACGTTGTGCATAGAGGTATGATGTTAACAGAACCGGTTTTGAGAGAGTGTAAAATGTGCTACGTACTGCACCAAGACCGACAACAAAATAACAAAAAGAAAGAAAAAATTATAAATAAGGTATATAATTAGAACGTGGCCGTCTCAAAATATTCAAAAAAATTGTGATTTTTAGAAAAACTTTAATTTTTTTTTAAATGAGGATCAAAATTAAAAGCGGGGTTCTCTTCGAAGGCATCTGTCGCACATGCTAAAAGAGGTCTTGATTTTATTTTTCCTCTTTTTTTTGCAACAAATGGTCTTCATTTACAATATCTAACAATTCATAACATTTTGGGGGTATTATTGAATCGGTTTTGAGAGTATATATGCAAGAGGCGTGCTACTACACAACCCCCCAACAGTAAAATAACTGAAAAAATGTATATAAATAAGAACATGGTACGTAATTTTCTCGAGTAGAAGTTATTACCATAAGGTAAATGACGGTTGCAAGTAGAACAGTTGCATAACGACCGAGATAAGCATCGGCGACAAAGCCTCCAAGAAGAGGCATCAAAGTAGTAACACCAGACCAGTAGTTTGCATTTCTTACAGCCATCTTTAGATCTTGGTGAAGAATGGTCGTTAAGTAGACCACTAAGCTCGTAGCGATCCCAAAGTAACTTAGCCTCTCACTGAATTCGATTGCTGTTCACATATATCAAGCCATATATAAGATCATAATGTAAAGATAGTTCCACAACGATATAATACTATACCAAGAATCTCATTAATTACAAAGTTTGATATACATACCGATGATGAAGAGTGCAGCTCTCCAAGCTCCGGTTCTAGCTCGAACCGGAATCTCTCCTCTACTATCGAGAGAAGAATCAAGAACCCATTTTTGTTGATCATCGTATGAATCTTGAAGCTCTTTATCAATCTTGTTGTGCTCCATAATTTTTTTGTGTGTTAATGATTAGGAAAGAGAGAGAGTGAGGGAGAGAGTGTTGTAGATGAGTGAATGTGTTTGTGGAGAAGCAAGCTTGGTCCTCTTTATAATGGATAACATTCGCTATGTTGACTCTTCTTGTTTAGTGCTTCAAGATTCTCTCAAAGGAATTTACCACACACTAAAAAGACACGTTAGGTTGACAAATAGAAGCCACGTAAGAACTTAACTACTATTGCGATTTAATTTGATAAATATGTATAAAAAGCTAAAATTTAATATCATCCTACCTTCCATATTACGATTATATCTTTAGCTTTTAGTGTAAAGTTTACACGATAGTACATGGAAGAAAATGATCGTGAAGTTTTGATTACGCTCAGATAAGTACAAATCTTGGTGTGATATGGTATTCATATTTTTTCAATCGGTCACTTTCAGATTTTAACTTGTGTGGTTTTGTGGACCAAAAGATCTCGGGTTTGATAAATAATAACTGTAGCTTTACGTATTTGCTGTAGAAATATATGGTTGTAGGTTTTTTTGTTATAGCTGTAAATTTTGTTTCTTTAAAATTTTGACTGTAGAATTGTAATATTTGGAAAACATAAAATTTGGTGTTTTGAAAAACAATGTTTTTAATAGTTAATAAAATAAAAAAAGAAATATTTTGACTGTAAACAAATAAAAGAAAGATAAAGTTTATAAAATATTATTAATATAATTTAGAGTTTTAAACATAAATATTGTTGTGTACAGCATTTATAGTATTAACCAATCAAGCCTGAAGATGAAACTTCCATCAACTTCAAAGTTTAAAAGAGATCGAATTAAGATTTACAAAATCAAAGAGAGATGGAAACAGAAAAAAACCACAAATTTGGTCGAAACTTTCTACAAATTTAAAAGGAACTCTAAAGCAGAAAGATGTAATGTTTAAATTTGTTTTTTCGATAATTTTGAACTATGAAGCCAGAAATGAATTTATATTTCAACCGGAGATAAAACCAACGATAAAATTTAGCATGTATTTGTCGAGGGAATCTTGTAAATCCTAAGATCTAGTAAATTTGATGCCTATGGTGTAAAGTGTAAACATTCCCTCTTCCTCTTGGCTACTACAAAGACATTAATGCCTTACACAAAACTTCTCATTCAAATAATTCCAACGTACCAAAAGTATAGGTCCAAAAGATTCGGGATAAATCTTCTTGTAGCCCTCTAGGATCTGATCCTTAATATCTACAAACTCTGATTCTAAAACTAATGTCATACCATAAAACTTACTTGGCTAATTGAGAAGTTCTAAACCGAATCTCATACACTATTTTCTATAAGTATTATCATATAGTGTTCGAAGTTCTTCCTAATCAAGTTTTGAAACCCTAGTAATCTACTTTAAAGAGCAAAGACGATCACTAGAACTAGTTACATTTAGCAAAATAAAGATTTCTAGAAAAAACAATCTCAACTCGGTATTTAATAAGTTAAAAAAACATCCATAAATTGAATAAAATTACCCAAAAATAGGACGTAAGATTACTGATTGATGATGCATCATCATTTCTGAATTCCGGTACGTATCTTCTTAGGATCATACCTAAAATTCAGCAATAACAAAAACATTCTGCTGCCAGATTTAAAAATTAGATTATAATCACATATGCTCTCATCTTCTAACCACTACCACCATGTATTTACACGATCAATATTGTACTCTAGTACTACTATAAGTCTATAATCACTCACGAAAAAGGAAATCAAAAAGGAGGCGACAAACTTAAGCGTAATCATACAAGTCCAACTTTAACAGTAAAAATCACATGTTGAAAGATTAAGGGGGTCAATTATGCTTAATACTGTAACCACCATCCAAATTAATGACATTATACGATCATTATCCGCTACTTCTGCAGTGATCCATATAGCCTTCTTTTCTAGAACGGATGAATTTCTCATACAGATATGTGGTTAGGGAGTAATCAGACCAATTCAAGTTTTAGTTAATGAGTTTTAAGTGGCTGTGTGGCTGTCTTACTGGTGATCATTGCCAGGAGAAAGTTGCGAATCTTTAGTGGATTTGCTACCAAAACCAAATACAGCATTCTCAGATCTTGAATATTTAATTAATGATCCGAATAGTAATTAAAGAAACAATTAATCTTTGGATTAAGAGTCAACTCTTATCATGTGTGATGAACTAATGGAAATCTGAGGCTGTGGTTGAGGAAAGTGGATTACCTTTTCCCATAGTGCTGCAACCATTATTGACTGATTCCCATTCTCTATGACTATAAACAATCCCAACCAAAAATAAATGGAGACAACAAGGTATTTATAATTGAATCTGAATCGGATTAACTTTGTACTATGTTATACAAACCAGAACATGGATTTTTCTATTGATATTTAAATAGAAAATGGTATACATTTTGTGTAAACAGATCATATATTTGAAACCATTTTCGATAAAAACAAACTCTTTTGTTTTCTACTTTGGCCACATTTGAGTTTTCAGTAATATAGTAAATGTTTTATATTCAGTGAAATACAATCAGAATATAAGAACACTAATTGAACAAATGAAAAAACAATTCGGAAATATATATATTTTTAATCACTGTTCAATCGCGGTTTAAAAAACACCATGATGAGAAATCTTCTAGCAAAGTGAAGTTACTTAATGCTTCGTTTCGGGTGAGCCTTACGTGTTAACAAATGATGGCGTACGTCTCTTATTTTTCTTGTTTATTAGTTAATAATAGAGTTTTAAAACTAAATTTAGAAATGATAACAATGACGTAAATAGGTGGGGAATAATCAATTATGAGTTGTTCGCAAGAATGAAATTGGGCATCGTATACCTATCAATTTTGTGGGTGTTGATAATTCAACCATCTGAAATTTTCGTGTCCTTTTTTCACCACCACATACAATAAACGTGATTATGCTCTGGCGATAGGACCACCATGCAATAAGAATACTCGGCGAATGAAAACTCAAAATATATAGAGGTATATGTAGTGCATGCATGCTTTCACAAGAAGTCTTGTTGAGGTCTCTATCAAGAATCGATCCCGTTTTCGTCCAAGCGAAGAATAAATAGCACATGAGGCTCGTGCTTGATTTTTTATTTTATTTTTAAATTGTAATTTACCTTAGAGATTCTGCTCTCCTTTCATTGACAAGCCGTTTGTCCTGCCCGATTTCTGATCAAATACTGTTAAAAGTCTTCATTTCTATTCTTGTTTGAAAATGATGTTTGAGTGAGAGAGAGAAGAAGAAGAAGATCAGATTTCACATGATATTTTGGTTGAATAGTACTAAAGTTCTTCCACTAAGCGGTCTCGTGTTATGCACTGAGGAAAACAGAAATACAGTAGAAATCAAATGAATCATAACAAACACATGTTATTACCAAAATGAAAGGTAATTGTTTGAAAGATTGAAGATAGATCATCATTACCTTAGTACTACGTACCAAACGGAGCAGGTCGAACAGATCCACTTTGACATGAGTTTATAAACCTTTTTTTTTTGTTTAAGGGTTTTCAATGAGTTTCTAAACCTAAAAAACCTTAATACTATTTCTAAGAGATAATGCCAATGGTATATTATGGATGTAACCTATGTGTGAATAAGTGCTGATTTTGACAATCAACAAATCTTTATTACTTAATAATAGTATTTCCTACAGATATCTTAAAATAATGTTAGAATTGCAAATGAAACTTAAAAAAAATCTTATAAAGCATATTTCTATACTGCTTATAATTATTACATTAGTTAACGTAACCAATAAGCACCAGTGGTCTAGTGGTAGAATAGTACCCTGCCACGGTACAGACCCGGGTTCGATTCCCGGCTGGTGCAATACTTCTTTTTCGTTGCTAGTTAGATTTAAGTAATTTATTTTGGGCCATTTCCTTATTTTGCAGATGGGCCTGAAACTGTCTCAATGGTAGGCCCAATCTAAATATATTAACAACGAATCCTAAGCAGAATGTCAAAGAGATACTTTTCTTGTTTCGTAAGATCGATTTCTCGAAAGTTTGCTCTCGAACTTGCAGTGCAGAGAACTCTGTAGACGGAACCAATGACGAATTCTACGGCGGTGATGGCTACGATCAAGTCGGCTAGGCCGACTTTCCGCAACAACCACGACAAGGTCGCTTTCGCTGTTCACGCTTCCTTCCTCGCTTCCGGTTTCGACCTCACTGCCACCGGACGGCCTGCCTTCGCCAACGACGCTCTCTCTTCGTCTCCTACTCAGGGTTAGTGTTGGCTTCCATCTTCTCTGTTATGTTGTGAATGTTTTTGGAATTTTTCTAGGGATTAGGGTTTCTGATTTGTTCGATTCTGGATTTTAAATAGAGGTTGGGATTGACGGCTGGAACGAATTCGATGGGGAATACGCGTTTGTCTATACAAATCCTGCGAAGGGATCGAAGAAAGTTTTGGTCAAGTGCTTGGCGATAGATGATAAACTTCTTGTTGATGCCCTAGCTGATGGTGAAACTGAACCTCCCCATCTCGAGATAGTGTATGTCACTGATTCTTTTTTTATGCAATCTTCTCGATTTTGTGATCTTTTTTTTATTGCACGGTTATGGAAGTTTCTGGGTTTAATTTGCAGAGTTGGGAAATACGCTGATGAGCCCAGAGAGGGGAATTATGCTGCACAGTACAAGGATTTTGGCAAATTAGTGGCTAGTTTGAAGACTGAGATTCTTGATAAGCTATACAGAGAAGAAAAGCCTTCTTCTTCGAGAACCCAGTCCAGGTGATTTCCTTATCAAGCTCATAGAAGATTTGACGCTTCGAAATATCTTGGAAAAAATCATTTATCACGACCTGTTTGTAGATGCCTTTTAGTGTTTTAACTTAGTGCATGATCATTGGGGCTTGGTACATGTAGTTCTCATTCTGAAACTTCAGTTTGTGGGCATTTGTTAGTTGGACCGGAATGATATGTTTCCTAATTCTTCAAGTGTATTCTAAGACCTCCAATTTTTTTCTTGATTGCTTGCAGATCTGAGACAAATGAAGATCCTGGATATTACGTTCAAAGACCTGTTCCATTAGGCCCTCAGATTCATCCCTCAGGGTAATACATCGACTACTTTTATTGCTTACTCTTATGATCCAAGAATTGCTACAGATTTTGTTTATTTGACTTCTTACGCATAATTGTAACGCCAAAGCAAAGAAGAGAGTTCATTGTGTGTCATGACAGCTTGCTTATAACATATTAGGAAACTAAAACTTATGGCTTATTGACTTTGCTTGTTAGGGTGATAGTTCCTCCGTTACCCGGCAATGGAAGGTACAGCGACCTCGTCCCTGGCCCAGGTGCTGGAGTATTCCCTGCCAGGTATGTGTTATCTATATATAAAGACTGTAGCTTTCTGTAATACAAACGCATAACTTCAATTCTTCACTTGCAATGTTACTCACCACATAAAAAATTTCACTTCATTGTCTCTCTCCAGGGGTGGTTTTGGCGATGGAAGCATGCTCGTAGGTACGAACCATCTTTCTATAATTCCTGAGACACAAAAGAGATTATCAGCTTACTTGATTATATAGTCTGTTAAACTGATTATGTTTGGCTGCAGGACCAGGTGATCCTCGCTTTTTTCCCCGATTTGGAGATCAACCTGGCCGCATGGGACCACCACAGCCGTAAAATCTCTCTCTCTATCTTTCTTGCATCTTTGTCTTTCACACAAATGCACAAACACAAGCTCTCTCAATTGTTCTCGCAAATAAATAACCATGGCTTGATTTGGTTTTGGCAGGGGTGTGCCACCTCCTGGTGCTCGCTTTGATCCGTTTGGCCCCATTCCAGGGTTTGAGCCAGGCCGGTTCGGAAGGTAGTATTCTATTTTTTTTTACTGAACAAATAAACTCCACAGTCAAAATCTGTTTATTTTTGACGCTTTGTTTCTCTTTAAATCTTGATAGGCAACCTCCAAACCATCCTGATCTTGAGCAATTCCCCGGCGGTTCAGACTTTATTTAGGCCAAAGTAAAGAAAAAGGAATCGTCAAAGAAAAGAAGATTATATATAACTTCTTCGCTGTGTTTTCTGGTACAGACAATAGGATCTATTATATTTGCTTTACTTTTTTTGTCCTGATTTTCCTCAGTTATGTTTGTAACCTTGGAATATATATATATAAATAAAGTTTTTGTTAATTTGCACTTTTAAGTTTTGAATTCCCTTTGGTTAGCGGTTAGCGTCTGATATATATACATTTATAAAGACTCGCTTGAATATATTGAGTTTTTCGCTTCCAGATGAAATTTATCAATGAAACATGTGCAATCGTGTTTTAGTATGGAGTTTGGTTTCCTCAATTCATTGAAACAAAGATTGAACACGAATCGATTTTGATATATCCGCCTGCTGACAAGGAATTTATGGAGTTTCGCTTTGATCAGTTATAGCCTATATATGCCCTATAAGATCTTTTACCAGAATACGAACTACAGTATGATGTAGTTGTTATTTTCTCTTTTTTGGTGTGTTTCGATTAAGAAATATAGAATGAAATATAGAGAATGAAATTATTTCATATGTTATTAATATTTAGTTCCAATTACAATCACACTGGCACAATCATTATTCATGTATAATAAACGATATATAGAGACAATGTTGTAAAGCTTTTTTGGGTGTAGTAGTAATCTCCAAGCTTCATAAACTCCCACTTCTTCTAGTCGTGCCAACACTTCACGGAAGTGTGTATGCTATTCAAAGAAAACATGTATAGTATAATAGTAAGTGTGTACGTCAAAACTTCATAAGGAGTATAGAACAGACGATAATGGAGTTGTATATAAAATCTGTCTTTGAATATAAAAGCAATATAAATATGTAACACAAGGTTACTACTACTTACGTCCGCACTTGTAACCGACGGGGCGGTTAGCGAAATTGCAGCGTTTAGGGATGGTAAGGGCAACCTCGGGATCGACGCCGGATGCTTTGGCCGTGTCGGACAGAAGAATGGCGCAGAGACATTTAGGATTCTGAGAAAACCTTTTAATCTGAGAACAGCAACCTCCTGGCACGGCGGCGTTGGAGTCCTGAGCCGCACCTGCACATGGAGCGAGCTTCATCGCCTCATTGTCTGGCGATGATCTACCACACTCTCCTGCTCCGTCGACGACGGCTCCGACGAGGAGAACCAGGCCAAGAACGCAGATAAATTTCATGGAAGATGCCATTTTGTATTTTAAGCGGGAGAAAGTGAGTAATCTCAAGAGATTTGAAATAGAATTCAGATTATGTTTTGTCGATCTCGTTTGTGGGTTTGAATTGGATTCGTGAATGTGTGATTTAAATAGCGGAACATTTTGTCCAGAATTGATGAGGCACTGAAGGTAGTGGAGTGAGCACTTGAGTGAGAGCGAGGTAGTGTTCTTACCAACAACAGAAATTCCAGGTGTTGATGTTTGAGAGATCACTAAACAAAACCCTTGATGCTTTTTGAAACTATCAAATTGAATGGTGGATTTGTGGGAGTTGTGTCATCACATCACCGACCTTGTGGCTTTTAACTATTTGTTAATTATTGTTAATGGTGAGTTATATAATGAATGAACAATCTTGATCTTTCTTTAACATTTTGGATTTAGATGCTAAAGCATTGATCTCTGCGAATATGCTGAGTTTTTCAAAGGTATATATTACTATTCCAGTAAAAAAACTTGTACAGTATGTAACTAAGTATGTATCATGAAGGGCATAGGTGATTGAATGGAAACCCAAAATGAGGAAACTGTGAGAACTGAGAACTGGTTCTCTCTATTGTGGTGGAACCTTCAGTTTCATTCAGAGGGTTTCATAGAAACCAGAGGCAAATCAAATTTCAAGAAGTTAAACCATATTGGTTAGGGCCTTAGTTGAGTTCGTTACGAGAAGCTCTTACTCGAGCTATCTTCTTCTTCAATTGTGTTAAGCTATTAATTAACACGCCTATGATAGAAAATTGGTAATTGTTAGTTACAATAGTAGATTTACTAGAGCCTGTTTTTAGATTAACCATTGAGCTCGCCCATTAACAAACAATATGGCCCAAAAATTATCGACTGGCCCGGCCCATATACTTTCTCCTCATGTTTTTAGTTTCATATATAGTTTTCTTAAATTTCGAGAAAATTTTCATTAAAATCATTAGATTATAAAATTTGTTTCCATAGTCAATGACCAATGAAAGCATCCAGCTGTCCATGTGATTTCTGTCACGCAAAAACTTATTCTAAAATTATTTTGGATTTACAAATTGTATTCGAAGGAGCCCACCGCATTGTTCAATCCAAAATCACATGGATTGATTCCAGGAAAATACATCGAAAATAAATAAAAACTATGGGAAAGTAATCTATTGAAATGAATTCAAATACAAGATCCAATGAAGAAAAAAGGTTCTTTTTATTAAAAGCATAAAATTGCGGTGATTATTTTGGTAAAAGTAAAACAGAGGGAGTATGAGATAAAGACAGCTGTTTTTTTAGTGAGAATCGTTATCCTTCACAACGGTGACAGGGCAAGGCGCATGTTGAATCACAAAGCTGCTCACGCTTCCCATTATTATCCTGTTTCAAAATATTTAAAACAATTAATCATTTGGACTTTAAAATAACTTCAGTAATCATTTATACACATATCCAACATAAAAAAAAACTAATGGTTAAATGTTTAACAGCATCAAAGATTAACGCAAATGATAAACATTAACCCTTGAAACTTTCAGGAAGAAATGAGGGACGATCATAATAAGATACTTAATCAAGAAAGCAGTGAACAGTTTGTGTTTTTTTTTTTGATTATGAGATAAAGACACAAATCAGTTGTCGTTTTCCCCTGAACTTATCCATTTTCGGTGGGAAGTGACTGTCATAGACGTTTTCTTTTTAATTTAAATTACTTTCTGTTAAAAAATATTCTCTTAACCAAAAAAAATAATGAAAATTTGATTTAGAGGAGCAGTAAAGGAATTATTTAATAGCAAGATGAGATGGTTTTAGATTGTTAAACCATCAACTCAAAGCCACTGGTATTTATGTGACATTGTCTTTTAGCTATAACGAATATTTTTAATCATGGATCTGAACCGACATTGTTTATACCAATCCAAATTATAATGTCGTATACGATACTTCTAAACCTGAACACTAATGAACTTTTGGCTACAAGATTTCAAATGAAATCAAATGAAAATTATTGTTTAAAAGTAAGAAAAAAAAAACCTTTGAAGGGCACTGAGTCCTCTGCTTCCCATGACAATGGAATCAAGTTTGAGATCTTTAACAGCATCAACCAGCTTCTCTCTTGCATCTCCCCAGTATAATTTCGTCACTACATGCACCTAATTCCATTTTTTGTTTTAACCAAATCAGTTATCAATTATATTTGTCATTTTTGATTAGAATCAAGAAATATCACATAAATATTTTTCAAAAAACCTCTTTCTGCCTCGAACCAGTGTCGAGCATGTCAAGACATGCGATGTCAATTTTGACACCGTATTTGTCCATAATCTCCGGTTCCCTAAACTCCACCAACGGGATGAGAGCTGCAGCACCAAATTAAACCGGATTAAACCGACTTTTCAGTCGCAAAAATTCAAAAAAACCGGGGGACTAAAGAGAAGAGACTTACGAGAACCGGATTTGAGCCAGAGGGCGTTGCGAAATTCAGCTTCAGAGGCTGGTAGTGTGTGGATGATGTAAAGTGTGTCTCCTTTATCGGCTAAGTTCTCGATCGCCCAGTTTAATGCGTTCTTGCTGCTCTCCGAGAAGTCCATGGCGATTCCAATCTTTCTGTCTTTCGGCATCTTTCTGGGTTTCTTGATAAAACTTGATATGAGTTTTTTCTTTTTTGTCTTCTAGAGTTTTTTCGAGAGAGAAACGGTGAAGAATCGTGAGAAGGTAGCTTCTACCTTTCGAATGTCAAAGTTATAGGATTTGAAAAGGGGAGAGAGAGAGAGAGAGAGAGAGAGAGAGAGAGAGAGAGAGACGAAGGATGAAGTTTCCTCGATGCTTCGTTGCATGTAGGATCCATTGATTGCATCTAAACCGTCCATTTATTTATAATGAATAAATTTATTAAAAATTGATAATGGTTATATAAGTTGTACTAACTACCAAGTAACATATATTTAATACAATAATTAAAGTTCAGCAAATTTGTTTGGAACGTAAGAAAATTAAATTTAACATTCATCAAATATTTCCACATAATTCCAAATCCCAAATGAATTGATCCCACTTTTAAATGAAATGTATCTCATTGTATAAATAACGTGACTTCAATACATTCAATGAATTGTTTTACTACCGTTGGATTCGGATCGACATGTGGTCGATGAGTTGTAAGCAAAAGGGTCATGTGAGTACATGTTTTAGATTTTTTTCATGCATTTTCCAAAATTAATATACTTGTTTAACACTGTAACAGATGTTTAAGTGGAATCTTATGATAACTCCTTTCTCGTGAAAACAAGTCTTAAATAACTTGCACGTCTCCAGCACCATAAATGGAGCTTTTTTGGGTCAGAAATCTATACTTAATACTACTTTATCGAGAAATAAAACAAAGACGATAATGTCACTACTGTTTTTTGTGTTTGCGTTTTATATTGTGATGATTAAACTATTAAAAGTAGACATGTAAATGAAAGATGTAAACACAAACGTAAATGATTATTTAAAATTTGTTGGTGAATTTAGAAGTATCAGTGTGGTGAAAAGTCTGTAATATAAGATCCGACGTTTTTCAGTTTTGTGAAATATGAAAATATAGAAAGTAAAGAAAAAAATGCATATATATTTTGTGTGAAAAATGCGGAAGCCTTAGATATACAGAAGATGCCACAATACTTTAGACACGGGGTTTCCAATAAGATATTAATTTCTTAAAATTCTTTAGGGTACAGTTACAAAAAAATTTACCTGATCAGAACTATACAAATCCAACACACATTACACTTTAACTTGCAAGTGTAATATCAATAGCCTCTCATATGGTTAAGAAATAAATAATAACAATAGTCTCTCATGATTTCACAAGATCATCACCTTGATCTTCTTTATACTTGGAATTGCACAAGCACTCGGCCTCACAATCTATATACTAGAATATCCAAAGCCCATTTTGCTTTAAATGGATTCTTATCCCGACACATGATATCTGCCTGAGGATCCAAGCAACTACGCTTTATGAAGTATCGTTTCTTTTTTCTTTTGCCACAATCGTTGCGAAGTAGCTTAATTAAATATGAGATTAGCCACTCAAAATCAAATCATATGTTTTTCTAGTTCAGGTTTAGATTCAGTTAATCATAGGTTTTTGGTTCTATGTTTTTAGCCATAAACACCATTTACCAACGTACATAAGTATCAATATCATTCAACTGTTTTTGTATTTTCATAAATTTTGAATATTGGAGCCTAGACCAAAAATTATACTCGAATATGTGAAATTGGAAATTCAAGTTCAAAAGTGAAATCATATTATGGAATATCTGGATTGCTTGGGAGTTGGGATGATAGGATTAGTACAGTTAATGTTTCAGCCATCTTTAAGACTAACCAGCTTATACATTGTGAAACCATCATGCCTGATCCTGGAAGTACATTTGGGCTGAACGATCTTCCATGGGCCTTTATTGGGGATTTGAATGAAATGTCTTTATCCACGAAATGTATAAGCTCAAGACATAGAGGAAACTAACGTGACTGTGTTTCCGACACATGATAAGTACTTGGGTGAAGGATAAGCGGATACGCTCTAAAATTATCTTACAAATGAGATTATCGACTCAAAATGTTGGAAAACCCTAACGAGATTCTCGTTTGGTTGGCCTAAAATCGCAGAAAGCAACCAATGAAGAAAAAATAGAAATCTAGAACAATCAACATAATCCATAGATTTTGATCCACATGGGATTTGGTATATAATAGTTTAGACCTTAAACGCGGTTTTAATTAAATAAAATGGATCATTCGCCGACTCGTGAATGGGGAAATTCAGTTAAAGACTGTAAATTGACCACAGCATAAAAAATAAACTTATGATATTTTTTGATAAACAAAACTAACATGTGTGGTTTTAAAGTAATAGGTGTTGATAAACACATAAATAAACACTTTTATGTTTATAACATTTTTCAACGGAATTGTTCAGTAGTATTAAATATTTGCTAAAATGTTTATAAAATGCCAAATACTGATATGCATGGGCATGGCATTGCATGCAGCTTCTTTTCACGAGTAGCTTTTATTCATTCAAGAAAACTCCACATATTAATTTCCAAAAATATATAGGGATAGGTTCAGAAATAACTTAAACATATGGCTCGACAACTAGTGTCAAATCATCAATCATATTCTCATACAAATGATGATATTTTGTTACGATTCACAAAGCCGCCATCATCATCGATTCAAATTAATCGTAATTTTTTTACCAGAATATTCGGAAATGTAAAATATCTTAGTCTCTAGAAAAATTACAATACGGGAAACTATATAAGGCATGGAGACAGTGAAACTGACTCCCATTAAATCGAAGGTGAGACGACTACCATCTAACTTAGTAGACAGGTGGTGAGTCTAGCGACTCTCAAGTTGAATATACGAGGAAACAAGAGGAGGTCCCATATGTTGTCTCTTACAATCAACTCCCTACCAATGATTTTAGACATGTTGTGAGTTTCCTCCGGGGCGGTTGTCGGTTCTAACTGAGATATGGTTATTCTTTTTGGGTATTTTTTATGTCGGTTCTAATTGGGTTCGGTTCCCCAATTGGAAAATTTATTTGTTGTAGTATATTTGTCGAGCCACACTTTCAACATCGGCGTCCACAGAAGCAACCCTAAATATCGAATCAATGTCTTGTTCTTCTTGGAGCAGCAAATTAGCCGGTAAGATCCCTCTAGAGAGAGTGTTTATATTTGATATATCTGTTCGTTTCTCAGTTTGCTCAAGTGTTTGACCTTTGTACTGTAAAACCTCTCAGAGGCTGAGACGGGGGTCTTCTGGGACGTGGTGGACTGCCCAATCCCCGATGGAGTCTCTCTTGATTTGGCTTGTGAGAATATCAAATCAGCTCTCGCGGATGATGGCTATCGTGGTAAAGTGACAATCAGAGCTTATTGTGACACGAAAGAGAGAAACTTGGCAGTGAAGTCAGCGTTTAAATCCTCCGGAATCAGGCTCAAACCCGCAGGTGACTTTTTTTTTTTTTTTTTTTTTTTTTATTGTTGTTCGTTGTCAACTTGTAATTATGTCCGTATCTCATCTCTGTTTGATGTATAATGAGATTGCAGGAGATGATGGACACTCGAGTCTTTTGATTTGTCTCTTACTTTGTGTATCTCTCTCTCATCATCTCATACTATGTTTGCTTTGCAGGAGATAGACGTGCAAGACGTAATGCGATGCTAGAGGACCTTTATCTCTTTGCAGTTGACCATAAACCATCAAGTCTGATGGTAATCTTACAAGGCATCTCAAAAGACTCGCTGCTCGTCGAGAATCTTGTCACTTTGAAAGACGAGAATTGCAATCTTCTCCTAGCACAGACTGATTGCTTATTAACAGGAGACGTCTTTGCTAGTGTGAGCTCAACTTGGTACTGGAGAGACCTGTCATCCGGAGGAAAGCCTGCCCTCCATCTCCATGGTGGAAGCTCACAAGCTGTTGCGCCCATTCGTAATCGAGGGCATGTTGACATTGATGCTAGTGGGAGCTCTGTTGCCAACAAGCGTGCTCGCAACTGAAGCTGAAGCGGAATATGGATGATAGGATTAGTACAGTCAATGTTTCAGCCATCTTTAAGACTAACCAGCTTATACGTTGTGAAACCATCATTGGGTGAGGATAAGCAGATACGCTCTAAAATTATCTTACAAATGAAGTTATATATCTACTCAAAATGTTGGAAGACCCAAGTCTCAGTAAACTGGCTAAATTGAAAACGTATCATTAAGGAAAGAACGATATTCTCGTTTGGTTGGCCTAAAACCGCAGAAAGAAATCAAGGGAAACAAAAAAAAAAAGAAATCTAGAACGATCAACATAATCCATATGGATTGAGATCCATGGAGTTTTGGTGTAATAGTTTAGACCTTGAACGCAGTTTTAATTAAATAAAATGGATCATTCGCCGACTCGTGAATGGGGAGAGATTCAATTAAAGATAGTAGCAAATTGACCACAACATAAAAATACACTTATGGTATTTTTTGATAAATAAAACTAAAATGTGGTTTTTTAAAAATTAATAGGTGTTGGTGTCAACAAAAAAAGTATCGGTGGCAATGAGAGTTCATCACTACTGTAGAACTTTTCAATACGATGAAGTAGCTTACATTACAAGCAAAACCATGCGAAGATCTCTCTCTCTCTCTCTCTCGCTCGCGAAAGTTTGGGTTTTGGTCGTCCTGCGTGTAATGCATGTGAAGAGTGGAGCCTATGCACGTGCCGGTAACATGTGCGATCCAACTAATCTAATCCTATATTAGCTGCTTAAGTCATCCACTCTGTTATAAGGCTTTTGTATCGTTTTGGTTTGATTCTTGTTATATTTGTAAACCTTTTTATCGTAAATGCAAATCCTTTAACAAAAGAAAAACTTAGTAGGCAGGGTTATGTTTGTAATTAGAAAGTAAAGGATTGCAGATTCTAAGTAAATTATTGGATCAACGCAACTAAATATTTTTGAGGTCAGAATTATAAGAAAATTTAAAATAGTTGAATATACGAGGAAACAAGAGGAGGTCCCATATGGTTGTATGGTTGGGAATAGAAGCTGCAGCCAATATATATTTATTTTCCGAAACAAACAAAAAAAGTACTATAAAAAGAAAAAGGAGACAAAAGCTAAGGAGAGGAAACTATGGAAACAAACAAGCTTAAGACACCACCCCAAAATACTATATGTCGTCGTTAAAGCATGCTCCCATAATTATTTGATATTTTTTCATCGTGATATTGTTATATTATTGTCACCGAAATCAGAGTGGACTCCACCACCCACCCACAAAAACAAGATAACAAGCAGCAAATAATAGAGAAAAATAATCATTGTTGAAATTATATTTTTTCTGGCTATAGTCAAGATTTGTGTCCAATCCAGACGTTCTCGTGGAGATCATGTGATGCATGTTTCATTTCTGTCATCTGATGTCAAATGACATCAAATCCTATGTATATTCTTTTTCGTGATGCTGTTTTATATCTTTTAACGAATGTTTTCATGTTCTATATAAGAAAGTAATGTTATTTTATCATATTAGTTGGCAAAAAGATATAAGTTTACTATAGTGAGCATCTAAAATATATGTTTTAAGTAGTTGAATGGCTCTTAGATTTTTTATTTTTTTATTTTTTTGTACGTCAAATGATTTTTACATTCTTCGCAAGTTTATTACATAATGAGTTTATAAGCTTTTAACTTAACATTAATAAAGAAAATAACCAATATTTGTTGTATACATCATCTCATATCTCACTCCTACAAAGCTAAACACAAACGAGAACCATGAATAATAGTTTTCTCAATCCCTATCTAATGAAAATGCTGCAAGGAAAATAGTTAGCCAAGAGTGAGCAGATGCAGTTTTTTTGTTGTTGTTGCTGCTAAAGACAAGTTTATATTGAACCAATATGTTAGTGTGTTGTTTTTTTGGGATCGACAGCCTCTTCGATTTTAATTAGTATTATTATTAACAGACAGAGACAGGAAAGCATGGCTTGCACGTATTCTGGGTCGCGAATCCGCACTTATATATGTATTTTTGGGTCATACATAACGGTGTATATAGATATATTGTAATAATTTTAACAAAGGTATAAAACAAAATTTAAGAGTTTTTTTTCTGATTTAAGGCTAACCATTAACCAACGATAATGGAGTAGGAGAGAGTCTTCACACTAATTAAAAGCTTGGTCAACAATAATATTTGAGTTGGCAAGTATAATTAGTGGGTTTTTATCGTTATAACTTATATAAGTCAAAACAAGTAAGAAGAAAACGATGTTGTATCGTTCTATCTTTCGGCGGAAAAGAGAGATTGTTAATATTTAGGGGGATATCAAGATCGAAGTTCTCTTTTTGCTTTAACTTTTTTTTTTTATCTGCGGAAATGTGTTCTTTGATTTCGGAAAGTTTTTGGGAGGCCAATCATAGTATGTTCATTCTCCCGTCAGCAAAAAACCAAAACATCATGCACCACCCCATTTAAGCTTTAAGTAATTTAAGAATGAAATAATTTGCAAAATTTATAAGTATTGCATTTGATCTATTGGAATGGAAGCAAACACACATGCAAATACGTTTGTATATTATGTGTATCTTTTACCTTACAATTTCTTAATGCATGTATCAAAATAAGACATGCATGCAATTTATCTGAAAAGCTAAAACGACCTACAAAACAAAACTATGTGATTTATATATAACTGATATTCTTAGAGATATGAAGGAAATTGGATTGTTCTGCAAAGACATGATTTTGAGATGGGTTGTAAATTTCACATCGACTCTGATCTAGGACATCCTCTATCTACTTACTATCAGTTAGTTTTAAATGATATAAAGATATAAAACTTGAGAAACCTTCTTACTTTTTAGTATAGAGTAAAGCTTGGATTAATCTCGATTTTAGTATAAATATTGGATAAATCTCTATTTTATGAAACGCATATGTATTCACGTATACGATTCAAGTGGATAAATACGAGCACATTTCCTTTAGTTGTCAAACATTATGACACATCTCATGTTTATCCGTTGCCTTGTAGTCGACTAAACGTTGATAATCACCGTTCAGATAATCGCCTTTATCATTTTTTACGAATGTTATATTTTAAAAGAAACCTTTTCTATCACCAAAATATAATTTAAATTGATTAATTGATTAAAGTAGTGGGAAATGGGGTGGGATAACTTGTACGCGAAGAATCACGTCCCGTTCCCCGTTATGCCAAGTGGATTACTAGACCGGCCAAATGTCATTTTGATTGCATCCAACTAATTAAAACTTAACACGTGTATTGCCACGTCATACCATCGTGCATTGCAGTTGAGATGTTTAGTTCCATTTTGTTTCGGCACCGTTAGAAACCCAACGGAATGTTTAAAGTCTCGATGGGCAAAACCGTCATTGTAATGTCTCGAGAAAGTACCATATCAAACGCGCTTTTCACGACGGTATATGGTATCGCAAATGACGATATTATCCTTGTATCCCTCCACTGGTGGTGTAATTATTATTATTAAAATAGCTTTTCCGTTGCTGTAACGTTTTATTTAGGTATCATCATTTTAGTCACAAAAATGTTCGATGTACCCAAAGAAGAGACGCGACTTGTGTGGGTACTTTAAATGGAAAAATAATGAAACATGGATACATGATGATGATACCATACATCGAATCAAAAACGTTTAATACACGCATCACATTCAATGCTGTAATACACAAAAGGGATAAAATCATAATATATCTGGACCATCGAAAAATTGAAGGGGGTAATTTAGTCATTCCAACAATGGCACGTGCCTGCGGGGATAGAGTTGGAGTTACCGTTTTAACCCTATCATGTGCTAGACCACCCGCTTCACAGATATTCCGAGAGTGGGTCCCACTAGCTTACTTCCCATCACCCCCTTAGAAGTAGGCCCACACTCACTCTCCCTGTACCCTGTATCATAGGCGCGTGAATATCCCACTTTTCAAACCGTAGGCGCGTGGAAACGAAACCTCTCCCCCCACCACCACCACTAGTAACTGCATCTTCTTCATCCCTACAAATACCTCTCACTCTCTTTCCCTCCTCTTCCATGGTTTTTTTTTTTGTTTATCATTTTCGCCTGAAGCTGGGTCCCTTTGGTTTTCTTAAAACTCATTATTGAAACTTAACGAAGCAGCAACCTCCTCGGCTTTTAAAAATCCCCTTTCCTCGATACTCGTGTAAGATCTCACTAAAAAAAAGTCTAAAACCATGGAAAGTAGCTTCATCGACGACGCTGAGTTCTGGCTTCCGCCGGAGTTTCTCACTGACGAGGATTTTCTCGTCGAGAAGGAGAACAACGGTGGTGGGATTGATAAGTCCAACAAGGATCGTCATGGATTTGGGTTAAAATCGGGATTCGGCTCTGCCGTTAAACCAACAGGCGACGAGGAGAATTTCTTGGCCGGACTGACTAAACAGATGGTTCAGTCAACTGTGGAAGATGATTTCTCCGGCGGATTTTGCGGCCATCCCGCTTTTTCTTCCGAGAACGACACCAAGGTAGTAAAACCGAAAAACCAATTTATTTCACTTAATATAATCTCTATTTTTCTTTAGATTTCGGATATTTTGGGGTTTTTTCAACTCGTAACTGTTTTTCTTCTTCTTCTTTGCTTATGGTTTTCAGGCGTGGGGTACAACTCGTTCGCGTCAATCGACTCTGTGTGGGGCTGGAATCGGCTGTAATTGCCAGAATCAGAGGTTGAATCAGAATTGCCAGACGCGAGTTTCTTCTCAGGCGGCGGCATGGGATCTGTACTGCGCCGCGGCGGAGGAACTGGCGAGGATGAATATCAACGACGAATCGTACGGTTACAACAACCGTAGTGGCAGAGGACTTCTCGATCTTCCCAGAAAACACCCCCTCTCCGCCGCCAAAAACCCCGGCTCTGGTTTCTACAACCACCAATCTCTCCGATACCAGAACCTTCAAGCCATCCACGTAATTAATTTCAACATTTAAATTTCTGGGTTTTGGGATAGTATTGGTGCTGATTTTGTTTTATTCATTTGTCTTCTTGCTCCTCTGCAGTTTCAGCAACTGAAGCAGCAACAGTTGATGAAACATCATCGCCAATTGATGCAGAGCAGAGCTAATAGCAACAAAAATGGTGGTTCTGTGGATTTGTCGTCATCTGCATGGTCTCATCACCCACAGAGGCGTGATGGTTCCGTTATGAGGGCTGTATTCCTCGGTGACCACACAGGAAAACGTGGATCAACCGGCACCGGCGTCTTCTTGCCCCGCCGTGTTAACCATACTCCCCCTGCCACCGCCGAGACTCGCGAGAAGTCCAGTAAGTTCCAAAGTGTCAATTTAGAATAGAGTTATATATATTTCAACATATTTTTCTGATGAGAAATGTTGTTTACTCTTGGGGTTAGCTCTTTCGACGGTTTTGGTTCCGGCTAGAGTGGCGCAAGTCCTGAATCTGAACCTAGACGAATCTGTGGTCAAGCCAGTGGTCCGGTCTCCGGCCAGTCTCAACGGTATAACATATCCCAAACAACCCACCACGGGAGATTAATTTAAGTTAATTGAGCAATCAATTTTATTCTAATCATTTGGTTGATATTTTTGTTGTTAATTAGCAGACGTGTCGTGGAGACAGAGGAGCAACAATGGCGGATTCTCGAGCCAGATGAAGATGGAGCAGCCAGTGAGCGAGCCTCGGTTACCTTTGGACTGGGCTTATTGACCGATTTGGAATCCGTAACTTTTGGTTGTTTTTAGGAAAGGTTTTGAAGATTTTGGGGGGTGGTTTGAAGAAACAAAAAGCAGGAAGAAGATTTAGATTTTGATGACAGGTAGTGTGAAATAGTGGAAAAAGTAGGGTTTATATAAGATAGTAGAAAGATTTGGAGGAAGAAGAAAATAAAGGAAGGAGAAGAGAAAAAAAAAATGTGGACAAGACGAGGTTTTGGATCGTTTTTCACCACCATTGATGGCCGATAGAGGAAGAAATGAGGATTCAGAAAGGAGACTCGTTTTCTTTTTTTTCTTAGTTATTTCGTTGTTTTTGGTCTTTTCTTTTTTGTGAGAAATTAAATAATCAGTCTGTCACAGGGCTATTGCTCTATAGTATCTCCTTCTTCTTTCTCTTTTGTCCTCAGAACTCTTAAGTAATGGATTAGTAAAAGAACAAAATTGTTAAATAATATTGTTTGCCAAATAAAGATCTTTACATCATTTCAAAAATCTTTGCATGTGGAGTCATATCTTTACATTAGGAAAAACTCACAAATCTAATCTTGACTTCCAAAATTTAGTTTCACACAGTAAATATTATAGGTATTGAGTATGACTTACTAAAAATATTATCCATACATTATGTTCGTAATTACCACCTACCTGAGACCACCCACCACTGACACAGCAGTAACCACAGATAAATACAAAGAAAAGGCTATTGCAACAAAACGCAACTAATACTCCCTCTATTTTACAATATTTGTCCTTTTAATATTTTTTCGATGCAAAATTCTTAAAACAAAATTATACTCTGTTGATATAACCTCTGTTACTTTCTTTAGCTTATTAACTAAAGTGAAATTAGAAAATGTATCAGTAAGAGGTGTTTTAAAAAATTGTATAGTTATTTGCATGGAAAATCTCAAACCTACACTTAATATGAAACGTTAATTGTATAGAGAATAGTTTGGTAACCAATTGCATAAATTCCTATAATTGATACTACATTGGTATAGTATTGAAGCTGAGGGGGTATTAATAGCTCATTTAATATCCAGGGGCGCACGAACAGTTTGGGAACTGGATTTGATTAAATACTAAAATGCTCTGGTCTTCTTCTTTGTGGAGCAACGTGCACAGTTTGTCCTAAGCCATTTGCTAATTACAAAAATAAACATCGTCGTCGAAGATTAATTATTGACAGTTTCCAACATCGAAATTGGAGTAATGGCAGCTGTTTTTAGTTGTCTTGGTTTTCTCAGTAGTTTTTTTAACGACTAGTACGAGATCATCATGTCTTATGTTTGTTTGTCTTTTTATAATGACAATCATGTCTTATGTTTAATTAGTATTGTTGTTTTGTTTTCTTTCGTCGACCGTGACATTGTTTGTTGTAAGCTAACCAAATTTTTTCTTTTTGTCCTTCATAATAAAAATACTTTCTATTGGCTTTGCTCCAACCATGATTTAGTTGGCATTTTTGTTGGTCGTGTGAGGACGTTCCTAGAAACCAAACTATGCGAATTTTGATGTTACAAAACTTATACGAGTTCATGCACCTCGATATGAATTATCCTAACATCGGCCATGATTTTCCACAACAAATTCAATGTAAATATCTTAGAGAGAAAGGTTAGCAAATTCAACAAATTCAATGTAAATATTGGCTACTCTACTCATACACCAAAAGCTTCAATAATTGGAACAACGTATTAGAATTCAGTTAGCACAAGAACAGAGTCACCCAATTCTTTAAGCTTAAATTATGGTGGGAACATTTGAACAAATTTTAACTAAAAAGAATGGTGCTAATATGCTCAAACCTTTTAATGTTACTGCCTCTCAACTTTTGTAGCCATGGCCTAAGCCACTACACCTGTTCGACCAAATCCGACGTCCGGTTTCAAGTTCACCTGGACCGTTTGTATATTGTGAAACCTCCTCTCTTTTTTTTTTGTTTTGTCTTTATTTTGCTGGAGAAGGGACCCACATATTGATGTTGGTGTTCTGTACTTTGACTGCTCCACGCGGTTCGTTGTGTTGTTAATTATTGCAATTGTTTGGATAAAGTTAATGAAATTCACTTGCATTTTCACATGACTCCGCATTTATTATTATGTGCTACTTTCGTCTTTTTTCCAGAAATCACATAATATAGAATATTTTTGGAATATGATTGTTTCGAAGAAAATAACTCTCTAATACATGCATGTTGGTCTCTGTATTCACACTTTGGTTTTCGGAATTTATAACCTCGAAGTATTTTTCATGTTTTTAATTTGTAAGCATTTTCTTTGTATTCTTCTACTCCAAAACCCCTGAAAAAGGCCGAATTGCTCAACTAACAACCACCAACCCATCACCAAATTTTCGTTTGATTTGTTATGTCATACAAATTTCAGAAAGCTTTTTTTATTCCAAATGTGATTGAGGTACCAACTAGATTGTTGAAGATTGAAGCCCATTACTAGCCCCTTTTTAAGGTTAATACAGTTAGAAGCCCATTAAGACTTGTCAAGCAAATGCAAATTATTTTTCTGCTTGCAGAAATCACTCCTGAGATCCTAGCGTCTTAGATTACGAATCCAATTATCTGTGTATTGTTGCGCCTGAGACCTAAATTTGGGTTGAAGTTTATATATGATTGTTTGGATTTTGGTAGAAGAGATCAGAGTAAGTTTCTTCGTCACCAGTAATAATGTTCGTGACTTTGCTATCTTGGAAGCTCAACAATGATGTGTATGCTCTCCAAGAATCAATAAACGTACTAAAAAAGGTATCATATGTTTTTTGTTTTGCTGTCAAATTGAATCCTTGTACAATAGCAATCTAATAATTTGGTTTTATTGATCTTTCTTGTTGTATCTTTCACCTCAAGCTTCTTGAGTACCTTGAACAAAAGGAGAACGCTGCTACATTAGCTGAGAGAGCAAAAACATATTACTGGGCAAATAATGAATACTGTCTAGTTAAATCTTTTGCTTTTACCATATGGGTTTTTTCTTTTTTTTAAAACATGTGTTGAGTGCGACATAGTGCAGGTGCTTCATTACAGATGAAGTGTAAGGTGAGGAACGAGCAATCAGCTCAATATAATCGGAGTTTACAGCTTATTGTACATGAAAGAGTGAGATTTCTTATTTCTTTGTCTATTGATCATCACTTGTATACTTTTAAACGCTATGATTAAATCTATTAACACTATTCTTTTATAAACAGTTGGTTATGGTGGAACGTGTGAAAAAGTTAGTGGTTGAAGCGTTGCTGGATGAAGATCTCACAGCCCAGAAGCAAACGGATGTGTTTGTTTATCTTTGTTTGTTCCTTTTAATATTAGTTTATTTCGTGTCTATTTAACTCGTAATGTTCTTCTGATAATAATGAATGGGAAGATTATGTCAGTTTAAGTGTTAAACCTCTAGTGATAATAGTTATACAATTCCAAGCCCATTGATAACATTAAGAAAACACGAACTTAAACACCTCGTTCAAAGAATCTGAGTTTCTACCATTTATCGTCTCTAAAGTGATGGAAACGTTCGTCGTCTCTCACAATCAACTCCCTACCGAGGGTTTTGGACATGATCTTCATAAAGCTGTGACAGTTTCCACACAGACGGAGATTCTGGATAATGGTGAGGCTCCTCCTAGGCGGTGTACTTATGATACCGAAACTCATCGCTAACCTCACACTCTGTGGTAGAGCAGTCCCTGCTCATTGGCCTCTTCGTCGATGTCATCCAGAACAAACCGTGTGTTCGAAACATAAACCGCTCCCTTCTTCGCAGCCATCTCCTTAGCTTCATCCTTGTAGAAAGTCGGATTCCAAAACTCAAGGATCCTGCTCTTGCTAGCAAGCATACTCTTGTCCATCATTTCCTCTGCGTAATCCTCTAAATCGTCATCTCAATGTATCTGGGCGTAGTTCATCATGGCTTCCCATAAATCAGCCGTGGGGTTCAAAGGGAAGGTCGCGTACGTACTGCTCGGCCTCAACAAGATGTCCACATTTGCCAAGAACATCTAAAAGCCCCAAGTAATGCTCTGTTCTTTGGACTGATCCCATGCTCCTTCTGCATCGAATCGAAATGCAAAAACGCTTCTTTTACACCACCTGCAGTAGCACAAGCCAGGAAAACTGCAAAGGAAGGTCTCCTCGTTCCGTTTCAGACATTGTTTCGTCATCTACTCGAGCAGATGCAACGCATCATCGAGTGCCAAGAACCCATATCCTTATCGGCCATGTGATCAAACACTCTCTTAGCATCAGTGACACTACTACACTCCCCCAAACATACTAATCACCGTATTGTTCAGTTTCGGATCGGCTCTGAACTTAAGACTGCAGGAAACGAACGTGTACCTTTCCGGAAATGCTCTAGTGATTTCAGGTTCGAACAGGACTCAAACAGTAGAGAGAAAACATTCTCCATCAGGCATAGCTCCCTCATCAAGCAATTTCGATGGCGTCTCTGATGAGGGTTGTGCGGCACTCTTTGATTAGTGTTCGTCTGACTTTGAGGTGGATATGGCCGCCGTTGTGACGGCGTATGAGGTGCGACGGAGTGAGGAGGCTGGTAGTAATCACTAGTGGCGGCGGATGTGCTCAGGTATTGTGAAAATGTTCTGGGTCGGAATCGCCGCCATTAGAGAAGACATTTCTGATTTCTCTCAGTTTTTGGATGCAGTAATAATTAAAAGGCGAGACTTTATATTTTTCTTTCAAAAGAAATATCTCAAATAAAAAAAAAGGTTAAGGCTTTAACTCAGTTGTTGAACTACCCAGAAACAAGGAGAGGAAGGAAGGTAGAGAAACCAAACTCAGCCTTTTAGTTTTTGCTTCAGGCTTCGACCTCAAGTCGTAGATCTTTCCACTCTGGGTTTTGCCTTCCACAAAAAATCTGATTCAAAGTCGCCGGATTTGATCGGCGATGGATGCGAGGGAGCAGAATCACTTGCCGAAGAAGAAGAAATCCGAAACGGAAGACGAGAAAAGGTTCATATGTGGTTCTATCTCCGTTTGATTAGTCGAGTTTTAGCTGTGACTACTGAATCGGTTATTTAGCTTGATGTATATGAGAATTGTGTGTATCGAATAGGAGGAAGAAAATAGTTCCCGGAAGCTTGTTGAAAGCAGTGGTGAGACCTGGAGGAGGCGAGTCAAGCCCCGTGGATGGTGATCAGGTAGGTACTAATTTTGAACGATCTGGTGATTGAAACCGGGACAAACCGGCTGGTTAATTTTTGATGATTGTGTGTTTTTTCTTTCCTTTAGATTATTTACCACTGCACTGTAAGGACACTGGATGGTGTAGTAGTGGAATCTACGAGGTCAGAATGTGGAGGTGAGACCGATGAACATTTCTCAGTTGGGAGTTGCTTTAAGGGTTTATGTTAGGGACTCATCGAATGAAATGTGTTTGATGTTCCATCAGGGAGAGGTTTACCGATAAGAGGTGTCTTGGGGAAGAGCAAGATGATTCTTGGATTGCTCGAAGGAATCCCCACAATGCACAAGGGTGAAATTGCAATGGTAACTCTCAAGAGTTTTCGTTGTTGTCCCTTACAAATCTGTGTCTCTTTTATTGGTTTCTGAACAGGGTTTACTTTATTGACTTGAGTTTACTTGAAATCCAATGAGTGAATGGGTCAAATCTTCCATTAGCTGTTTCAGATCACCGTCTTTGATTCTCTACGGGTTAACAAGTTTTTATCTTTCGTTTTTTTTTTCAGTTCAAGATGAAACCTGAAATGCACTATGCGGAGAAGGACTGTCCAGTCTCAGCTCCAGGAAATTTTCCAAAAGAGGATGAGCTTCATTTTGAGATTGAGTTGTTGGAGTTTGCTAAAGCCAAGGCAAGATCTCATAACAAACCAAGATAACAGTGCTTTAGTTAGCCGAAAGTCTCTAAAAAACGAGCATTTCATCTGTTTTGACTTGAGATTTCATTTTCTTTGTGTTAATGTCCAGATTGCAAGTGAAGATCTGGGGGTCGTGAAGAAGGTAGGACATGATTTTTCATATTTGTAGACATATTAATTGAGTCGGGGATGATGTATTTCTATGGTGGCTATGATCCAACTACTTGTTCTTCCTGATGTTTCAAGTATTACTTTCCTTTTATATGAAAGATTCTGAATGAAGGCGAGGGCTGGGAATCTCCCAGAGAACCCTATGAAGTAAAAGCCAGGTAATTTAGTTTTTGATCATTCCTGCATTTTGGGTCGAAAAATCACATAAACCTGTGGGCTGAAACATTGATTGAAGTTGAAATGCATTTTTGTGGTGTGTATTAGGATTTCGGCTAAATCTGGTGATGGAAACGTGATATTCTCTCACACAGAAGAACCTTATTTCTTCACGTTTGGAAAATCTGAGGTAATTGTTAAGTTTATGGGGGCATTTTTTAGCTTTATGCTCTCTGTCCATGCATTTCAAGTCTGACTATTGCTCGTCAATTAGGTAGGTGCCTAAAGGTCTTGAAATCGGAATTGGAACGATGGCTCGGAAGGAGAAGGCAGTGATATATGTTCGCAAGCAGTACTTAACCGAGTCTCCTTTGATGCATATAGTTCAAGACCTTGAGGAAGTTCATTTTGAGGTTGAACTGGTCCATTTCATTCAGGTATCAAAAAAGTCAGAAACTTATGTATTCTTATGTAATTCTTTGCATTTAAGAATTGGGAGACTGAGTGATTGACATTCATCTCGCTTTGAAGGTGCGAGATATGCTTGGAGATGGACGTCTCATAAAACGTCGAATTCAAGATGGAAGAGGCATGTTTTTAACAGTTTCTTTAAGAGACCCCAGTTCCAGTTTTCTGTGTATTTAGTTTTGTCCCCCTACACTATTCTGATCTGCAACGTTTCACCAACTTATTAGGCGAGTTTCCAATGGATTGTCCTCTCCAAGACAGTCGGTTAAGCGTTCACTACAAAGGCATGCTTCTTAATGAAGAGAAGACTGTCTTCTACGATAGCAGGATTGACAACAATGATCAGCCGTTAGAATTCAGTTCAGGAGAAGGACTGGTCAGTAACTTCAACGTTTATAGAAAAACCTAGCGGAGTTATCTGTGCATTTTAGTTGCTCAAGATTATGATTGTCGTATTGGCAGGTGCCTGAAGGATTTGAGATGTGTACTCGTTTGATGCTACCTGGAGAGACTGCTCTTGTTACATGTCCCCCTGATTATGCATATGACAAATTTCCAAGGTCACACTCGTAGTTGTGTAAATCTCACTGAACATGATAGCTTATAAACTCTCGTTGGACAAATAAACGCATTTTGATTGTTTTCTCTCTTGATAGGCCGCCTGGTGTTCCTGAAGGTGCACATGTTCAGTGGGAAATTGAACTTCTTGGCTTCGAAACACCAAGAGTAAGTTGGTCTAATGCTGATACTTACCATAGGAATTGTAAACAGCTTCTGTTTCTTATGAGTCCAGAGATTCTTGTCACAGGACTGGACTGGGTTGAACTTCCAGAGCATCATGAATGAGGCAGAAAACATCAGAAGCACGGTATGGATATAAATGTTCTGCTAATATATTTACATGTAACCTATACTCCTATATTGTATCACTATAGCTCTTGTCTGCATTTGAACTTCAGGGTAACAGGCTGTTCAAAGAAGGAAAATTCGAGCTCGCAAAAGCAAAGTACGAAAAGGTAATAGAGTCCACGAAACGGTAGCCAATCCAGTTTCATCCCTTTGTCAGTATCATTATGTCCAGTATTAGCATTTGTTTCCTTGTGTCTGAACGGTGAACCAAAAACCAGGTGCTCCGTGAATTTAATCATGTAAACCCACAAGATGACGAGGAAGGAAAAGTGTTTGGTGGCGCGAGGGTGAGTTTATCTTCTCATTAAGCTTATAGTTACAGTTATGTGTATTAACTAGCTCTTGATTTCTTGCTCTGCTGATATTTGAAGAATATGCTACATTTGAATGTTGCGGCGTGCTTGCTTAAAATGGGAGAGTGGAGAAAGTCTGTAGAAACATGCAATAAGGTGACGGGCAAATAAAGAACGTCTCTTGAGGCTTGAATCTTGAATTAGAAGTTTGGGTTTCTGAGAGCTTTTGTGCACCAATTTCGAAACAGGTCCTAGAAGCAAAGCCTGGCCACGTGAAGGGTCTCTACCGCCGCGGAATGGCTTACATGGCAGGTGGAGAGTATGAAGACGCTAGAAATGACTTCAATATGGTATATTATGCGTAAAAACTGCTTATTATATAATCCAATCCATAGATATGAAGATCTGTTTCTGTATACTTAACATGCTGTGTTTTAGATGATCAAAGTGGATAAATCATCAGAAGCTGATGCGACAGCCGCACTATTGAAACTGAAGCAGAAGGAACATGTCAGTGTTTGAGTTCAACGGGCTATTTATGATTTCGACAAGTTTTGCTGATATCACTACAAGATGATCTGAATTGTTAAAGAATCTCGTCTGTCACAGGAAGCGGAGAGCAAAGCTAGAAAACAGTTCAAAGGATTATTCGACAAGAAACCGGGGGAGATAACCGAAGTCGGTTCGGAAATAAGAGAAGAGCCTAAAACCATAGAAGAAGTAGATGAGACAAAGGATATCGACGATGGCGATGAAACACATGACGAAGAAGAAAGAGCGACGACGGTGAGCACGGACAGGAAGATAAAGTGGTCGGAGAAAGCGTGGCCGATGATGAAGAACGTGATGCTTCAGATCGGTATCCAGCTCGGTGTTGCTCTGTTAGGTGTTTTGATTTTCCAGTTTGTCAGCGCCAAATTCACATGATAAGAGCTTTTGAAACCAACGCTACTCACTTCTCCTATCAGTATACACTCGGGCAATATTAAACTGATGGATTATAAAAAACCTTATATGAGATTCAAATAATATTTACTCAAAGATAGTTCCTTTGAAGTTGTAACATTTTTGGTTTACACTCATGCAAATTGTTTATTTTTTAGTTTGTGGGTTGTAACATTTTTGGTTGCAATTGTTCCTGTAGATTAGGATTATCTAAGTATAAATAAAAAAATTATAAAAATTGCCAAAAATGTTTAATGATTGAGAAAATAGAACCTACAACGGAGAGAGAGAGTAAAGTAATGGAGTAAACCAGCACTAATTTAATTAAGAATGAAAATATATAAAAGTCGCCATTTTTCTTTTTAAAAAAAATCAACCGTTTTCTCCGTGTTGAACTCGCGTTTTATCATACACCCAAACAATGCTTAAATTGTATTTTGCAAAACGCTGAGATCTTTCCTTCTTCTCTCAGAGTTTTTTGGGGAAACCATCAAAAATTATTCTAGGGCTTTGTGGATCATCGTTGTATCAGATCCCTCCCTGCTAAATGAAAATCCTTTTTCTACTAAGTGAAAATATTCTCGCCTTTTGATCTCTTTGGGTTTTCCCTTTTGGTATCACAGTCGTTCTCGTTTTCAACCTTTTTCCGATCTTCGAGCGCCGTTTACACTGACTTGTGTTCGGAAGATTAACGACCCCTTTCCGGTGAAAAAGCTCGGTTTCACAGATAATTTGAAAATTCTGAATTTGTTTGGTTTTGATGATGTCGACCCGAACTATTGGGGTCTGAAGTAGTATGGAAGTGGAAGAGGATCAACAAAGAAGAAGATAATGACGCTTTACATTCGCCGCGAAGCTTCTAAGGTTCTTCGTTTTTTGTTTTTCTATCTAATTTTGGTTTCTGCGATTATTTGTGTAATTGGCTGATTTGGTAATTGGTTCCTTGTCTGTAGCTATGGAAGAGAGTTTGTTCGGAAATAACTACGGAGATTGGTCTTGTCGTCGAGAACTGGAAGTACCTTCTTGCTGGTCTTCTCTGTCAGGTTTCCACCTTTTTAAAATTCAGCTTTCTGATAACTTCAAATTGTAATTTGAATACTAGAGCTGCTTATAGAAGATCCAATGGCTCTTCGTGTGATTTGAATTCGATACCTTTTTGAGCAAATCCTTATTTTTCGGTTTCTTTTTGCTTAGGATGATACAGTGAAAGGTTATTATCATGGTTTGTTATACCTATACTCACTTTAGAACTTGGAAAAAATTAAAGCACAAGATTTGAAATTACCCTTTTTTGTTTTTCTTTTGGGTGTGTATTTTTCTACTCACCTTTATGTCTTTTGGTTGCTTTGGTCTAGTTAAGTCTAGCTTTTTTTTGTTAGTTTTGACACTTTTATGAATGCATATCTGTTATGTGCAGTATATTCATGGTTTAGCTGCTAGGGGAGTTCATTATATTCACCGTCCGGGACCGACGCTACAAGATCTTGGTTTTTTTGTTCTTCCGGTTTGTCTCCGAACTTTAATTATGAGCTGGTTGTTTAATCCCTTACTCTTCAGAATATATGTCATGTTTAAGCTCTTGTTTGTTTTATCAACTTTTAGGAGCTTGGTAGAGAGAAAAGCTACATAAGTGAAACTGTGTTCACTTGTGTATTTGTTTCGTTTTTCCTGGTGAGTTTCCTCAGGATTCTACGATTCATGTTCTGAACAAAGTAGCTTTTATATGAATGTTTTGTTTCGCCTTGAATTTGCAGTGGACTTTCCATCCATTTATCCTGAAAAGCAAGAGGATATACACTGTGTTGATATGGTGCAGAGTTCTCGCCTTCTTAGTTGTAAGTTTAGTACGCTTAGCCATTTGCTACATAAATGCTATTCAAAGGTTTAACGTCTTGAAGTTCGTTGCAAATTCTTACCATTAACAGGCTTGTCAGTTTCTCCGTGTAATTACATTCTATTCGACTCAGCTTCCTGGTCCTAACTATCACTGTCGAGAGGTAAACACTAAATAAAGATCTACACAAGTGGAATATCATAATCCATATTTCTGGTGAGTCACTTTGTGTTACTTACAGGGCTCTGAGCTCGCCAGGTTGCCACGGCCACATGGTGTTATTGAGGTGCTCTTGATTAACTGTGAGTTTTAACGTTTTATCCTTTTCCTCTTAGACATTTTCTAATATGTACACACCTCTTCTCCTTCTTATGTGGTAATACGCTGATCTTGTCAGTTCCTCGTGGGGTGATATACGGATGTGGAGATTTGATTTTCTCATCGCATATGATATTCACTCTAGTCTTTGTCCTCACTTACCAGAAATACGGTTCTAAAAGGTACAAAAGTACTTCCAAAACCGGAGAGTCATCTCATCTCTCAATAAGCTTACAAATTGTCTCTCTTTTAGGTTTATAAAGCTGTTAGGTTGGGTCGTAGCTATCTTGCAAAGCCTCTTGATTGTCGCGTCACGTAAACATTACACAGTCGACGTTGTTGTGGCGTGGTATACTGTGAACTTGGTTGTGTTCTTCATCGACAAGAAATTACCAGGTCTGATCTTTTTTTACTTTCAGATTTTACTTGCAGAGACCCTCAGATTCTCATATGGTTTCTGGTTTTCAAAAACAGAATTGCCTGATCGGACAACAACGGTGTTACTTCCCGTGAGCTCGAAAGACAGAAGCAGAGAAGAGAATCACAAACTCTTGAACGGGAACGGTGTTGATCCTGCAGATTGGGTACGCATCTTTAATCAGTTTTCAGTGACAAATCCGATTGAAACCCCAATAGATTGATCTTAATGTGTGTCATTTGCTTTTGATGTTTCAGAGACCGAGGGCTCAAATGAATGGTAAGATTTACGAAGACAGCAAGGGAAGTCACACAGATAATGCTACAAACGCTCATGAGAACTCAGCTTGAGTTTATTGGTAGATTTGGTTTTAATGTTTATAGATCCAGAAATGAAGGAAAAAAAAAAGCAGAAGTGCAGTTTGTACATTTGAAGTTTCTTGCTTCTCAAGAAATCTGATGTTTGTGTGGCTCTTTTAGTGTTTGTACAACTTAACAAAGGATATTGGTCTTCAAGGTAACACGTAACAACTATAGATATATAATTAAACTATATTTTCATACATAATCAATCAAATCCTCTTTTAACACCACCATGTTTGAATTTATATTTCCTAAAACTTCAATTTCAATTTCAATTTATTTGTCAGTCACCAACAGCGAAGAAAATCGCCAGATAGTACAACATTTCCTTACATAGCCAAAGTTAAACACAGAAATTTAGCAAAAACTGCCACCAAAACTCTTTTAAGGGGGTGAATATGAACAAACTGAAACATATGGGGTGAAGAATGGAAAACATGAAAATGTTGTTACGCTGGAAAGAGGGAACGTGGCATGTGTCGGTAAAGAATGTGGTCAAAGGCACATCCCATGTGGGCTCACATGTTTACATCTTCTCAGGACACAACTTTGTCACCAAAAAAACTGTCTCTCCATCTTGTTTTTCTTGCCCTTTCACATTTTCGGTGCTAAAGGAAAAAGCCACAAAACAAAAATTACGAGTCTTAACCTGATGTTTTATATATATGGATCATGTCATGCTAATTGAATTTGTAAACTCAATATGTGACCAAGAATGCAATATAGTGGTTTATGTTAGTATTGACTTATTGTTAATCTCATCATCAAAATTTGAATCGGCCTTAGTATATGTATATGCTGTTAACAAAAACAAAATGTAAGATATATATCTCGGTATGTTTTAGAAATGCTCACATATCATTTAAAAAGGTTATAAATGAAAGACCCTACCGATCGAATCTAATAATTTGGACCCACTACTCGAATGCAAATATTTGATAAAGTAATGTTGTCTTTTTTTTTTTCTCTGTGGTTAAATATTGTTTCTTAAGATTCGATGTCACATTCTCAAGATCATTGGCGGTTCGGTTACAAACGGCTGATATTCGCTTAGCAGCAACAAAAGATACATAACACAATGACATATATAAAAATGCATGAAAATATGATAACGTATACGTTGGTATGAATGAAATGATGAAAATCATTTGTTTTTTTTCGACATATGATAGTGATCATTGTTTTTATGTCCACACAAACGAGCAACTTCATATTTTCATGAGAGCGGTGCCATTTCTTTCATTTTTTTGCTGGAAAAAACTTTTTCTTTATTACATTTTTTGTTTGGTTTTTGTCGGCTTCTTCTTATTGTTTAGTGCCAGTATTTGAGTGATTATGAGGAAGAGGGTCCTATATGGTACCATAAATGGGTAGTAAAATCATTATTTTAGATGCAGAAAGAAAGAAACATTATCATTATACCAACTGTCTGGATATGGTGTGTTTTATGAAGTTCTTGATTTCAACTTTGTATTTATTTATTTATGTTGTTTTGCAGCATCTGTTATAATTTTAATGGACCCTATATATCTTTTATCGTTTATAAAGAAAAGGTCATTTTTTTATGAGTAATATTATCAGTTGTGGTCTGGGAAATCACGTATGTTTGGACAAGTATGCCTACGCATCAGAAAAAAACATTCATTCTATATTCTTAATTTAAAACGTAAACCAACCTAAAAGGAAGTGATTTGACGGAGATTCTAAAATTTATTTACTAACACAAAGGATCAGTAACAAAGGCTCCTAACGTAGTTGATTAATGACTATATTGTTGTTTTTCGTTCATTCTTTCATCTTTATCATTCGAAACGCATGCGGTTTTATTCAAATTGTTTCATTCTTGTTCATTCTTAATCAGCAGATAATTATGTCTTTAATTTGTAATGGTATATATTTATGCAAAAAAAGGATGGTGGACGTACCACCAAAAATAAAAAAGTGTGTTGTTCCGTAAAATGTGGTAATTAGTGAAATTTTGTTTTCCTTACGAAATTACGAATCTTCTCGGGTTTCTACGAGGACTCATGAAAATGTGATAGTCATTTGCCATTGCATGGCAAGCATCTCTCTGACTCTCTATGCCATTATGTTCCAAATTCTCCAAAATGTTAAATTTCCACTTGTTGGCAGATTGTATAAATCTAAACGTCAACCATTAGTGTTTTTAGTTTATCGTAATAGATCCATCAATCTGATAAAAAAAAAAAAAAACTTAAATACGCTTTGATAGACACTAGTAGTATTTTTTAACATTCATTTTTTTTTGTATGTTGAAGACCTATCAAAAATAGTCTCAAATTTTTACGTCAAAATTTTGGTAAAATAAGAAAACCTTAGAATTTAAAACACATAATACTTTGAAGCGGGTTTACCTAGTTGAAATCTGTAATTTAAGATTTGTAATACAATTACAAGTGTGAATTTTAAAACGCCATAATACTTAAAAAGTCAGCGGAAAAAAAAACACAAAAAGTCAAATCGCCAACAAATGGTCTGATGATGAAGTTCACGCGGTTTCAACTTTCAACATGAAAAAAGTGTTTCTGCTTTTTGCGCCTTTATTTTCACCGTTTTAAAAAGAAAATTTCACTTATTTATAACGTTTTCACCCTATGGTTTACTTTTGATGTGACCTCTTTTCAGAAGCTCAATAATACTTTCACAAATTTTCAATTTTATGTCGGCTCATAAAAATAAATTTCTCCCATTTTTGGTTTTGGCTTTCAATAGCAAAAATAAACAAAAAAATAGAGCATTTTGTCGTAAAATAAAAAAAGGGAATTTCTAAAAGATTTAAAAAGGGAGAGGCGCAAAGTTTTGTGCCGAAAACAAATTCGGATATAAGAATTTAAATATTAAGAAAAAAAGTAGTTCTTGAGGGAAGTCTGAAAAGGCCGAGAGAAGTAGAAGAAGAAAAGCCAGAGACCTTTTCTTATCGGCGAAGACGATTTTCTTTCTTTCTCTCTCTCTCTCTCTCTCTCTCTCTCTCTCTCTCTCTCTCTCTCTGTATATTTTCGAATTTCGCTCTCTCACTTGAGCTTTCCGGTGATAACATTGTCAACTGTCGTATAGTTTGATTTCTCTACCAGAATCCGATCACCTGATTTCATCTCCGACGTTAACTCATCAAATGGGAGCTCGTTGCTCTAAGTTCTCTTTCTGCTTGTTCCATTCTCACTTCAACTCAGCTTCAGTTCTCGAATCTCCCGATCTCGGTCTGTGCTTTGTGTTTTGAATCCTCTCGATTTTTAATTTGCGTTTCGCTTTCCGAAGTTTGATTTTGGGTGGTTTTCTGAATTTTTTGTTTGTTTTGGGCTATGTGAAAGATAATGGAGGGAAACATGAGAAGAAACTTTGGCCGAATTTCAAGGAATTCCGATTAGATCAGCTGAAATCTGCGACCGGCGGTTTCTCCTCGGATAACATTGTATCGGAACACGGCGAGAAAGCGCCTAACATTGTTTACAGAGGTAGGCTTGATGATGGCCGCTTGATCGCCGTCAAACGCTTTAACCGCCTCGCCTGGGCCGATCACAGACAGTTCCTGGTAAAGCCTGCTTGTACTCAGAACCTTCACCACCTCGATTTCATTTGAATTCGATTTGGCTTTTTAGGGTCCAAATCGGCAAATGTTTGTTGTTCTTTTAGGATGAAGCGAAATCTGTTGGGAGCTTGAGGAGCGAGCGATTGGCGAATCTGATTGGTTGCTGCTGCGAAGGCGAGGAGAGATTGCTCGTTGCCGAGTTTATGCCTCACGAAACTCTTGCAAAGCATCTTTTCCACTGTACTTACTTACTTACCCCCCTTGATTAACTTTGATGGCTATTCAATTTGTGATTCCAATCATCAGAACTTCTCAGTGGTTGTTCATAGGAGAGAGACAAAACAGTATATGTTCATAAGGATTTGTGTAGTTCCTGCTGCTGATTATTGGCATTTGTTGTTTTTAGGGGAGAATCATCCGATGAAATGGGCGATGAGATTAAGAGTTGCATTGTGTTTAGCGCAAGCATTGGAATACTGTAGTAATAAAGGGAGAGCTTTGTATCATGATCTCAACGCTTACAGGGTTTTGTTTGACAAGGTGAATGTTGATTGATGGATGCTTTGCTTATCGTTCTGATTTGATTTTTGTGTTGTATCTTTTCTCATCCGTAAAAAGTTTTTTGTTTTCTTTTATCCTTTGTGGTATACAGAATGGAGATCCCAGGTTGTCTTGCTTTGGACTCATGAAAAATAGCCGAGATGGGAAGAGTTACAGCACAAACTTGGCATTTACTCCTCCAGAGTATTTGCGAACAGGTAAAACCCTCTCTGCTTCATGTTTATATAATATAATCCCCTTGGCTCCCAAGAGGTTTCAGGACACACAAGATTTTCCAAAAGCTTAAATCCACTCACGAATTAATATGTTTTTGTACATCTTGGGGTCAGGTAGAGTTACTCCAGAGAGTGTAGTATTCAGTTTTGGAACCGTTTTGCTTGATCTTATGAGCGGAAAACATATTCCACCAAGCCATGTAAGTCCTCTCCTGATATAACTAAGATATACTAAGTTTAGAATTAATGTAGGACCTGTCTCATTGTGTCCTGCTAGATAGTTCTTGGAATAAAGTAGTTGCCTTTTCGTTAAGAACCTGATTTCTTATGGTTATTAACTTATGAAGTCCGCATTGACATTGCTGGTTTTGATAGTTTATCATTTTTATGTTTTCCTGCCTCATACAGTATTCTCTTTCAGTGACTCTCTAACCTTGCTTATATACAGGCGCTTGACCTGATCAAGGGAAAAAACTGTGCAGTGTTAATGGATTCTGCTCTCGAGGGTCATTTCTCAAACGAAGATGGAACTGAGCTAGTACGTTTAGCCACACGCTGTCTGCAGTATGAAGCTCGAGAAAGGCCGAATGTAAAATCTCTCGTCACTTCACTCGCCACACTTCAGAAAGAATCTCATGTACCTTCATATGATCTGATGGGCATACCCCATGAAACCGAGGCTGAGGAAGAGCAGCCGCTTTCACTGACGTCTTTTGGTGACGCGTGCTTAAGAGTAGATCTTACGGCCATACATGAGATACTTAACAAGATGGGATACAAGGATGACGAAGGAATCGCCAACGAGGTTTGAATTTTTACTCCATCCGATGCTTTCGAATAAGGAACTTCGTTAAGTATATGATTTTTTATCATTTCTTCTGCAGCTCTCGTTTCAAATGTGGACCAACCAGATGCAGGAATCTCTAAATTCGAAGAAGCAAGGCGACTTAGCTTTCCGTTCCAAAGACTATTCAACCGCGGTCGACAGCTACACTCAGGTAATATCAACAAACAAAAGCAAACACCGAATCCGTTTATATACTTGTCTTTCCTTAGATCATTGAAATCTAAAATGGCTGGTTTGGTTTGTGTGTTTGATGGTATGCAGTTCATAGAGGGAGGAACAATGGTGTCACCAACGGTTCACGCACGGCGCTGTCTGTCATATCTGATGAACGAGAACGCACAAGAGGCTCTGACCGATGCATTGCAGGCACAGGTTGTGTCTCCAGAGTGGGCAACCGCTTTGTATCTGCAAGCAGCTTGCTTGTTCAAGCTCGGCATGGAAGCCGATGCTCAGCAAGCTCTTAAGGACGGGACTATATTGGAAGCTAAGAAGACTAATAGGCGCTGATAAAAAAAAAAAAAGTGTTTTTGAGGATTGCTTTGTATAGGCTTATTTTGTTTCCTTCACTCTCTTTCTCTCCATGTATATGCACATACGCATGTATGTGGGTGTATCTATATATATGCTGCATATACTTTTGATGCCTCTTTCTCCTTCTTCTTTTTTGTATTTATTATGAATTATGATGATTGTGATTTCTGATTAAGATCTCTTTTGAGAGATTTCTGTTTCCCGGGGATTGTCAAATTAATTTAGCAATCAGTTATTTTCCATTGAACATTCTTATTAAATTTGGTATCAGGAATGCTTTCATATGATTCAATTGATGATCTAGCATCAAATCATATAAAACGTAAGATACGATCCATTGTATACGGATTATCAATCGAAATATCAAATATACGATTTGGTCACTAAGAAAAAAATTCAATTGCGGAATGAAAGAAAGTAGATGGGCAATGGTGACACCCAACAAATAAACATAATAATCAACATCAGCTGCCGTTGCCACGAGCTCCCTCCGTCTTCCTCCCCCACCGCCGCATCTCCTCCTCCTCCCCCTTCTACATCCACCGCCACCTCCTCCTCCTCTATCATCTCATTCCTGCTGGCCACGTTCCTCGCTACCGAGTGACAAATCTCACATACTCTACAGCCAAATTTACTTTATATATAAGTTTTGCCTTTTTTCGTTTTATCAAATAATAATATATATTAGTTTAGGTATCGTTGATAAAAGTACTAGCTACCCTAACATATCCCTGTTTTTGGTCTTACCTAGGAGGGTGTCCTAATGCATGTATAACATTTAGATATTTAGAAGGTTTTTTAAAACATTATTATGATATAATATCAAATTAGAAAGAAAAAAAAAACCGGTAAACTCGGATTCAAAAATGAATCAAAGAGTAGGAAGAAAGAACATACTCGTTTCCTTTGAGTTTGAACCAAGTCTCAGCACATTGTCGATGAGAAAACGCTAAATCATCCTTACACGAACATCCCAACTCAATCAAACCCTGACCGTACGATCCAACTTCCAATTGGCAAATCCTACACACTCTCTCCTCTGACTTACTCGCCGAAGACACACACACACACGTCGAATATTCGTCGTTCTCGGACTCATAATATGCGAACGTATTCGAGTGGAAGCATGAAACGACATCTTCACTCGCGGTGAACGATAGCCGTCGATCGCCGATCGTTCCTTGTTCTAAATCGATGTGTGACATTGTATTATACGACTATATCACATTAGGGAGAGGCGACACTGTCCAATAATTAATCAAGATTTGTCCCATAATTATTCAATGATGAAAGGAAATAACTTTCTATGCGTCCTTCAAGTGGAGGGATCCTTCCTCTCTTAAGCAGATTCTGTACATTTTTCTTTCTTGCGACGCATGACAATTATAAGACCAGATCCAACGGCCCATATCATATGATCACCATATAACAATATCTTTCCTTTTATTTCTGGAAACGTTTCCTATATGATAAAATACAAAAGGCAATTTGTAACGAGACAACGTTTAATTTTCCGTTTGAATTATTATCTAGAACATTATAAAAACGATTTTTCAACGGATAACTATCGGAATTTTGTTATATATTTTGTTGTTTTATTGTTAGTAAAGAAAACATTTACTATTGGTTAAGCAAATTTTGTGATGATGAACTGATACTTTTCATGAATATATACAATCAGAATTAGGAAACCAGGGGCTAGACCTAGCAATGGCAATCAGTTTTACTTTTAGGTGTTTACCCTTAATTTTACAATGAAAGGAAAAAAAATTAACACGATAAGATTCATGAGAAATTGAACCAGAGACATATATAAGAAGATCTATAGTCAAATCATATTTATCAAAACAGATAATATAGTCGGTTTCTTTGCGACTGCACATGGCATAGTTATTTATCGAACAAGAAAACAAAACAGTGGTATTACAAAGTTGTTATTATATAGGGGAATATTAAGAAACAGGACCAAAAATCAAACTCACTCTGTATCCTCTCCTTTTATATGATTCAATTGATGATCTAGCACCAAATCATATAAATGTAAGATACGATCCATTGTATACGGATTATCAATCGAAATATTAAATATAAATCATGCATGGCACACGCGTGAAATTAATAATATTAATTTTACATAGGAGCCGGAGCTAGAGCAGGTAAGTCTTCGGAGACGGGGCCTGGACTGGTCTCTGAGACAGGGCCAGGAGCGGCGCCGGAGCTGAGGTTTTCCAACATCGAACGGTGGGGATTTATCCGTTGAGCATCGCACAGATCGGGTAAAAATGCACCTGCGTGTAGTCAATTAGGTAGATTAATTACGTCAAGTTTACACTTTATAAGATTGATTTATATATATATTACCAACGTAAAATCATAGGATGCAACAGAGATATCACTATTATTTGAATAATAATTAAGGTGAGTAAAACATAACAATCAAGCTTCTACCAAAATTCCTTGCTTTGACGATAAGAAACACCATGAGATACCTTTAGCAGTTAAAAAGAAACACCATAAAATATGAAAGTGAGTTCCATGCATGCATACGTGTAATCTACGTGTAAGAAACATTTTCTACTTTCCTTTTACGGCAATTACTTGAAAAAACTTTCTTATTTTGGTAAATACAAATATACAAAAAAAATTGTTTGCACTTCTTAGTATATAAAATCAATATATTTGAGGTAATATCGAAATTATTTCACCTATTTATTTGAACAGACACAATTAAATTTTCTAATAAAGCAAAACCTTACAAGTATATATTTCATCAGAATATCGGTACGTATGAAATTTGTTTCATCACACAAAAAATATGGCAATGCATGAAACTGAAAGACTTATAAAAACAAATTAAAATCTCAAGGTCGTACCTTCACCGGCGGCGAGATTGAAATAGAGATCAAGAATGTTAGGGCAATAGTCCAAGCAAGCCGGCGAGCAAAGCTTAGCGGCGAATCCTGCCTCCATCATTGCGTCCGACGAGATCCCTACGGTTTTCCGATCAACTCCACAAGCGGCTACACACTCATCGCTCTCCACGTGGTTTACAATCCCTTCCACCTCCACCGCGGAAGTCCGGCAAGTGTATTTTCCGGCGACGTTAGCTGTCTCCAATAAACATCTTTTCCCGGAAGCCGATATTGAGAACGCGCACATATTCGTGGGCAGATTCTCGCAAACAATTTCTTCCCCTACAATTATTAGAAAACAAAACATAAACTGATTAAAACAAAAAAAAATATCAAATATTCACATAAAGGATTACGCTTTCTTTTCCTATGGTTTATCTTATATGGGTCATGCATGTAATTGTCAAACTGTGAAATCTATAGTGTTCTTGCTATATATGATGTAAAAACTAAAACTTTTCTAAACAAGAATAAAAATTTTGAGAGAGGAATTTTGGATTTGGCCCATGAATTAGGATTTGAAGATTTCTATATGATAGATATGTTTGTACGTACCTAAAGCGGCATGGAGAAGAGATGAGAGAAGGAGAAAGATTGGCAATTTAAGGGAAGAATAAGACATTGCTTCTGGGTTTTTTTCTTTCTCTCTTCTTCTCTTTCTCCTTTATTGATTTTTGGGGGTTAAAGTTTGATGTTTTCAAGGGAAAGAGTAATATAGATAGGACGTGGAAATAGAAGGTGTGTGTTGAAGGAGATGTTGCGCATCTGTGTTTAAATATATACAGGATGTTTTGATGAATTAATGATTTGTATTTAATATTTGTTGATGTATTTTCTCTATAATAACATTCTCTAATTATAGTGTCAACAGTAAATAATATATTTTATATAGTAGTTGCAATTTTATGTTTCTTACATTGCGTGTTTGGTTATGTAACTTCGTTTTAAAAAAAAAATTGAATAAATTGATCCCTTATTACGAGTTAATGGATGTATATATAATTTAGTGGACATCTCTATGTGTCCTACTTTTTGGAAAAGGATCAAATTTATCATCAAAACATTATAAAATTAGACGTGGATACGGAAAATGATTTACGTATTGTTAAGTTGCTGTACATATATATATTATTACCATTGGTTTGATTTCAATCTTCAAAGACTGAGCGCTGGAAATTTAAATCTTAATTTACTTAACAACGTTACTGAAAAACTTTGTTTAGTCCACACAAATAGTTTAAATGAAACTTATATGGTTATATGTGCTTTTAAACTTTATAGAATTATGTTTTTTGTACCTAAAGATCCTTTTTTTAATTTTTTTACCTTTTTACTACTCATAGCTTCATTATTTTGATCATATAGACTTTAATTTGCTTGAATACTTCAGACTCGCTACATGATATTATATAGACATTTTTAGTTTTTATTTGGTTAATTGGCATTTTTAATGTCTCAGCAAACGTGATCAAAGACATAAACTAATGTAAAAGATTTAGTTGAATTATCTTTTTCATTACAAGACTTTCGGGTGAGTGGCTTACTTGGAAACAAAGCGACGTGCGTACATGTGTTCACGTCCGTATTTGACTCAACGCGTTTAGTTCAAAATAATAATATCGTTTCAATTTTTAGGGCGAATTTATAAAATTTCTAGCAAAAAAAAAAAAAAAAAAAAGTTAAATTAAGTATTATATTTTTGGGGGGTAAATTATAGTGTATACAAAACCTTAAAAATACGTCTTTTGATGTAACAAAAAAAAAAGACATAAAAATGATCGCGTGTGATTACTACATGAAAAAACAATTTAGCATTACAATCTTTCATTTCAAGATATATATGGTTGAACTTATAGCTTGGAAATTTCAGAAACTCGTCCTACATACATCGTTTGTGAATTTTCTTTTGTTAAGGCATACATTTTATCTGCAATAAATCTCCCGTTAATTGTTTATCGATTTCTAGCGTAAACGAATATGATAAGTCTACAACGTTTTGATGCAGCATCATGCCGCCTCTCTTAGCCACCCCCATGAAACCTTTTCTATTATATTTCATCATGAGAGACGTCAGATACTCTTTTACTTTTTCCAGATTTGCATTAATCAAATCTGCATATTGCAGGGGCTCATTAAATGATACTGTGTCCCATGTAAATATAGTCAAATTCTATGTTAGATCCAAAAGACTTGACAATTTCATCCTCTATATCATTCCATAAGACAATTGTTTCTTAAATACATAAGAAAATGTATTAACTGCCATTACAAGTGTGAAACATGAATGATTTGAATATAATTAATCCCACTAATATAGAAGAACACACGATGCCATATCCCCCATTCAATCTTTGACCAAGTCAATGTCGGTTTGCTCTGGTTATGATCTCACCAAGAGCCCATAATATATATTTCCACCAATAAATTCTTCAATTTTGTTTGTTTTAATATGTAATAATATAAACCAAAACGATGATCTCAATTTTATATGGCCGGGCCTACAACAACAAAAGAATCCTTAAATTTTGTGTTGCGGTCTTAGCTAAAAATAAATATTGAGATCAGGCCCAATGCTTTATAACATTAGCACACTGTTATAACTGGCCCAGCTTATAATCAATTGCATTTAGGTCCGTAAGAGTGAAGCCACGTGTCATCTCCAACAAGATAAGTGGAGCCCACTTTGTTAAACTGAGAGCATGAATCGAATCCTTCGTCCACCTCACAATCCGATCCTCTCTCTCTCTCCACACCTCCAAAAACACAAACCTTTCTCCTCATTTTTTTCAAACACAAACGCAGCAAAATGGCAGCAACCGCCGCAAGAACATCGTCGTCGCAACTTCTTCTCTCGAGCTCTCGCCACGTGGCGACCGCATCGCAGCCGCGAATCCTTTTCCCGAGATCTCTGTTCTCCGGCGGGAAGCGAGCAGCCGGGAAAAATCATCATGCAGGCGGTGGAGTGAGGTGTATGGCGGTTGCGGCGGATGCTGCTGCGGCGGCGGAGACGAAAACTCCGGCTAGAAAGAGGAGTGGGTACGAGCTTCAGACGTTGACGAGCTGGTTGCTGAGACAGGAGCAGAAAGGAGAGATTGATACAGAGCTGACGATAGTGATGTCGAGCATAGCGATGGCTTGTAAGCAGATCGCTTCGCTGGTCCAGCGCGCCGGAATCTCTAATCTTACCGGAGTTCAAGGCGCCGTCAACATTCAGGGAGAGGATCAGAAGAAGCTTGACGTCGTCTCTAATGAGGTCAAATATTCTTACCCATGATTGGATATTCTTTTGAAAGCAATTAATGCCTTTTGGAATCGAAAACGTTTTTGATTGCAGAATCCCAAAAAAAAGAAAAAAAGTTCACATGTTAACTAATTTATTAATAAATACATGTAGAAAATAGAGTAGTGGTAAAAAGTTCACTTCAAATTATACCGTCTTCAAAATCGTATTGGTAAAATTATGGTAATCACACTTAGTTAATGCTCTCATGAACTACAATGATGATTAACTAAATACTAGTTTATTATACAAAAGATTTGACATAATAAAACAAAATTTGAACATGGTTACAGGTGTTTTCCAACTGCTTGAGATCAAGTGGAAGAACGGGAATCATAGCGTCGGAGGAAGAGGACGTGCCAGTGGCAGTGGAGGAGAGTTACTCCGGCAACTACATAGTCGTCTTCGACCCTCTCGACGGTTCCTCCAACATCGACGCTGCAGTCTCCACCGGTTCCATCTTCGGTATCTACAGCCCCAATGACGAGTGTCTCGCCGACGACTCCGACGACATCGCCGCTGTAAAACTACACTACTCTCCCTTTCACCTTACACATTTATTCTTTATTAAGCAACTCTTCTACAAATATGAGATAGGCAAATTCGGTGTCCTCCTGATTGAGTTGGTTGTGTTGTTGTTTTGCAGCTTGGGACAGCAGAAGAAAGGTGTATAGTAAACGTGTGCCAGCCAGGGAACAACTTGCTAGCAGCAGGCTACTGTATGTACTCGAGCTCTGTCATCTTCGTTCTTACCTTAGGCAAAGGCGTTTTCGCCTTCACCCTCGACCCAATGTACGGCGAGTTTGTCCTCACGCAAGAGAACATCGAGATCCCTAAAGCCGGCAAAATCTACTCTTTCAACGAAGGTAACTACCAGATGTGGGACGACAATCTCAAGAAGTACATCGATGATCTCAAGGACCCTGGTCCAAGTGGGAAGCCTTACTCTGCAAGGTACATCGGGAGTTTGGTCGGAGATTTTCACAGGACTTTGTTGTACGGTGGGATTTACGGGTACCCTCGTGACGCCAAGAGCAAAAACGGAAAGCTTAGGCTTTTGTACGAGTGCGCACCCATGAGTTTCATCGTTGAACAAGCCGGAGGAAAAGGATCTGATGGTCACCAGAGAGTACTAGATATCCAACCAACCGAGGTAAGCTCGAACACACATTTCATGATCAACTTATTACATTAATCTCTGCTCGGTTCGGTTTTTACTTTATATCCAAGATTTAGTGTCATTCATCATCCTAATTCTTCTCTTTGGGATGCATTTGACAGATACATCAGAGGGTTCCACTTTACATTGGAAGCACAGATGAAGTGGAGAAGCTGGAGAAGTACTTGGCTTGACTCATGTAACAGTCATAAGCCATTTAAATTTCTATTGTAACATAGAACATGCATAAATGATGAGACTTTTATTTTGTTGTTGATATCAATATAGAGAAATCAGCTGTTAAACTATAAAGAAAGCCAAAACCATGTTTAATTTATACAACTCATAGTACTTAGTTAATTAGGATCGACCATAGGAGATGCATTTTTACATTCCATAGATCATTTCAAAAAAATTGGCACCATAGTTAGGCTATCGCAGAGGATTTGTATTGATGTCTTGGAGTCGATCAAAGCCTTCAAAAAACCAGTAGATTGTCTGTAACATCACTCAACCTGCAACTCTTGGCTGTGTTAAGAGAAAAAATAGCTGAGTTAGAGGGAGGATTGATGCATCACAAAAATCTCAAACAGAGAAAGACTAAGAAAGTGATCCTATTAAAAAACAAAGCACATACCTTGAAACAGTTTCCATAGGTGCATTTGGGGTACTTCCTTCACAACCGAGATCAAGATCAACTAATAGTTCTGAGAATGAGAAGTCTTCACTCAAGATAGAAAAATCAATGTCAGTTAAATCAACTTCCTGGTCAGACCCAGATGAAGAAGTTGAAGCCATATCTGCAGTGGCAGGTGCCTCTAAGCACGTTTCTGTATCACAGTCATCGAAGTTGAGCCTTCCTTTCACATGGTCTCTCTTACTTGACGAAGAAGATATATGGCGGCTCCTTTCCACTGTATAAGAAGTAATTTGCTTGAGAGGGCTGATTGTGAATCTCTCCTTTGTAACAATTGTGCAGTTTGTAGGAGTAACTTCTTTATGGAGACTGTTGTGCTTATCACTCCCAGGAGAAGAAGCATGCTTTTGTGGTGTCCTAAGACATATGGAACTAGTAGGAAGGGATGAATCAGCCTTATTGAACAAACACTTGACCACGCTTGACTCTGGACCAGTCATCAACTCATCACCTGATGATGATTTCTTGGCCAATGTTACGGTTTGAGATGTGGAATTGTTTGCAGCTTTATCAGCTTGTGGGATCTTATTCGTCTCTGATGAAAAGAAAACAGAAAAGAAAACAAAATAAGTTTTAGAGTACTGCTAGAGATTCAACTAAAGTTTAATTGACATGTGTAGAAAGCAGGCATGAACACATACCATTTGCTGTTGAGTCGTCTTGTGCTGTAGTAATCCGAGCTCTTCTAGTTACCGGAGGAGCTTCTACGGAAACTTCAGGACCTTTTCGTTTTCCGGTTATAGACTGTGTGGAAAAATTCCCAAAATCTACTCTTTTGTTACCCAGCAATGACACTGACATAACATTTGGTGCGTTGTACTGAGCGCAGCCTGAGGAAATAAGAACTCATGATTAGTTCCAGATGCGTGTAAGTCAGATCCATCAGCCCGATAAATCACAGGAAATCAAAGCCAATATGAATCGTCTCCAACAAAATAGCAGCAAATCTCAGTACACACACTACACAACTGCAAAGTTCTAATAAGCAGTGAAGAGCAGTAATCGCTTCGATAATTAGTGTGGAGCATGACAATATCAAGATACCCAAACTAACCTGAAGAAGGGTCTCTGTAGTTTTTCTGTTGAGAAGTCGGAGCTGGCACCGGAGGAGGAGGAGGAGGAGGAGGAGGCGCGGTGAGGCTGGCGTTGTAAGTGTTCATCACATTCTGCATTCCCTGCAACAGATTTTGAACCCTAATTTTCTCTTGATCCAATATCACTCTCTCTTGATCAAGCGCCACTTTCTGTTCCCTTAGAGATACATAGTCTTTCAGTATATCTTCGAGGGTCAGATAACTCTTTAGAACCTACGAAAGAAACAAAACGCATAAGAAACAATCAATCAAACAAACAAAAAAACCCAGAGATTTTGCAATTGAGGAAAAAGAAATCAAATGGAGGATTTCGTGTGCTTACATCACGAACTGGGGAATTAGAGAGGAGAGAGGAAGCTTCGGTTCTAAAAAGGGATCGGGTTTTCGAGAATCGATTGTCGCAGAGGTAACGATCGACGATGAAAGCAATTTGCGTCGGAGTAATTTCTCCATTCCCGATGTTAGCCGATCCCTTGGATTTGCTCGATTTACCCATCTCTCTAAGCCTTCTGGAAATCGGAAACCCTAATTAAGACGAAGAGGAAGCAAAATAGAGTGAGAGAGAGAGAGAGAGAGAGAGAGAGAGAGCGAAGTGAAAAACATCTGAAGATGAGAGAGGGGTTTTAGTAAAGGGAGTAACAAAGGAGCGGGAGATTTTTAAAAAGAAGGCTTTGGAACCGGCGGTTTCGTGTTTTTCAATTTGCCGGGAGATTCTGCGTCTGTGTTGTGGCGCGGTACATTGAATGTTTTGAAAGTAAAAAACTGGGAAACTGTTGCTTTTATCAGCCGGATTAATTGTATCACGAAAATAAAATTAAAAATCGCCAAAATATCCAGTGAATTATGTTATTTAAAGAAGAGGATCATATATTTGTTACGATTTAATTGGAAATATTGCGATTTTTTAATTTTAAAATTTTCAAGAGTCAAATTTATCATGCATGAACGAGAGGATATGATACTATAATTGTTTAAATAAAATAAAACGAAAAATTGCTTCACTACAATATAGAAAAAAACCAAATTACTTGATTTTTAGGCAATAAGTTCTAGACGGTCGAAAATATCCAAACGGAAACTTTTGATTTTGACTAAACAACTGAAAAAATCAGCTAACGAACGGATATTTTTTTTAGTCTCTTCTGATTAAAGTCCTTCTAGTGGTCTGTTTAAGACATTTTTTGTATGATTTTTATATAAAAATATAATCATAGAAATTGTAAAACATATTAAAAAAAAAGAAGCGACCAATTAGAAAATCGATTAACATAACTATTAAAAATAAACGCATTTATGAGATGATTAACGGTGTAGATGAAGCATTTTTGGGGTTTACCACGGTGACAAGAAAGAAAGCAATAACTCAAAAATATTCACAGAAACGAGGAGACAAAAGTTGCTAACTTTAACGCTTTCACATTGTCCAAGTGCTTCACCCCATCCCTCTCTGTTCTTTCTCTCTCTCTCTTCCTCCACCACTTTACTCTCTCCGATCTCATCTCTCCCATTTCAAACCCTAGGCATCAATCACAAAAATCCACAACTATATTCCATCTCCTAAAGCTTGCTCCCATTAATGGCGAGCTTCATTCCCTCCTGGTCATTCCTCGTTCTACTCCTGGCTTTCATCTCACTCTTCTCCAGAATCTCGATTTCCGAAGCTAAATCATCCTTCTCGTTCACGGGTTTGGATAAAAACGCGAGCTTTGCGTCCGACGACATTGCCCTGTACGGCGAAGCAAAGCTCGTCGACGGCGGATCTTCGATTCAGCTGACTGACTCAATGAGTCACGGTGGTGGGCGAATCGTCTACAAGAAACCCATCGAGTCCGTCAACACTGAATCCGAGTATTTCACGGGATTCTCTACTGTTTTCTCTTTCTCGATGTCTCCTGGTCGTGGTGGGAGATTCGGGTTTGTCATGTTTCCTGCTAACGGAACATTTGATCACTCTTTCTTCCAAGTTAACTTCGACATTTCTGAAAATTTCACCAAGTTTGGAGTTTCGAATGTCACGGTGATTTTCGATGGTACTACGGTTTCTGAGAAGATGAGCAATCTCACGGTTGCAGACTCGGGGAAGGAGAGTTTGTTGGTGTACGCTTGGATTAATTACCAAGTGAGTGGCAAGTTTCTAGAAGTTCGGCTAAGCAAAACAGAACCCTACAAATCTGCTGATTCTCTGTTCATTTCTCGGATTGATTTGCTGAAGGACGAGGATGAGTTCATGGTGGGTATCAAGTCGTATAGCGGGAACTTTAATCTCCATTCTTGGAGATTAGGAGCGAGATTCTTGCATAGGTATATGCACTCTTATGCGGCGCTTCTTGAGTCAAAGCGTAGAGGGGAGGAGGAGGCAGAGAGGAGGAGAAGAGAGAGGATGTGGGGAACTGTGACTTGCTTCGTCATGACCTTTGGATCTACAGGGCTTGTATTCTTTGCCGTGATGCATATATGGGCAGCTTTCAAAAGAAACAATCTCGTGATGGTGACGCCGGAGGAATGTGGGCTCAAGACAAAGGAGTTTGAGTACGAGAAGATGGATAAAATGGAAGTTGTGATCAGTAAAGCTGAGGCGCAACAAGAAAAGAAGTGAAAGTCAAGTTTGCTGATTCTTGTGTGTTTAGGATATGTGATCTTTATGTAATCAAGTAGATCTCTTGGGTGTGTAATGGTAACTAGTAAAGCAGGATGCTCTTCATTGGCTACTGTAGTCCCTCCTTGTTTTTCACGTGTGTAAGCTTGCAACATTGTTACTCTTTGGCACTTGTATAAGTTTGTTTCAGCATGTAAAATGTGACAAGAATGTTGAAGATTCCACACACAAAAAATTGGGATACAGATAAAGAAAAGGCAATTTCCACCACCTACGTAGTCAATAACAGATGTAATCAAGCTCATTTTAGGTACACAGTTTCAAGAGAAGATAAGCTTCATCAAGATGACGACTACGTTAATGAGCAGGAGGGGCAGTCTCATGTACTGGCAGGCATTGATCAGACCGATGATTTGGCCTTTAAGAGAGTTTCTTCTACCGGTTTGGTGGAGTTTTTCAAGTGTCCATCCTCTTGGAGCAAGGAAACGATCTTCATTGAGGATTGCAAATGCATTTGCAAAGAGCAGCAGACCTTTCATCAATGTCCAGAAAGCCATCGTTCTCTGTGATTGCATAGAGTTTGAAAATAATCAGAAATCAGGGAATAGAGAGTGGAACGAACTCACGAAGTTGTCTGATTCATGGCACATAGTTTCATATACCCATTACTTCCAAGAAGCCATGTTTAGAACAAATTTTTCATTCTATAGTGATTCACTGCGTCATGATGAATCTAAGTGACTACGAAAGAGAACGATGAACATAGCAATACAAAAATCTTGATTTCAAACAAATAAAGAGCAATGCTTAATCTTAGGACGATGTTATAGCAACCATTCTCAAGGACATTGAAGAACATAAGCAACAAAAAAAGTATGTTTCGTGACAATTCCAGGATCCAAAGCAGCTTGCGAGAATCACCAAGATGAGGTTTTCTTACGGTGCTTGGTTTAAGAACTTATCAATCACAAATTCACAACTTTATCACATAAAGGTGTAACGAATTACGCAGCGAAACTGATCGATACGAGTCCCATAAGGACATGAAATCCTCCAAATCAAGCGAACCGGTGAAATTAAGAAAGAATACTTACCGGCGGAAAGCAATCAACGATGAGTACGACGGGAGAAGTGAGAATTTGCTGCCGGAACCGTGTGACTTTTTTTTTATTTCTTCAGTTCTTCTTATAAAGCCTGATTTGAGTAAAAAAAAACACGGTTCAAATTTTAAGGGTTGACCCGGTTCCAGTAAAAGTCGGGTCAGGACCCGATATGATTTTTTTTTTTTCAAAGAGCGAAGATTTGGATAAACCCCGACATCGAAGTAAAAACCCCATGGCCATGGCTTCGCTTCTTCTCTTTCCTCACCTTCACCAATTTGGTTCTTCACACTCGATCATAAGTCGTAGAGAGATAGTAGCTCACGATGGAAGACCTCGAAATTCACCAACATCAAGGCGATTTCTTTCTCCGAGATCTTCAATTAATGGCGGCATTACAAATGGAGCAGCAGCGGAAACCGCTAAACCCAGTCGCAAGGGGAGGAAGAAGAAGCAAACCTCGACGGTCGTTGTTGAGAAAGCAAATACCGAAAACGGTACTGTCGAGACGAATCCTGAATCGGATCCGGCGTTAACGGATTACGACGACGGGATCGAGTTTCCATACGACGATCCGCCTCTCGTGTGCTGCTTCGGGGCCGTACAGAAGGAATTCGTTCCGGTGGTGCGTGTCCACGATAACCCGATGCACCCTGACATGTACTCTCAGTGGAAGATGCTGCAGTGGGATCCGCCGGAGTTTGGGCGAGCTCCGGGAGGTCCGCCGTCGAACGTGGCCATCTCTCACGTTAGACTAGGCGGGAGGGCGGCGTTCATGGGGAAAGTGGGTGAAGATGATTTCGGGGAAGAGCTAGTTTTGATGATGAACAAGGAGAGAGTTCAGACGAGAGCTGTGAAATTCGATGAGAACTCAAATACTGCTTGCACTCGCGTCAAGATCAAGTTCGAGGACGGGAAAATGAAGGCGGAGACGGTGAAAGAGCCACCGGAGGACTCGCTCCTTGCTTCAGAATTGAATCTTGCTGTACTGAAAGAGGTAAAATCTTACATTCTTGGATTTAGAAGGAACAAATTGCTTTCATTTATCTTATGAAATGACATTATGAAAGCTCGAGCCTGGATCCTATGGTAATTATATGGCATAAATCATTCTCCAATTTGGATCATGTAACAGAGCACTGTGGATTTCTGTAAATTAGCTTGGCTTTTGAAGCTTTTTTGTTTACTTGTGCTTCCAATGCAGGCAAGGATTTTTCATTTCAATTCAGAAGTGTTGACGTCTCCTACGATGGAATCAACTCTTTTTAAGGCAATACAATGGTCCAAAAAGTTCGGAGGGCTTATTTTCTTTGACTTGAATCTTCCATTACCACTATGGAGATCGCGCAACGAGACTAGGAAGTTGATCAAGAAAGCATGGGATGAAGCTAACATCATAGAAGTTTCACAGCAAGAGCTTGAGTTTCTACTTGATGAAGAGTACTACGAGAGGAGGAGAAACTACACACCACAGTACTTTGCTGAGGATTTTGAGCAGACCAAGAACAGAAGAGACTATTACCATTACACAGCAGAGGAAATCAAACCATTGTGGCATGACGGGCTGAAGCTATTGGTTGTGACTGATGGAACACTTCGGCTTCATTACTATACTCCTTCTTTTGATGGTGTTGTGGTTGGAACCGAAGATGTGCTTATAACTCCTTTCACCTGTGATAGAACAGGTTCTGGTGATGCTGTTGTTGCAGGCATTATGAGGAAGCTAACAACTTGTCCTGAGATGTTTGAGGACCAAGATGTGTTGGAGCGACAGCTCCGGTTTGCAGTCGCTGCTGGGATTATATCGCAGTGGACAATTGGCGCAGTTAGAGGTTTTCCTACTGAAAGCGCGACACAGAACTTGAAAGAGCAGGTTTATGTTCCATCAATGTGGTAGAAAGAAAGATGAGAAAATCAGCTTCTACTAAATGTTTTTTGAACAATATGTGAGATGTATACTGATTCAAAATTGTAATCCAATGTACAATCATTTTTTTTAGTTCACTGATCACAACGATGTAAGAGGATGATGAGCAGATGTTTCCCTACGATAATCTCTGTTTTGTTCTGCTCAGCTTCCTTCCCCTGCAGAGTCACAAAAACGCTCAAGCTAATCCAACTCTTCCTGTAAGGAAATTCGATTCTACAAGCTGTCCGAATCTTCCGAAACTCCTCGGGTTGCCTCTTATCCTATATCGTACAAAAACGCTATAAACTCGACTCAGGTTGCTTCTATGTACTGATCGATCCACTGTAGCATTCTTCAGTATTTGAGATGGGAATCTCGACTAAGGGTATCGACGCTATCTTAAAGCACTCTTCTTCCATGTCTTTGACTCCGTTCCTAGACTTGATTTTTTCCAGAGCTGCTCGGGATGAGACTTGTCACATATGCAATCGGGCTGTGGGTTCGCATAAAAATTCTCCTCTAGCCTGGGAAAAGCAGCAGGCAGTCTCGAATAAGCCGCTCCGATCCTGTCTCTGTTTAGTCGCTTAACCTCGGAAGCAAACTCTTCCCAAGACATGACTCCCTCATCAAAATGATCTATCAGTCTAACAAAATTCAACCTGAAATAATCATACAGATAAAAATCAGCAAAAACCAGAGAAAGAAACTGCAAATTCTGGCAAAACAATGATAGTCTTGTTCCATGTTACGGTACCTGTCTGGATTAATAGACTTCCTAAACCCTTCAAACCTTCTGTGTCCCTGTACCGCCTTAGCCATGTTTCCATCATATGTATATACAAAGACATCGCTTTCAAGGGCCACAATGTAATCCAGTGCAGCAAGGCGATTTTGGTATGCACTGAAAGGCTCTAACTCTTCTTCAGTCGCGAGGGTTGAGTGAGAAAACACATTTGGGTACTCTTCACGGAAAGCATCCATACTCTTGCTTCCATAGATCTCACCAGCAACTATATATATAGTCGTGGAGGACGGATATCCCATTGCCTTTAGAAATATGGCTGCTTCTCGCGGAGACATTGGACAACCGCCTTGAATACGTTTCTCTCTGCTGTCAATCTCTTTCTCCTTCCAATGTTTGACGCTGTACCTCATTATTCTCAGGTCTTCAGCTTCCTCAGCTGTAAGGTTGTGGTTGCATCCTGTAAAGGCGAGCATGTCCTTTTCGTATCTGCAAATCCAAAACTCATTTAATTCAAAACCGCTATCCAGATGATTTTCCTTGCTGATGATAAGAAATGTCTGATTTACCTCAAATGGAGAGCGATATACGGCTCACTGTTGTTTCTTAACCGGTTAACCAAAACCTTTCCGAGGTCCTCGATCTCCTTGGTGTACAACAGTGCCTGGTAATTAGCACGACATCTCAGTCGTTGGATCGATGGTGGCAAGCCATTGTTAGCAAGCCGCGAATCAGTAAGCGTGAACTTTAACACCTTGTAACGTTTCAACAGTGGCAGCATTTCGCTTCTGTAGTAACTAGCCTGCATTTCCATTATGAATTTGAGAATTTACTTCTCATGGTGGAAAATCCTCACATCCATGTAGGAGAACAGAGACAAAACACAGAACGGTAACCAATAAAACATTCCCTAATATGAACGCTTACCTTCGACCAAGAAACAGGGGCCTTTAGCAGAGGCTTCATGGCAGCATACTGAGGAGGCAAGTACTCGACAATCTCAACATCGTGTTTCAGCACATTCATGAAGTTTCTCCAGTCAAAAATATCTTTAAATGTGCTGCATACCAGAAAAAATTATCAGTATTCTGCTTATGGTTTTTAGAAATATCTTGTGGTATCAGGTCAACAAGAGTGACAAGATATTAGGACAAGACCTCGGGTCAGTCCAGAAAGATTCGTGGTCGAGAAAAGGAAGAACAAGAGTTGCATTCATAATCTTGGCAACAGCAACCATGTCACATATCTGCATTTTGGTCAAAACGAACAAAGAAAAGTAAATCAAAACAGTTCACTGAGGAGAATCATGAGATCAAAACCATCTAAAATACTGTGGAAATGAGAACTCACCCCAGTTCTCATCTGATTCAATCCCCCATTTGCGTGTACTAGAAGATACCCATTGGTTTTTCGGTGCAGTCCTAGACATGACAGACATATATCAGTTCCTCGTTACAGGAAAACAAGATCTTGAAAATTCAAAACTGCAAATGCGGCTGAAGAAGAATTAAGAAATGCAAAATATCAACATACTCGTGTGGTTCTTAGGACGCGCCACACATTGACGATAATTTCCACTTTCAGGTTTCTGCCAAATTTCCGGAATCTGTAAAAAGCAACAAGCAAACATGAAAATCATAACCTGATCCTCGGAAATGAAGTCGTAAAGATTTTGCCTTCCATACATTGCAAAAGAAAATCAGAGGAAATGATAAAGAATAAGCTCATTATCAATAAATGCGACCTTACATTAATAATATATAACCCAACAAACGAAACTACACTCTTACAAGATCAACCATCTTAACTCGGGGGTACATCTACTCAACGGTGCCATGAACTGTTAATTAAACCAATATCAACAGTATCGTTTGGGAAGATCAAAAGCTTCTCTCAAGCTATTAAAAATGGATTGTGTAGAAACTAAGGTCAACTAAAACTGTAGGGAAGTGATGATCCACATAAAGGCCGCCCAAAACCATTGACTATATTATTGCTCGTCAAAGTCACGCTCCAATATTTAAAAAAAAAGTACAGCTTCATTTCAGAATATTCTAGCGCCACCGAAACATCGATCATTCAGTTATTGAATCATTAGTGATGTTGGAAGAATTCAACTTTCTACCTAACCCACTAACTTCTTCTTCTTCTTCTACCTTTCGTTTTCTCTTTCAAGTTTCTCCAGAAAAGGAGACATTGATGCAAACAGTACTGCAATCTTTTATTAAGCTAATTTTCTTAGAGATTGCTTATCTTACTGAAAACTCGTCAACAAAGTTACAGACACAGACGAAAATTCCGCTCATTTCGTCATAAGTTTCAATCAGAAAACCTTAAGCAAGCACAAAAAGTAATTTCAGTAGCCACAAACACAGAAAGAGGAGTGAATTTGATCCTAACTACTGACTTTAATCAAGAAAATAACTCTAGATTTGCGTATTTCTCAATTGGTCGTCAATTCCCAAAGATATGACTCTGTTTCCTCGGGAAACGAACAGAAAATCCCTAAAAATGTTAAGTGTAAAAGAGCAAAGAGAGAGAACAAAAACTCACGGGAAGCTTTTCGAGAACGCGCATTGGCTGAGAGGAAGCTTGGTTTTCCGCGACTTCGCGTTGAGCCATTGACCGATCGTCACGGAGTGTTCTAACGACGACAAACTCGTTCAGTCGCGCGTGGTCGACCACGCTTACACCACCTATGAGGTAGACCCTGAGGAACACGGACGCGACCACGAGAACCATGAGGAGACCCAAGATCCGACGGCCCACGCTTCTTCCCGATCTAAACCCTTGCCCCACCACAGCCGCCGATCCACCGCCACTGCTGCCTTGGAAAAACGGAAATCGGAATTTACGGAGGAGAAGGAACCGAATCGCTTGGTGGTTGTGAAATTGGTGATAGTGATCGTGGTGGTAGTGAGATCCAGTAGACGAGGAACCCTCCGAAGATGGGGAGGAACACGGACCTCCTTGGCCGTTCGTTTCTCCGCCGTCCAAATCCGTCGATACAACGACGTTATTAGCGGTGGTTAAATTGACTGTACTGCAGAAATCAGAAGAATTCGAGGGTCGTTCGGAGACTACGTCAAGAGAATCGCCCACACGGCGGCGGGTGGTGGTGGGTCCGGCAGGGATTGGTGTAGCGGGTAAGGGGTTAATCGCTCCGGCGACTGACATATCGCCGCCGGTCAGAGAGAATTCAATATCAGAAAATGGAAGAGAGAGAGAGGCAACGAAGAGAGAGAGAGAGAGGGGATGATTAGTTATTAGGGGGTGGGCTACGTGGCCATGTTCTGGTATTCTTCTCCCTCAATAGCCACCGTCACCGTGAAATTCGGTGAAGCTGAGGCGCCGAGTCTGCTTTTTGTCTCAGATTTTATATATTGGCCAGTGCGTGTATATATTTTATGTGACTGTTCTAATCATTTGATTTTCTTTTTACCGTTTTGTACTTTTTTATTTTATGGATAATTCCAAGAGTTCATCACGTATGTAGCACATCTTTTATTTCAAATCAAATCGAATATACCTCATCACAAATATCTATTTGACTTTTTGTGATTATTTACAGTGTTTTGAAGCTTATAAATTTCTTAACATTTTGTATTTGCTTAATAAGATATCTTAAAAGGATTACACAAACTAAGAGGTAGAAATAAATACCTTACATCTAACATGATTGATAGAAATCTCAAAAGATTAAAAAGCAGAAAAAGTGAAGATTTTTTGTCGATTAGCCAAAAAAAAGAGGCAAAGGTGAAACATCTTGATCCTAAATGTCTCACAGTTTTCTTATCCGGTCGCTTTCTGAATTTAAAGAAACTAGTCAATTTTAAAAACTTTTTTGCGCATTCATTCATATAACCCTTCCCATACAATTAAATTCTCAATACACGGTTTTGTTTAATCGGAAATTCTCAAAATTTTATAAAAAGTTAATTATTAATAATATATATCATTAATAATAATTAAGTGATTGTCTTGTTTGATAATATATTTGTAAGAAATTTTTGTTTGTGAAAAAATGTTTTAATAGATTTGTGAAATTGGGCCATAGTAAAAAATAAAACATACATAAAACTTAAAATATTTTTTTTAAATAGTAAAATAAAATAAAATGATTTTTCGTTATTCGTTGTTTTCTACTTTTTATTTATATAGTTTTTTCCGTCACTTTACGTCTTATTTTTTGTTTGTAATTATCACTATATAATTGAAATATAGTGAGACAAAATAAGATGATAATAAAAGTGAAACAAGTTCTCCTTCTAAAAATCTGATGCCGCAAAATTTCACACAAACAATTGAACTTGTAAATATTTTGCTAAGAACTTACTTAAAATAATATTTCAAAAATTTCCATCAAAAAACCGATTTCACAAATTTCATTCCAAAAACATGAATAAATAATTTTTACACCTAAAGAATTACATCAAAAATATGATCTAAAAACATTTTATCAAAATTTTGATTTTGTGAATTTCTCGCCAAAATTCGAATCCATAAAAAAAATTCACCAAAAACTTTACATTAAAAATGTGATTCCAAAAACTACCAGTCAAAATTTTGATTTCATGAATTTCCTGCTATATAAGTGAAACCATAAATCTTCCATCAAAAAATTATTTAAAAATATAATTTCAAAAAACTTCTGTGAAAACCCAATTTCAGAAATTTTCAGCCAAAAACATGAATTTATAAATTTCCCACCAAAACATTTATTTTAGAATATTTTACTTTGATTTCATGAGATATCAAAAAAATTCTAGCTAAATAGGTTGTCACAAATTTTCTGCTAAATACTTGAAATTTGTAAATATTTATGGGAAATTTTTTGTGTTGAAATGTAGTTTCAAATCTATTTGACAAAAATATAAATTTTTTAAATTTTTGTCAAAATTTGAATACTTCAATTTTGTATCAAAATTTTAACATCAAATTTTATTTATAGATTAAATAATGTCATATCACAAGTCATGTGTACTAAAAACTGACATGTCACAATTACATCATCATTTCCATGTCACATTAAAATTGTTCAAACTAAACATATTAACCAATCAAATTAAAACAAATCAGTATTTTTCACTAAACTACATTCTCAATTAATAGGTAGAGGATTACAATTTACATTAACTAATACTAGTATGAAACAGGTGAGAGATTTATAAAATAAAATAAAAATTAAAACTTAAAATATCCACCTAACTTTAAATTTGGGATAATTAAGTAGATATTATTGGTTTTTGTATTTTAATAGATTTGAGAATCCAAACCATTTTCAGTGTTATTGGTTCTTGTATTTTAAAAAATATATTAGAATACAATATTATTAGTTTTATGATTTTAAAATTCATAATAAAATACAGTATTATTAGTTATATAATTTTAAAATTTAAATATTATAAAGATTTGAATTTTAATTGAATTTGAATGGATTTGGAAGAATTTTCATGACTAAAATATAAATATTTAAATACAGTTAATTTTGATATTTAGCTGGATTTGATTTTTTCTATTTTAATGATTTTAAAATTAATAAATTTATAGCATCAAAAAAAAATGTTTAAATTTATCGAAATATAAAAATCAATAATCCCTACTAAAAAGTTATCTGCCGTGGCGTGGAGTCATTTGATTGACATTTCCAATTAAATCACAAATAGATGATATCAATGAGTCACACCTACAACTGTATATAATGCGCTGCTAAATAGCCACCCTTCCTTTTTTTTTATTTTCGTAGCACAGAGAGAGAGAGGGACGAACTTTACTAACTGCAACTCTATAGGGGCCAAGTTGCGTAGCCGTAATCGTCGTCGCTCTTCCCGAGATTCTCTTCTCTCTTTCTCTGTTTGATTCCGCAACCCTAACTTCCTCCCTCTCTCTACTTTTTCATCGTTCTCCGATTTCGCATTTTCTGGATCGAATATGGTAGCTGATAGCAAATCCGACCTTTCATTGCCCAAAACTTTCGCCTGCAGTGCCTTCGCTGCTTGCGTCGGCGAGGTAATTTCCAGATTCCCCAATTTTCCATGCTCCTTTTCACCTTTTTTTTTGGTTCTTGTCGCTGAGTATGGTTCGATTGTACGCGCGGAAAATGTATTTGCGAATTTTCCATGAAAATTTTCTGAAGTTCGATCAGGTTGATTTTCGTGTGTCATCGTATAGCTAGAGCATAGTGTTATTAGCTTCTACATGTACTATATATCTCCAGATTGTGTGCTTCTATTAAATTTCGATGGAATTGATTCGATTTCTACACTCGATGTAATCATGTGTATACAGTTATTCTGTCAGATCTGCGAATAGGATTTAGTTTTGGCGTTTGATTGCAGTGCTAGACGACGATGTTAGTTTTATGCTCTGGAGATGATTTCATGAGATTTCATAGTGGTTTCGATTTTCGAATCAACGCATTGTATTCGTTTTGCAACTGTGTGCTGCTTCCTCAGATAAATCTTGTGTTGCATCATCTGCATTCAATTGTTAAATTACCTTCAGACGATGTTTTTTGATATATCTTATGCAATCAAACTCTGGATCAGGTATGCACGATTCCGTTGGACACTGCTAAAGTTAGGCTTCAGCTCCAGAAGTCTGCCATAGCTGGAGATCTTACTCTGCCTAAGTATCGGGGATTGTTGGGAACTGTTGGTACCATTGCAAGGGAAGAAGGGCTTCGCTCGCTGTGGAAAGGTGTTGTACCGGGGTTGCATCGTCAATGCCTGTTCGGAGGACTAAGGATCGGAATGTATGAGCCGGTGAGTTTTTCTAATCAGTAACTTTTTTTCATGCTCCTGAAAACGCACTTCGTAGTTTTAATACCCAAAAGCTGAACAAATTTGTTTTCCTCAGGTCAAAAACTTGTACGTTGGAAAAGACCATGTAGGTGATGTTCCCTTGACCAAGAAGATCCTTGCTGGTTTGACAACAGGTGAGCATTGCGGTAGAACGGTGTAGAAGAAACTCAGAATGTTAGGTTTCTCCCTTATGAGTTAATCGTGTTGTTGTCTTCACTCACAGGTGCGCTGGGTATCATGGTGGCGAATCCAACTGATCTTGTGAAAGTTAGACTTCAGGCTGAAGGAAAACTAGCTGCGGGTGTGCCAAGACGGTACTCTGGGTCACTGAATGCGTATTCAACAATTGTGAGACAGGTACAAGTTATATCCCGCCTATAGAAGTTGAGATTATGCTTATTAGTTTGCTTAAACGTTGCTTCATATCAATGTAATTTGGCTCTGACAGGAAGGAGTCCGAGCTCTTTGGACTGGTCTTGGACCCAACGTAGCAAGAAACGCAATCATCAATGCTGCTGAATTAGCGAGTTACGATCAAGTGAAGCAGGTATGAAACAAATTTGTTCTCTGCTTCTCCTCTTTGTCTAACTAAAGGATCCTGATATATTTTTAACCAACATTCCTCTCTTTCTTTCTTTTTTTCGTTCAGACAATCTTGAAGATTCCGGGTTTCACTGACAACGTTGTCACGCATATTCTATCTGGACTGGGAGCAGGATTCTTTGCTGTCTGCATCGGTTCTCCTGTCGACGTGGTACGATATCTACACATGACATTAAACCTAATGAGTTTGTTCACTACGTTTCCTGATTATCTTTTTGAATCATGTTGTGTGGCACAGGTGAAGTCAAGAATGATGGGAGATGCTGCTTACAAAAACACCATTGACTGCTTCGTCAAAACACTGAAGAACGACGTAAGCAACTCTGCTTCTGTGTCCTCTCTAGAATTCTCGCTCCCTATAAACGGTTTCTTAGCTCTTTGAGTTTTTCGTCTACAGGGTCCTTCGGCATTTTACAAAGGTTTCATCCCCAACTTTGGACGCCTTGGCTCATGGAACGTCATCATGTTTTTGACCCTCGAACAGGTAACGACTAATGAAACTTGTATTGTATGGAATCAATCAATCACGCAAAGCTTTGTTTCTCTTTTTTCTAATCTCGGTTCTTTAATACTTTGATCCAGGCAAAGAAGTATGTCCGGGAACTTGATTCGTCCAGGAAACACTGAGACACAGAGTTTTAAACAGAGAGAATAAGAGCAACACTGTTTTCTTCTTAATTTCGGTGATCGAGAGAGACCAGAAAATGGTCGAATATTGTTTTGGCATAGAGAGTCAGTTTTCAAGTAAAAACTGTGAAATAAATTTATGTGGGTTGCTCATATTTTGGCTGTACCATTTCAAACTTTATAAAAAAAAACCAAACATTTTCGTCCCTTCTTTCCACAAAACTGAGAAATCAAAACAAGAAAGAAGAAGAAACTCTCTGAAGAAGAGAGCAGATGAAAACATAGAATCAGTCTCTCAGCTCAGTTTCTTATTTTCCGGAAAAGCCCATATCTCGAATCTAAGGTAAAGCTCTTTAGCTTTGTTGCAGATGAACACCATAGACCCATCTATGTAATCCTCGTATCTCTCGTAGAAAGCTGGAACTGTCATAACTACCAAAACCCCTGCCAAGAACAACCACAGTCTCGAATAAATCTCTAGCTGAAACCAGTCCAAGTCTATGAGAGATTTTACTTACCGGTGTGGCAAAGTGTCTGAAAATCCATGAGGCTTCCGATGAATGAGATGAGAAACAGAGACACAGCTACTTTAATAAACAACTCTGAGTCTCTTCCCATTGCAATGTCATGCGAGACTTGAAACAGTTTATTCACATGGATGCGTAACAATGTTGAAGCTTCTTCCGCCATCGCTTCAGTTATATGAAACTCCGGCAATGGTGGTGATGGCCTGTAGCCAAGGAAATTGGATTTAATAGAAATGAAGAATACAATGGAAATTCAGGATCCTCCTTGACTGAGAGGACATTGTTGTGGTTTACCTGTTGAGGATGGATGCAGATTTGGACCAGAGGAAGAGAATAGAGAGCAAGAGGAGAAGAACACTTGAAACAAGAGTGAGGATAGTATAAGCCAATGTCTCAAACACCATCCATGAACCTATTGTTACTGTGACTATACCAACACTCACATTCTTCTTCCTCCACAGCATCACATCTGCAACTGCAGATTCATTTCATAAAAGGTTACAGAAGTGAGAGATCACTTAGCTTTTTATAGGATTTTGGATTTGGTAATGAGATATGGATTCACTTACCAATGCCACCTCCCAGAATCTCATGTACTGTCCTCTCTCTACTGAACAACTTTTCCGAAGAGGAAGAAGAACCCATTTTAGAAGAAAGATCAGCAACAGGAGTCCAGCTTGGATTCAGATTTTCTCAGATCCCAAAAGTTACCCAGATATATAATATATATTCGCTCTGAATGTCAGAAACAGATGATCATGTGCAAGAGGAATCACAAAAGCTCAAATCGAAACAACCGTATGAATCAGCAGAAGAGAGTGAAAAAAAAAGAGACAAAAGTGATGAGACTAAAGTTGGGTCATCACCATCATCATCAAAGCCATCAACTTTGAATACAATAAATTAATAATAATTCAAAGCTTATGCTCTGTTAAGGAAAAAGAAAGTGTTTGTTGGCCTCTCGATGTTATCACCTTCCAGCCTAAAAGTGATATCCTTCTAGTCCAGGTTTTCAAAACTGTAAATGTTCGCTTGATGTGACTTGATGAATTACAATTTTACTCCATTCATTGCGCACACAAAAAATATTCCATGTAGAAATAAATAGTCGTATTATCAAAGTTAGTAATCTATTTACTTTAGTCAATCCAATTAATTTATTAACTAAAAAATATTGACAAAAAAGAATATGTAAAGATATAAACAAAAAAAACGACCAACCGAGAAGAAAAAGTAATATACTTTATTTTTCTTAAATGATGAAATAAACAAATAATTGAAACAATGATCATTTTTGAAACAAACAAGTTCAAGAAAAAATGAAGTAAAACTCCTCTATAGTCATTCATAATCTGGTTTAAGATTATCAGAACTCAGAAGTTAAGATGGCTTTGGGATTTACCAAAAAAGAAATCAAACAAACACCATTTTACAAATCGTTTATTCTCTGGTTTCTATCGATGTAAGCTTTTATGTTCTGTATGTAAAATTGTTTGTAACAAACCAAATACAAAAAAAACCCAAAACCAAACAAAAGTGAATGTTCCTCACCCTCCTCATCAATAAAGCTTCTTCTCTATTCTCTCTCCTACTTTTGTTTATTAGTTTCCTTTTGAGAAGTCCCAACAGCTCCGAGATTGGCACCAGCCGCAGAAGCATCAAGCAAACTCGCTGCAATCGCTGCCTTCAAGTCATCATCTTCCATCTCTGAAAACGCCCGCACTTCCTCCCGCGACAACGCCTGATATGGTCTTTGCTGATCCACATTGTCATTACCTCTGTTGTTGTTGGTGACAGGACTCTGCACCGAGCTCGTGTTCTTCAATATTCTCTCCGCGTCTTCAGGAGAAAGCCACTGTCCGAAACCGTTTGAAGCTTCAGAGGAAGACGACATGGGACATTCCTGAGGGAAGTTTCCTTTCACTATGAAGATGCTCCAACCCGAGCCCTTGAGCGAGTCGAGAAATGCAGAGAGGTAGAATTTCGATAGGTGTTGCGGTGCTGCGAGGAGGCTGTCAAAGTTGTACCATTCGCCGTTTGCTTTCCTTATGCAGAACCAATGGTCATGCAAGTGGCAGATGAAGGCACTTTCAAGCTCGGGGTCTATCTGCGCAGGCTCTGCATCGGGACAATTGAGCGGAATCACTTGCAAATCCCACACTTCCAATGCCTTTTGCAAGACCTGTATACATTTAAATAGAAGCTTCCTCAGTGACAAGACTAGATTTACTTACAACTCATCTTGCAAAGATTTAGATGCTACACAGATCACATAAACCCAAAAATAGTACTTCTACTTTTACATGTTCAAAACTTTAAAAGTGGTTTGCTTTTTTCTACACTCTCAAATCTTTGTTCCGCAGCAAACTTATCAAGCAACTATTTTTAAGATGATACTTCTTACACGAGACAATCAAGATCAAACCTGAAGTGAAGTGAGTAAAAGATAGTAGAAACAAACCCCACAAACAACTAAAAATCATGAGTGCTCTAGATAAGAGAATCTCTCTAAAGTTCCTCCATGTCTCACCATAAAGAAGCTACTAGTGAGTTTAATCCCGAGAATTCACCATTACTAATCTCAATTCATGATTTCTGTAGTCTTCGTGATTCGATTTGTAGCACTTAGCACTAAACGTTCAAATTATAAATTGGTACATTAATAATCTTCAAGATCGCTGATATGCATTTCATACTGTTTCCACTTCAATCTAATTACCTAATTTCGACTAAACTTCATAAGAATTGGGAGTCACATATTCTTAATCTTGAGGCAAAAGTCAAGGAATTTCATATTGATCTAAAAAAAACAGAGAAACCACGAACTCAAGAAATCCCAATTGTACCTGGATACTGAAATCGCCGCCGAGGGAAACATTGTGCGACTCCTCAGAGTAGAAATCGCCGGCGGATAAGCCTCCGGTGTCGGCGCCTTCGAGCATGACCTGACGCTCCTTCCCGTCGAGATCGGAAGCGACGGCAGCCAAATCAAATTCGGAGAAGAAAGGTCCCTGCAGCACCGTGTTGACGCAGTGAACGGCGCACAGATTTGCTTCCTGCACCTCGTGGTACAACATACCTCCGTTGCTTGTTCGCTCCATCGCCGATCGAGAACTAATACAAAACCCTAAATTCAACTGATTCCGTGGTGATATATAGCGATGCGAAAGGTCTTCCTCTTCAAGAAATTAGGAAAGGAAGAAGTGGAAGAAAGAGGAAGCAATGAGAGATCGGAAGTTAGACCAAATATATAGCCTTTAATTATCCTTTATTGATTTATAGTATAAAAAGCTGCTCCACATCATTACACACGCGTCATATTAATTTTTTTACTTTTACAATTCCAACAAAAAATGTTATCATTTTCTTTACCTGAATGAAAGTCCTAAACACAAATTTTCATTTTAAAATCACTTTCCTAGTTAATAATGCTTAGAAGAAAATTAATAATTCTATTGATTTCCAAAATCCTAGTGGAATGTTAATTAAAATCATGTGTCGAAAATGTATTTAAATGCTTATACTTTTTACAATATTAACTTTTTTTATTTGGTGTCTATGTTAAATTGGCAAATGAAACACAGATATATGAAGAGAAAAAACATTTTCTAAGCAATTCATCTGTTGTTTACATAAAAAAACGAAACGACATATAATTAGTGGATGCCACGTGTAAAAGTAATTGACTTCGTACTGTGAGTTACTTCTTCTGATGTACTTGTCAAAAAGTATGCAAAGCAAAGCCTAAGCCAAGGGAATACGCTTTGCAAGAATCAAAAATCAAGATTATTTTTCAAACTATTCAACTTAAACCGTCCTAATTAAACAAACCTTTTCTTAATCAAACAAACATTTTACAGACAAGTGGAAATATTATTCAGGAAACACAAAATACAATCAGCAAAACCCAACAATCATCAACAACTACACGTATTTTTACATTTACAAGCAAGTTTTGTTTCTTTGCATCAATGTGCCCGACCTATAGCTTTCTTGTACTTGTAGCGTTTTGAAATCCAGAGGTAAACCAAGAAGTTGAGGAAACTGAGAATTGCCAGCAAATAGAAAAAGTAATCAAGATGGCCCCGGTTCAAGTTATCCGGTATCCAACCCGGTTTCCCGTTCTTCGTCGTCGTTTTCATAACAACCGTCACAAGAACCGTGCTTAAGTAGTTTCCGAGAGCAACCGTGGTCAAGGACAAAGCCGAGCAGAGACTCCTCATTGCGTCAGGAGCCTGATCGTAGAAAAACTCAAGCTGACCTATAAAGGTGAAAACTTCCGCACACCCAACAAGTAGATACTGCGGGATCTGCCAGAATATCGACATGGGGATCTTTTTCTGGTCGTACGCATTGTGAGATTTGACGTAATCGAGCCTAACGACCTCGAGAACCCCTGCTGTGATCATGGCGAAGATGGAGATCACGAGACCTATTCCCATACGTTGAAGCTGAGTGAAGCCACGTTCATGGCGTGTGAACTTTCTCGCGAACGGGACGATGAACTGGTCGTAGACAGGAGTCCAGAAGAGCACGCTCACCGTGTCGAAAAGCGAGAGCGAAGCTGATGGGATCTCAAAGTTTTTCCCCATGTGTTGGTCCATTGTGTTTCCTTGCAAGACGAACATCGTGTTCATCTGGCTGTACACCGTGGCGAACACTATCCCCGAGGCCCAAACCGGAAGAAGTGTGATTATGGACTTGAGCTCTTCCACTTGCGTCACCGAACAGAGTCTCCATGGATTCACCTCGCCGTCTTTGATGCTTTCGGATTGACTCTCAACAGCTGCCTTGTCGAAAAACCTGAAAATGTTCAAGATTAGAAAACCCCCAAAGATTCCAACTTTCTTGCTAAATTAGTAAAAAATTTGGGATAAAGATGAAAACTTTTGCTTCTTACTTTAAGTTTTCAGTGTGCTCGAGCTTCCTGCTACCTGTGATATTACTCTCATCATCTGCAGTTTCGAAGAGCAGACACTTGTCCTCTGGAACCTTAACACTCATCTTCCTGAAAGCTGCAACTATAACCTGAAATATCCTCGTGAGTGGACTCCCTCCAGGTCTCTGAAGCCTGTAAAAGCGGCTTCCCAGGAAGAAAAACACAACCGCAATGACCATCGCCACGGTCGGAACACCGAAACCCCAACCCCAGCCTACGTTCATCTGTATCCAGACAAGAACAGTGGCGGCAACGAGAGCTCCAACGTTGATGGAGAAGTAAAACCAGTTGAAGAAAGAGCTCTTCTTCAGCTTCTCACCCTCGTCGTTCTCATCGAACTGATCCGCTCCAAAGGACGAGACACACGGCTTTATACCTCCCGTTCCAAGCGCAATCATGTAAAGCGCAACGAAGAAAACAGCCGTCTGTCCCGAGTTCGGGTGACAGGTATCGCCATTGCAGTTACCTGGTTTAAGTCCAGGAACCGAAGCTGATAATGTCAAAAGAGTCATACCCTGCAAAGAAGAAGATCACAAGGTTACAACTTCCACCAAAAATCCACATTGTGTCATCAAGGATAAATCATTAGCAGAGCAAGTAAAAACTCACGGAGACATAGATGAAAACAAAAGTTGCGATAGTCCAATATCGTCCAAGATAAGCATCAGCTAGAAAGGCTCCAATCAATGGAGTTATGTAACACGTTCCAGACCAATTCGTGACGTTATTAGCAGCCTTGGCATTGCCTTGGTTAAGACGACTCTCAAGATAATTCACGAGGTTAGTGCCCATTCCATAGTAGGCCAATCTTTCACAGCACTCATTTCCTAAAGACAAGATTTTCACAAACACACAAACTCTGATCAATATCTATGGACCCATAAACCTAAAGAGATATTAGGGTGGAATAAAAATGATAGGATTGTTACCGAGAATGAAACGGCAAGCTTTCCAGTTTCCGGTTTTCTCCTTATTGGCAGGATTTTTGTTAATATCAACAGTTCCATCTTCCGTATAAACATCCTTTTCTTCCATAATCCTTAACTGTGGAAAAGAATAAACAAACACACCCAAAGAAAACCAAATTTAAAGCTCAAAACTTTGGGTATGAGCAAACCTTCAAATTTATCAAGTAGCTAAAATATTTAATTTATGAATCGACGGAAACGATTAGTACTAAATTCAGTTGATACAAAAATTTAAAGTTCTACAAATGAATGATATCAAAGTGGAATATGCAGATGAAGCAAGCACAAAATATATGCTCTGAAAATTGAAGTTTCTGGGTAGAAGCGATTTACCCAAATGGGCTTGATGGTGAGACTTTGTTCAAAGATAAGCAGAGTACTGATGGGAAAAGCTTTAAAAACAAAAGAAGGAAGAACAAAAAAAAAACCTTTTGTCCGAGACAGAAGTCGGCGGTGACGGTGGTGGAATTCAGCGGCGGAGATGGCAGATGGAAATTTATATATCGGATAAGATTAAGCGGAAAAGAGAAACACCGTGGAATTACACGGCACTTGTGACTTGTGGGAGCATGAGTTGTACTACTAATGAGTATGAGCTTGAAAAAAGTTGCAGAGCTCTGTTTCCACTTTCCAGGTTTATTTATATCCAAAGGAAATTAGAAAGGAGCGTTCTTCACCTATCTTCCGATATTTTCAATTTGAACCTCTAAGTTTTATAATTAACAATTTTTGGCGCAAGACTTTTGTGAGCTCCGTTTCGCTACCTCTATCAGATTCCACATTTCTAAGGAATCCCACCACCTAACTTTAATGGACTTAGAAATTGACCCCTCAAATTAAAAACAAGAAAGCAACAAGTGTGAAAACATAACTTTAGTCAAAAAAGAAAAAGAAAATTTTGATTTTTCTTTTAGATTTGTGTTCATACTTCATATAATATATATATTTTTTTGTCAACATATACATTATGACTATTTATATAGATTACGTTTTTGATTAATGTGGTTTTAAATGTTCAGAATTAATGGGGTTTGAATTGGTTTAGCTGAAGTGAAAGGTGCATATGGGCAATAAGTCATAAAATAACGGTTGATCTAGAGATTTACTTAGGACGATTTTTTTTTTTTTTAAATGCATGTGAACGACATAGCTGGATCCTGCTATCAACGAGGATTTGGCTGTATCTCATCCTTGAGCTCATTTGAGTATGTATTTCGCTTTTACCCACACACTTGAATATTCAGAGCATAGACAAATGAATACTGAAAAAGAAACTTAACCAATAAGAGGTAATTCATTTATAAATATCTGAATAAATTTGATTATATGTTTTTCAGAAAACCCACTTAAACCATTGAAAAACACAAATTTATGTTTTTCAGAAAACCCACTTAAACAATTGAAAAACATGATTTGTTAGACTTATCGCTGGAGTCTTACTTCACGCTTCCACATTCCGTTGTTGTCAACTTTTTCTACATACTCTTATGATCAGTTAGCAGTTTTTTAAAAAAAAAAAACACATGACATATATGAACTAGTAGTTGGGATTTGAAATTAAGAATATGATGTTTAGTGAATGTCGCATGTTTGTCTTTTAACCCAAAAGATCTTGATCTCTTTGGATCAGTGAAGCAAGATAAAGGACTCGAATCCATTCCTACAAATAGTTGTAATCGGAGAACTTTTTGAGAAGTCATCCATCCAGATATTATTCTCCTCCTGCAGAATTTTGATAAGATCCGGTCGATAGATTCTTGAAAACTAATATATGATTGTAATAGTTAATAATAGTACTCATACTCATTTTTTCTTTCATTATTTGGATTCATATCATTTTCTTTTGTATTTTAGCTAATACTTTTTGTAGTAAGAATAATCTTTAAATCCGTTATTAAGTGTTGAAAAAATTAAAGAGTGGGTTACAAATTTGTTTTTGTTCATATCTTGACGCATGCGAAGTTGTGTGTCACAGAAACCACTCCATTTGTCATCATCATATGGGCAAGGTCCACACACAAAAAAGAAACTTTGGCGTTATGAAAGAAAAATCTTTTTTTTTTGTTTGCCATGTAGCATGTAGTATTTATCAACTACAAGAGACATTATACATTAAAAAGATAGATAGTTATCTGCATGAGCAAAGTACATACATAAGACAAATGATGAATCCTGGATAGCTAAAAATATATCATACTATTGAACAACAAATTTGTATATTCGTGTTTATATATTTATATATATATATATATAGAGATATATGTTTTAAAGTCTTCGAATCATCCCGAAGATTAGAGTGTAAAGTAATTGTTTAAAGATTGGACTATCTTGTAAGCAAAATACACAGAGCCGCTGACTTGAGAAAGACTGAGATCCAAATGCATTATTTAGTATTGCTAGTAGAATTATGGGCTCACATAGTCACATGGTGATAATGCATTTGATCCTTGCAAGTAATCTTTACGCCAAATAAACTATTGCAATTCAATACGATCATTTTAGGGAAAGAATAAAATTTCTTGATCTGATTATTTCAAATCCGAATATCGATTTTCCGTTTGTATCTTCCTAACAAACTCGGGTAATCATAAACAAGCTTTTGTCTATCCTAACCAGCTGATTCGAACCATGACTACTAGTAAACCGAACTCATCAACAAGCCATCTATTTGACCATTCTGAAACCAAGACCAATCGAAATCATACTGTGTGATATAGGTGTCATACATGAACTAATAAGACTTTAACGTTAATACGAAAGGTTGTTGTGAGGTCCAATCATAATAGAATAGTATGAATTGGTTGTCAGATCTAAGTGTAAGTGAGTTATATATATAAATAAAACTATTCAACACAATATAATCTCTTGATATCATTTGATAGATCCATAATATGAATGACGTGAATTATTTATAATTTTTTATCACTCGTATTTGAATATTTCACCGGGATCATAGTGATTGCCCGTTTGATTCCAATCTACTCAATTAGATTCTTCCGATCCAATTTAAAAACAATTTGCACTTATAAGCGTACTTATATCCTGGCGTTTGATCCACATCACAATTTCTTTTAGATACTGACTATGAAAACAGTTCTAGTTCTATAGCACTTAGTTTATTTTATTATTATGGAGTTGTAATATGTATTATATGCAGGCAGATAATTGCTTAATTAGAATAAAGTTTTTCCATAATTCATTGGTAAGTTTTTTCTGTGGGTTTTACAAGCTTGATGGGTAAAACTAATTTGTTTGGTATGGAACTATAAGAAATATATTATTAGTGAACTTTTATGAAAACTATAATAATGAAGATTTATAGACGTATATGCGACAAAGTTTGACTTTTTAGTGTATAAAATTTATACATGTTACCGTAGATTTTTCACAACTCTCAAATCATTATTTAGAAGAATCATTAATTAGTATTTTTATATTTAACAACACTCAAAACTTCAACCAATAAAGTTCATATATTCACAAACAGTATAACACTTAAAAAAAATTTATATTCTAGACGCTCTCTAGTCTCTTGCCACCTACCTGATATGATCATTTCAGTAGAAGACACTAAAAATAACATTTACATAAAGAAAGATAGTACAAACATAGGAGATAATTTGTTAAATAGTTTGTATTGTTGTCAATGTTTCCATTTTTCTGTTTCTTCTTGATCATAGAGTCTACAAATTTTTTATTTTGTTAAACTTAATTTTATTTCGTAGTTCTAAATCCAATAATTTTGACATGCATGTTCAACAACGTACCCTCAAGTCTATCGAGTTCATGAACTCATTCAACTGTATAATTAGAAGTACGGCCACATACTGATCGTATCTCAGGTTTTGTACAAAAACCAACGCTGGGCGTTGACGTTGAGTTCTCAAATGTAAGATGACTGATATCTAAAACATAGCTTTCACTTTCTCCAATAAAGGTATCAACAATAGTGACGATGATTCATCTTTTCATTATTACAAACTTTAATTAGTTATATCGTATCGTACATTAATTATGCTCTAGCATACCTCATCTTCTTCACTTGTATTTTGTTTCTTACTTTGTCTATTTTCTTCATCGAATGGTTGTCGCCTTTCTTGTTTTTTCCCAACCTCTGTTTTCAGCAAGAGTTCTTTGTTACCATCTTTAGACACTTGATCAGATTCGCATCTCATTTCCTGCTCAAAAACCAATTCACCAAAAGCTAATTAAGTAACAAGAAATGTTATATTAATTTGAAACAAATTAGTTATGCTAATAATTAACACAATGGATAGATATATGCTTGAAATGTTGTAAATCATACCGGAAATTTTCCAACAATCATATGAGCCTTGTAGTAAACATCTTTAACTTGGTTTTCATCGCCCCAAGCTTCCTCAAACTTGGTTATTAGATCTTCATCTACAAGCTCCACTCCATGTTCCTTGGCCTTCATCGCAGGCTGCCAAGATCTCAAGAACCCTATAAACCCTTTAAGCGAAAGTTTATGCGGAATGTCTAGGGTAATAGGCTTCCCTTCGGATCCCATCCCGATGCTCTCAAAAGGAAACGGCAACGTTTTGTAACTATCGAATGCCAAATTCATAATAGGAGTTCTAAAAGGAAGTGTAGAGTCGACAAGGCGCTTCATTATGGGATCGATCTCTGGGGAGATGATGATATCGTTGTAGACCCAAACGGCGATTAGACCTCCGTCCTTGCGAAGCACACGTTTTGCAACATTGTAAAACGTGGTTAAGTCGAAAAAATGAACAGCTTGTGCAGCAACTATGAGATCCATAGAGTTTTCTCCTCCGATTAGAGCGACCATTTCGTCTTCTGACATATCTTTTGGAGTGTGATGGTAGCTGATTCTCGAGTGTTTGATTGCTCGTTTAAGTTGTGCTTCGTTTATATCCGTAGCCACAACATTCTCGTAATGCTCCACAAGCTGTGAAAATATAGAGAGTTCTTGGTATTGTCAAGATATATATTTTTTTTGTCACTAGCACACTGAACAATTCATCAATTCTTTCTCTTCTTCAGTTTTGCCTCATGAATATAATTTTCTTCCAAAATCTGTCTAAGCTCATTTACTATATAAGTCTCTAGTTCGTGGGAAAAGATATTGTAAAATTTCTTATATTTTCCTATTATCATTTTTAAGTAACAATTTCATTTGAGAGTCAAATAAGACATAGAGATATTATGCATTTGATAAAAGAACAAGACACAAGGATGAATAACAACAAGCAATGTGCGGCCACCAAATATGACTTATCTTAAATTATCTTCGATCGTATCACACAAACCATACGTAGCAGAAGGTCTCAGATTTGTGAAAATCTCTAAAGAAAGATGATAGAATTAGAAAGTTTACCCCAATAGCAGCTTGACCGTTACCAGTTCCGACATCCCAAGCAAACTTGTGGTCTTGTGTCCGTGCAGCAATCTTCTCATACCAATCGATCGGATATCGAGGCCTTGCGTTGAGATAAGCTTTAGCCTCTTTCTCTGATAAGGTAGCCATTTTTTCTTCCTCGACCTCTCGTTTTCTTTCCTTTGCTTTGAATACTCAACTCCGTTTTATCTACGTGAGAAAAGGTTGAACCAAGTCAAACTTGGCGTGAGTCAAGTTTATTCCAGTACAAAAGTGTTGAAAATTCAAAATGTTTGCATGTTCCACGAAATGGCAGTTTCTGTAGTAATTAAAAAAATAAGTGCGAAAATGAGACCGAAATTAAAGATACTTGTGCCCGCCGGGTTGACCCGGATGATCCTTCTGTTTCCCCAAAAAAGTAAAATAAGTAAAAAACAAACCCTAAATTCCCAAATTGCCGTCGCTCTCGTCACACTCCCCTGCCGCTTCTCCGTCACTCGAAAACCATCGACAATCTACACAGGAATCTCAGGTTTCGTTGGAAGAGGTTGCTATAATGGAGTTTCCCTTACCGGAAGACAATATCGGCGGAGATGATTCCGCTACAAATGCTACCACGGCTTCAGGTCTCTCACATTAATCGATTCCTCGCATTGATGCTTTTGTTTTTTGTTTTTGGATAGATCGGAATGGAATGATTCTCATTTTCTATCCGGTATCTTTCAGGTAGTAAAAGAAGCTTCGGTGATCTTCAAGACGATGAAGATGATACCGTAGTATCGAAAAAGGTACCTTTTTTTTGCGATCATATAATAACATTGCAAGTTTTGGATTCTTATACTGCAGTTTTTTGCTCACATGAATGATTCATTAGATGAGATTCACCCATTGGCTCCTTCTGAAGGTGTTAGCATTTGTTTGTTTATCATCGTTCAGGATTGTAGGAAAGTGGATGAAGCAGAACCTGTTGTTACAGCCGCCATGATTTTGTTACTCAGAGAGAGGTTTCTAACTTTCTATCCTCTTTATTTTTTTGATGTTTCTGGTTGTTCAAGGCCATCTTCTCCTCAAATTTGGTCAAGGAAAAGAGAAAGTGTTTTAGTTTGATGTATAATCCTAACCTTCTTTTTTGCTCTCTCTTTCTGGCAGTCTTCAGAGTTGTAAAGATAGATTTGCTTCATTTAACGACGAAATCGCTTCATGTAAAGATAAACTTGCCTCATGTAAAGACGAAATTGCTTCATGTAAAGATGAACTTGCTTCATGTCAAGTATTGTGACTATTCTCTAATCTATCTCTTTACTATTTGCTATTCAAGATATCATCCTTTTTGTTTTGTTACATAACTATCTTTTTTTGTGTGTGTGTGTGTGTGGTTGATCAGAATGAGCTTGAAGCAGCCAAGACAGAGGTTGGTGAGTGGAAATCAGCATTTCAGAAGGAGTCCTCTCTACCAGCTAGAAAAACTAATGGTTAGCCTCTCCAAGCAATGTTTGTTTTTGCAAATTTGTTACATATGATGTTAACAATCCTAAATGATTTTCCTTTTTTCTATTTTCAGAACCTAGATTTTTGATTGACTACATCCAAAATCTAAAATCTTCAGAGAAATCTATAAAAGAACAGGTTTGGTCATTTGAGTAACCAAGTTTGTGTATTTATCAATATAAAAGTCCTGATTTTGCAAAACAGGTTTTTGATGGTTATTTATTGTTCTTGTTTCTCAGTTGGAAATCGCACAAATGAAGGTAAATTCTCTACATGTTTTCTGGACTTATTACATGCAACTTAAAAAATATGTATATGCTTAAACATGGTTTTATGGATTCTTGTCACTCATAAGTTAGCAATCCGTGATCTGAAGTCTCAACTCGAGCCAGAAGTCGACAGCGAGACAGCCGCAGTCAAAATCGAGGTAATCATCAAGAGTAATGATCGATCTTTTTATAGCTTTTTTGTCTTTATTATAGATTTTATACAAACTAAGTTCTGTTGTTGTAATAAAAAAAAACCAGGCATTGTTGTCGTTGTTGCGGGCAGCAAACGCGCAGGTCGCGCAGCTGAAGGATGTTCATGACGTGAAGTTGGCTGAGCTGGAGAAAAACGTAGCTATCATATTCCAAAACATTCCGGGCTTGGTTCGTCCTCCCCGTACCTCAGAGAATAATGTTGCCGAGTAGAAACGAATTTTACTTTCGTTTTTAGTTTGTACTTATGTTTTTTTTAACTTTGAAAACTTTTATTTATGTATCGACGAATATCCTATGTTTTTGTTTTGAGACGAAAATATATTTCTCGGTAAACAATATGCAATTTGGGTGATGATGATATAACCACAACACTAGCACAAATTAATGCTTCATTAATCGTAATGTTTTTTTATCGTAGAAACATAATATATATATAAATTAATACTTATCCTTCATTAATCGTAATGTTTTTTTATCGTAGAAACATAATCAGGAGTAATGTATAATGTTATTAATTTGGGTTTAGCTATTGTAAAAAACAAAAAGGTAAAAAAAAAAAACGGATCCAGACCGTGACCCGGTTGATTTCCCTCTTCCTCAAAACAGAGAGAGAGAAAAAAAAACTAAACCCTAAATTTTTCAATTGCCGTCGATCTCTCCAAACTCCGCTGCGGCATCTCCGTCACTCCACCATCGACAGTCTCGCAGGGATCTCAGGTTTTGTTGGAAGAAAGTGCTCTAATGGAGTTTTCGTTACAGGACGACGATTTTGGCGGAGATTATCCCGCTACAAATGCCACTAGGGCTTCAGGTCTCTGACATTAATGGATTCGTTTAAAATTGATGCGTTGTGGTAGATTGGGTTGAAATGGAACTATTCTCACTTTCATCTGTATCTTTCAGGTAGTAAAAGAAGCTTCGGTGATCTTGAAGACGAGGAAGATGATATCTTCGGATCGAAAAAGGTACCTTTTTTTTTGCGATCATAAACACATTGCAAGTTGTGGATTCCTTGCTCACTTGCGGAGTATTCTCCCTCGTGATTTTGCTGCTTTCCCATCGTAGTTCAGTTTTTTATTTTTATTCTCTCTGATTCATATCGTACACTATAGTTTGGTTTATGAGGAATTTGTTGTTTATCACTGTTCAGGGTCGCACGAAAGCGGAGGAAGCAGCCCCTGGTGTTGCAACTGGAATGATTTTGTCACTCAGAGAAAGGTTTTTATCCTTTTTTTTGTGTGGCAATGTCTTTGGGTTGGATTTAGTGTTTGCTTTCATGTGTAATTCTAACCTTCTTCTGCTCTCTCTCTCTCTCTCTGGCAGTCTTCAGAACTGTAAAGATGAACTTTCTTCATGTCAAGTATTGTTACTATTCCCTAATGTTTTTAAGTTCTATACTGTATATTTCACGATTGCATCTTTTTGGTTTTCTAACTGTTGTTTTCTGGTCAGAATGAGCTTGAATCAGCGAAAACAGAGATTCTCAAGTGGAAATCAGCGTTTCAGAACGAGTCCTTTGTGCCGGCTGGAAAATCTCCTGGTTAGCCTCTCTCCTTGCAATGTTGGTCTGTATATCTGATGCTAACCCTTGACAATCCCCAATGACTCTTTTTGGTACTTTTCTTTCTTTCTTTCAGAACCTAGATTTTTGATTGACTACATCCAAAATCTAAAATCTTCTGAGAGATCTTTGAAAGAACAGGTTGGTATTGAGTAGTAAGCTTTCAATATGTATGACGGCCTCAGATTGTCCAAACAGGTTCTGATGGTTATCTCTCATTTTCAGCTGGAAATTGCAAAGAGAAAAGAAGCTTCATGCATTGTACAATATGCGAAGCGGGAACAGGAAATGGCAGAACTGAAGGTGAATCTCACAAGTAACTCATTTCCCAACACTTGTTTATAGAATTGGTCGCTAAATAATCTTGGATTTGTATTTCTAGTCAGCTGTTCGCGATTTGAAGTCTCAGCTCAAGCCAGCGTCAATGCAGGTATACATTTCTCTCCCAAATGTTTATAGTATCGAGTTAGTTAACCAATTGCGCCGGCAACACAAACCATGAAATCTAGTTATCGACGTCTATTTTTTAACCATAGTCCTTCCGTTTTTTTATGCCATAGTGTTCCTTTGAGTATCGTCATCCTCGACTTTGATATATGTAGCCCGTAGTATTCGCTAGTCTGAATACGATGATAAGCGAATGTTTCTTGTAAACCTTTTTTTGGCATCTAATTGTGTATAGGACTGAAAATAGAAGAAATGGCTATAAATGATAGTGTGTTGGTCATCTAGCAGATGGTCATGATCAAATATCAATGTGGTTAAATTATTTTGGCTTGAATATGTAGACAAGGAGGCTGTTACTGGATCCAGCAATCTATGAAGAATTTTCACGTCTGAAGGTATCCACCTTCTCTTTTCTAGCAGTCGACTACTATCTACCCTTGTCATAAGAATGTCATAATATACTTCCTTGTTATAATCCAAACTTGTAGCTACTAAACAAAGCTCCTCTTCTTGATTATGATCTTACGAAGGACCTGAAAGATGAGTCCTTAAATACTTATAGCTATTATCACTGTCTTCATTTTGGAAATTTCTGGTATAATGCAATTTATTTTTATTTCTCTTAGGTCGTACATACAGCTGCGGATGAAAACATATAACTTGCTTTTTTTCAGTTAGTTACAAGGTAGAATGAGAAGAATGAAATTTGACGTCATGTTTCGGGTTAATGTTTAACAACAGAATCTAGTTGAGGAAAAAGAAAAGAAGATGAAGGAACTCCAGGATAACATTGTTGCAGTCACATTTACCCCTATGAGCACGATGGGGAAGATGCTTATGACAAAGTGCAGAACACTGCAAGACGAAAACGAGGATATCGGACAACAAGCTTCTGAAGGAAAGGTATAAACTTGATTCTGTTCTAAGTCTTCGTTCTGAAATTATTTTGGATTATAAAAAGCGTGACCAGAAATTGATGCCTTCCTGTGTTCATGTGGCATGGCAGATGCATGAGCTAGCGACGAAGCTTGCAATGCAAAAGTCTCAAAACAAGGAACTTAGAAGTCAATTTGAAGGTAAGTCTTGTATTGATATCATAAGACCTTGTACATGTGGAATTTGGATTGAGTGGTTTTTGTGGAATGCAGGACTGTTCAAACACATGGCGGAGTTAACTAATGATGTTGAGCGATCAAACGAAACGGTGTTTGATTCATCCTTTTGTCTTATCTCTTTATTCCTTTTAGATATTTCCTGGAAATGGGATTTTGAAGAGAAACGATGATTTTTTCAGGTGATAATATTGCAAGAGAAGTTGGAACAGAAGGATAAGGAGATAGAGAGGGTAAAGAAAGTGATGGAGGTTACGTCTGATGTAGCTGACAAGAAAGATGAAGCTGATGAAAAGAAAGATGAAGCTGATGAAAAGAAAGATGAAGAAGAAGATATGAAAGAAATTGATGGTGGAGAATAGGAATTATTAAGCTATCAAACGATGTTCTGTACATTTTATTGAAGTTGATTACATTTTTCTTCATTATATCTCTAAATAGTTCTTTTTTTTTGGTTTCATGAAACTAAAGTGCTAAATTTCATCAAAGTCTTTGTTTAGATTGATCAAAAGTTTTCTAATATTTGTCAAAACATGAAAATATTAGTGCCGTTAGTAGGCTTTTAAGCCTTTAACAAGTAGACATGACTTGTCTAAACTGATGTTTGAATAGAAAAAATATGTCATTAAATATGTCATTTACCTAAAGCGAGCGACGAATTCAAAATCCGAAGGAGCGGGAAAACAATGTGACGTGGCAGCATCTTAGCAAAAGGAGCGCTCTCACAAAAATCATTTCCATTGATCAGATCGAAAAATCAAATAATCGAGAACCCTCGTCATTTCGGTTTTGGAGGATTTTCGCAGAAACCAGCAATGGAGAAGTACGAGAAGCTCGAGAAGGTCGGAGAAGGAACGTACGGGAAAGTTTACAAGGCGGTGGAGAAAGGCACCGGGAAGCTCGTGGCTCTGAAGAAAACCAGGCTCGAGATCGACGAAGAAGGTATTCCACCAACCGCGCTTCGCGAGATTTCGCTTCTCCAGATGCTATCGACGTCGCTCTACGTGGTTCGATTGCTCTGCGTCGAGCACGTCCTTAAATCTCCGGCCAAATCTCAGTCATCCAAATCGAATCTCTATCTCGTTTTCGAGTACCTTGATACTGATCTTAAGAAATTCATCGATTCGCATAGGAAAGGTGCTAACCCTAAGCCCCTTGAGCCTTCTCTGATCCAGAAGCTGATGTTTCAGCTCTGCAAAGGAGTCGCACACTGTCACAGCCACGGCGTGCTTCACCGTGATCTGAAACCGCAGAATCTTCTTCTGGTGAAAGACAAAGAGCTCCTTAAAATCGCCGATCTGGGCCTCGGTCGCACTTTCACTGTACCTCTCAAGTCCTACACGCACGAGATCGTCACTCTCTGGTATAGAGCTCCTGAAGTTCTTCTTGGCTCCACTCACTATTCAACTGCCGTTGACATTTGGTCTGTTGGCTGCATCTTCGGTTAGTCTCATTCAAATGATTTTTGTTTGCTGCTTTTGAATCCATCACCCTCTCTTTCTCTGCGCTTTGATTTTGTCCTTTATGTTTGTTTCCATCTTTGAATTTGTACAGCGGAGATGGTCAGGAGGCAAGCTCTTTTTCCTGGTGATTCTGAGTTTCAGCAATTGCTTCATATCTTCAGGTGTTTTTGCCTCTTCTTTGAATTTTAACTTCCACTGCTCTAGATACATGGATCATTGAATGATACAGCTAGCTAACAATTGAAAACGATCGACCTTATATACTGTTTTTGCTGAACTCAATCAATTTTGCGGATCCAGCCTTAAGTCTTCAACACTATTGTATAGAGACTACTAGTAGTATCTTACAAATGGTTTTTTTTTTTTTTTTTTTTTTTGGTTCATGGAGACTGCTAGGAACACCAACTGAGCAGCAATGGCCTGGTGTTTCCTCTCTCCGTGACTGGCATGTCTACCCAAAGTGGGAGCCGCAAGACTTGACACGTGCTGTTCCATCTCTTTCGCCTCAAGGAGTTGATCTTCTCATGGTAATTCAACTGCCTGATGATGATGCAGTATGAATATTGTGCAAAAATACGCTCTAAAGATCCTCTCTTGCTTCTCCTTACGCTTTCTCCTAAGCTTCAACTTTCTTTTGTTAAATCTCTTTCTCTCTTTTCATCTGATTGAGGTTGTGTTTGAACAAAATGCAGAAAATGCTCAAGTACAATCCAGCGGAAAGAATTGCAGCGAAAACAGCTCTTGATCACCCATATTTTGACAGCCTTGACAAGTCTCAGTTCTGAAGCCAAAACACAAAGTTAATTGCTGGATTATGTTGTCATCGTCTTGGTGAATTTGATTTCTGTTGGTTTCCGACACATTAGTATCTCCTCCTGTTTGGATTATAGATTTCTACTTTTGCTGAAGGAACTGCTAAAGTTTGTTTTCTCAAATTAATGTAAAACATATTGGTGTGATTGCAATGAGATGATTCCTAAAGATTGTTTGTCTTTGTGTAATCATGCAAACGTTAGCTTGAAGGGTCTTCCAAAGATGTAGATTTGTTTTCAAATGAAATAAAGGGTCTTTAATAGAACCTTGTCGAACCCAAATGTTACAATGACATTAGTGTACACAAATGGCATTTTGACACACAAACACATGCCCAAGTAGTTCACAACAACACAAATGACTGCTCAAAGACGCTAAGTTAAAAGAGATTGATCGCTACACACAATTGAAGGAAACCAAATAATACAGTAGAAGTAGTAGTAGCTAACGATGATGATGATGATGATGTGAAATCAATTGGACCAAACATGAACAAGGCCGTGTCTGTTTCCTGTGTAAATCTCATTGCGTTCTTCGTCATAGAATAGAGCGGTTATGTCTTCTAGAGCTTCAGCAACAGCGTTTCTTCTTTGCTTTGAGTTCTGCCCAAAACAACTGCTACTGCTCTCATCTTCTTTTGGATGCCCACTGCTTGGTGTTATCTTCGCCAAGCATTTCCCAGTCAATATGTTGCTGATATTGATCGATCCCGCTGCACCATCAACAAAACCAATCAATCAGTAAGATTTGTTAGTTTAGAGGGGGAATGTATGTTATCTCAATGGGTTTATCATATATTTACCATTTCCTTCTATCCACTGATCTTCCGTATCTGCTTTGCAGTACGAGATGATGAGATCCTGATCACTTGTTATGTAGATATTATTTGTGTTACAGTCCGGATGCCATAGAAGATGATCCTCAAAGGAAGTCACGAGCTCTCCGCGGAAATTCCACACAGAAACGTTTCGATTCCTGAATGTTAGAAACAGCTGGTTCTCATACAGAAATATGAATGCAGAAGGTGTCATGAACTCAGCTCTGCTAACTTCCATTAGCTCAGCATTTCGAACCTGCGTTAACAAATCAAAAACAAACCCTTTTATGAAAAAACCATGTACAACAGAAACTAAAACATTGATTTGCATCCGATCAAAATCATCAACTTACGTCAAGAATTTGGAGATTCTCGTTCTCTTGCTTAACAAGAAGTTTCTCATTGAACTGTTCAATGAAATCAACTTTCTTGTTCTTGTGAAGCAAATGATTGAAGGACTTGAGAACAGTGCCGTCTTCAATCGATAGAATTTTCAAAGGAACATAACTGGTAGCTCTCTTGAAGATCAATAACATTATCCCTGGGCTGATGCACAGGAAAATAAACATGAGCTAAAGGTAAACATAGCTAAATCACAAACCTTTCAGTCCAATCTAGTGGACAGAACAGTCAGAAGAGAAACTTGCTCAACATTTTGCAAACAAGAAACACGAAAGGGCTAAAGATAAATGGAGAAAAGCTACCTGATTTTAATTTCCTGGACATGTTTATCTGATATCGAATATAGCATGGTGTAGTTTTTCAGATCAAAAACCTTGTACACACTGCAGAAACAGCTATCGGGCTCAGAGGAAGAAACTTGTAGTCACGAAATTTGGCTAGTGAAGACCAGAAAAATAACCTGTCCTGCGCAGAGTACGTAAGCACCTTTCCATTGACATCATCAAACTCCACAAAACCAGGCCACTTCAATGATTCAGACTCAAAAAGGGCAAACCCTGCATCTGGCTGACCTCTCAGAATATACCTAATAGTTGAAAATGACCAGAAAAAGACACATTAGTTTGAATTACTCAGAAAGATTAGAAACCGGATCTAAACTGATAATGGGAGACAACATACTCAATTCTAGTGGATCTGCATTTCAAAGAGCTAAAATTGTCTGACGCATAAACAGAAACAGTGATGAGAGAATCATTGTTCTTGTTGTAGAACAAGCTCCGTATGACTTCATCTGGACTAACATTTAAAAAGCATATTCTTCTGTTCGTCTCTGCAATTTAAATTAAGAAAGGTAAAAGCTTCTTAAGTTACACAGACACAAAAGCTGAAAGTGCAAGTAGTAAAGTTATCGCACAGTACCTCTACTGAAAGCTGCGCAGACACCAGAGTGGGCAAGCGCAAAGACAATGTCCCTTGCAGCGACTATCTCGATAACTTTTGTTCTTTTCATCAAAAACGGTAATGCAACTAAACAATGCCCCTTGGGATCGTGAGTATCATATTGCTCCTGCAAGCCCAAAAAAAAAAACCCAATTTAGCGACAAGAGCTTAATTAGTAAAACTGAATCGATTTCATATGATTTGCGAAGTTAGGCAGTACAACCAATAAAAATTGGGTAAATTTCTAGGGTTTCTGAATCACATAATTTAGGGCAAACACTGAGAAATCAGAAGGCATACCACGAGGCGCATGTTGCGAAACCTCTCCTGAGCGGTGCTGATAGAGAAAGCTCGATCCTTACGAGATGAGATTTCTCTTCGTTGGAGCTTTTTAACGCTGTTGACGAACCCATCGGGTCGAGACCTCTTTTTAGCTACGACTCTTCTTCCATTGCAAGGTCTAGGGCTAGCTGTAATCCGTCTTCCTTCCATCGAGCTTCCTCCTTTAAGCCCCGATATTTAGAGAAGGTTTTCGATTTTTGAGAAACCCTAACGAAGAGGGAATATGCGGCGTAGTTGAAGAGGGAAACCCTAGAAGGAGGAAGAAGAGAGAGTCGAAATCTCCAGAGGAAGGACGAGAAGTGACGGCTACTACATACCCAGTGACGTAAGAGTTTGCAGATTCAGATTGGAATGGCTGATTCAATGTTTCAAAGCTCTCTTTTCTTCAAAATTCCCCAATTTCGTGCACGAACCAGCCGAACCAATTCGATTCCTTTTGCACACACATCGACTGTATATTAAAAAAAAAATTAATTAATCAAACCGAAACGTATTGTGATTATAAATTTTAATGGGTAATAGCCCAATAAAACCTACTAAGGCCAATAGAACAACAAATCGAGAGGCATGATCAAATCATTAACTGAGCGAGGAAGACTCGGCCCAAAACCCAAAAGTCATCCCCTGAAAATGAAGGAATGGGCCCAGACAAAGACTGTCAATAATTATTCATGGAACATATGTAAAATTACCACACGACATTAGCAAAAGCGACTGATATCATCATACACAAAGGCCATGTGACTACTCTGATCTCTACACCCAACCTCACTTTATTATTTTATCTATCATCTCCTTTCTTCCACTTTCAATTAATGCACTCATTGAAAAGAAAAAATTAAAATGATACACGTTTTGCTCTATTAATTAATATAATCAATGAATTTAAACGCTGCTCAACCTACAACCAATTCTGTATTATTATTATCGACCACATTTATTTCGTCTTATATACATTGTACCGTCCATTCCATTCTCACCATCTGAAAACTCTTATCAAATGATACAACTTTCGGATCACTTATTTATAGTCTAATTTTTTAATTATAAAATTATTTAATAATCCGTGATAAATGCATAAATAATTTAAAGAAAACAAAAAATTCGGATGTGTATTTTTGACTTATGTCATAAATATTTAGTTACAAACCCGCGTACAAATAAGTCAACTTTATGGGGGAGAAGGAAAAATAAAAAACCCTCAGAAAATTTTCTTTTTTTTGACAACAGCGAAGAGAAGTTAGAAAGCGTAACAGAGAAGAAGGCGGAGAGACAGAGACAAGAGAGAAAGAGTATGAGCGGGTTTTCTGATGATAAAAAGGAGAAGCCAGCAGCAGCCATGTTACCACCAGAAGCCCCCAAGACAATCGCTTCCATGGAAACGCAGTCTAGTAGCGGCGGCGGCGGCGGTAGAAAAGGCCGGAAACGCAACCGCAAAATCTGTATCTGCGTCACTCTCCTCATCCTCCTCCTCATCTTTCTAGTCATCCTCGTCTTAGCCCTTACTCTGTTCAAACCCAAACGACCAATCACAACCATAGATTCCGTCACCGTGGAGCGGCTTCGAGCTTCCGTCGACGCGCTGAATTTCAAGGTCGTCGTGAACCTAACGCTCCACGTGGATCTCTCCCTGAAGAACCCTAACCGCGTCGGGTTCAGCTACGGTCCTTCGTCGGCTCTGCTTAATTACAGAGGCCAATTGATCGGCGAAGCGCCTCTCCCGGCGAGCCGACTCGCGCCGCAGAAAACGCAGCCGATGAACCTAACGCTGACGCTAATGGCGGATCGATTACTCTCCGAATCGCAGCTTCTCTCTGACGTCATGGGTGGCGTCATCCCGCTCAACACATTCGTCAAGATCTCCGGCAAAGTAAGCGTCCTCAACATCTTCAAGTTTAAAGTCCAGTCGTCTTCTTCCTGCGATCTCATCATCTCTGTTCCAAATCGTAACGTCACGAGTCAACACTGTAAGTATTCAACTAAGCTCTGATCGTCTTCACTAGAAGGACGGAATCTGAAGCTTTGATTTATAGATCTACACTTGTCTTCTTCGTTTTTGATGGGTTTTGTTTTTCGATATCGTTTTATCTTTTTGTGTATGTATTATTTTTATTTAGAACAAACAAAATCAAGAAAAAAGGCGTTAGCTTTTTGTTTTCATTTTCAAATTGATTCAGCAGAATCACTAACACGTTGTAGTCAATACAAATCGACGTGCGATACAAATCAACGTGTCAACGCAACATAGGACTAGTTTTAAAAACTCTTTTGGAACATAAGACAAAGTCAAAGGAAATCACATCAGATTCTAATTACTGTCATAGAAGTATTTTTTTTTTTGGTTTTTGCAAATCTGTCATATAATGTATAAATGTAGGCAGATGGTGAGGAACTGGTTGGCATGTTCATCTTGCATTCAAAGCACTTCTTCTTTACTTAATGTAACCCATATATTCCATTAGTGGCTTCAACCTCTGCAAAAAGAAAAAAAAAGCTCATCCACAAAAAAAAACACTACGTTGTAATTGTAATGGCCAAGCTTAAGCGAAAATCCAAACGGTGCGTTTGCTGCGTAGTTTCTGGTATCATATGTTTCATTATCCTTCTTATATTCATCACTGCCTTGATCCTGTCATTGACCGTTTACAAACCGAAAAGCCCGATCATTCGGATCCAATCCGCCACCGTGCAAGGCGTCACGTCGCGTATATCTTTACCAGTTGATATCCACGTCAATTTCACGCTTAGCCTCCAGGTTCTTGTGAAGAATCGCAACAGTGTGAGTTTCAAACACGAGTCAGGGAAGACAGTAGTTTTGTACAGAGAGAAGCAAGTCGGTGATGTCGATCTTCCCGCGGGGACTTTCCCGGCAAAAGCTTCGTCGACCCTGCCTTGTCGTCTCACTCTCCAGATCGATAAGTTTGCTGCGGATTTAACCGGCGTCATGCGAGATGTATTGGGCGGGAAGATTGTGTTGGAAACGAAGACGAAGATCCCAGGGAAAGTCAAGTTGTTGGGAATCTTCAACAAAAAATTGGTTGCTATTTCAGACTGTAATATCACATTGGACTTCCCTTCCATGAAAGTGCAGAATCAAGAATGTGGTATGAGCACTAAGCTATGAACTGTCATCAGTCTTAGATCGTCGTCTACTTCATTTTCCCTTTGCTTTCCTAATCTTACAGTATATCCTTCTTTCTTTTTCTTTTTTCAATCTTGATTGTAATTTCTGAAGTATATTTGGAACTGATTTTTCTTTCAAAAACTTATATAACAAAGAAGTAAGAACAAACCATAAAACAAAAAAGATAAAACGATCTCATATCTGCATCAACAACGGGTTCGAGATTACAAAGGAAAAAAAGTCTTGCAATTGTGCAATTTGAAAGATGGATATTGAACAAAACGAAAAGAAAAAGGATAGATAATAACCTTTGATTAAACAAGCTCAATGTACGCCATAGGAGCATTATCACCACGCCTTGGAAGAGTTCTGATGATCCTCGTGTAGCCTCCATTTCTCTCCCCGTAACGATCCGGAACCTCGGCGAACAGTGCGTGGACAATCTGCTTCTCGTAGATAAATCCCAGAGCTTGCCTTCTCTTGTGGAGAGAGCCGTCTTTGGCCATGGTTATCATCTTATCCACGAACTTCCTCATCGCACTGGCTCTGGCTCGAGTGGTCTTGATTCGTCCATGCTTCAACAGCTGCGTCGTGAGTCCACGGAGGAGAGCTTTCCGCTGGTCCGGTGGTCTGTTCAGCTTCGGGACTCGCCTCCCGTGTCTCATGGCGTAGATACGACCACCACCATCGACGATTTTGAACCCGTTCTCAAAACTCTGCCAATCTGCGTTTGTAAAACCCCGAACAATTTGGAGAATGGGTGGAGCTAAAATTGAAGCGGTTTATCTCTGTTCAAAGTGAAAATTACCTGGAAGTCCGATTGAGATTAGGGGATTAACCGGGGAGAGACCAGAGAAAGACGGGAGAGTAAGCGGTGAAGGAGAAGAGACGGGGAGACGGAGAGTGACCGGACGGCGAGAAGACGAGGAAGGTAAACGGCAAGATGCGGCGGAGGGAAGAGCTGATCTGAGAGACGACATGCTCAAAACTCTACTCACGGAATCTGTAGGTGTCGCCATTGCCATTGGAATTGCCATTGCCGTGTGTTTCTCAGCAACAAAGTGAGGATTTTGGCAAACTCGAAAGGATAAGGGATAGAGCAAGAGGACTGTGTTTATCAAAACCTTCGAGTGGGCCGTAATGGGCCCAAATAATTGTAACTCTTACGCAATGTTGCGACCCAATCGGACTCGCTTTTGAAACAATAGATTTCGGGGATTTCCATCTGCGAGACTGATATTGGGCTATTTGGTATGTAGACATGAGATCGAAACTTCTTTGGGCTTTGTAGTGTTTGTAGTCAAAAATTTAATTAATTAAATTTAGGAATGGATTGAGTGGATTGGGTAATTACAAATATCCGTACAAACCTGAATATATTTCGGTTATTTTAAATAGAACCGGCAACAAAAGTTCGAGTATACGGGTATGTGAATCTACGGTCAAAATTGTAATATGAAATAGAGCCGTCAAAAAAAAAAATTGTAATATGAAATAGCTAGTCTTTCAAAAAGTTGACCGCTCGCCTCAAGAATCTCTGAGTGAAAGCATATGGTCTGAAGCAAATTCACAAATACCATCAACATTGGAAGAAGATATTATTGTTATCCCAATTTTTCAATGTAGGAGTTAATAGAATTTGATTAATCAATGATGAAGTGTGGGTTGTTGTAAGAAAACAAACAGTAGTTAGTAAAAAGATGTAAAACATTGAAAACTAGTACTTATTTTTTCTCACAGCAAAATAGAAAGGGTAATAATGACTTTTCGGATATGAACTTGGAGAAAGACACTCAGCTTTTTACGCTGAGATCTTTCATATTGAGCCGTGTGTTTGGGTGGGGTATATAATTAATAAAGTAAAATTTAAGTGAAAAGGGAAAAAACTGATCGTAAAAAGCGTGGATGGTGGTTTTATCTAGGGTTCAATGCAATGCCCAAGCCATGCTAATGCTATTATTATAAGGCCATGGGGGGGGCTAGTGTTTGACGTACAAAAGTCTAAAAATTGTCAGTCAAGCAGGTCTAAAACTTGGACAAATAAAAAATAATAAATGTTATAAAAAATGATAAAAAAAGGACAAAAGGGAAAAGATGGGGATGCAGATGAAAGCAAAATGTCAAACACTAGTTTCAGATTTTATCGGGAACTGGGGTTTGACAGTTGGTGTAATGGACTCTTCAAAACATGTGCATCTCTTTACTCCTTTCGTTTTTGTATTTACTGTTTAAGTTCTACGTCTTGTCCAATTGCTCTCACATGTTAATGCCCGTGGTCCGTGCATCTTTTCGCACTTTGCCTTTTCTTTTTTTTCACTGAGGTTACTTTTCTTCTTTGTCAATATATTCTTTATATAATGAGATTAAAACATATAATTTCTCTCAAACCCATCGTTTCGACCCGACGACTGACCGGGGCGGATACTTCATCCATCTATCAATTAAGTCATTTTGTGGATTATTTAGTAAAAAAAAAAAAAAGAAATTGCACCGGTTCCACGAAAATGAGCTTAATTATTATATACCAATCAAAATATTATCTTCTTGTTGTTGTTTTCAGAGAGAGAGAGACAGGGAGAGGTGGGGAAGTAACAAGATGGATCGGCAAAAGGAAGATGTCAAACACTCAACGACGAACATCTCCGATCTCCCACCTAATCTCTTCCCATTTATATTATTTATACCCAAATTAATTAATAAAACCAGAAGAGAAATAGAGAGAGAAGAAAGAGTTAAATAAGAAGAGAGGTAGAGAGAGCCATTAAATGTATGAAGCGACATTCACAATAATTCGAAAGGAGGAAGACGAGTTAGATACGGCCAGTCTCAGTGTCCTCGTCCACCACAACAAAGCCCTTTTCTTCGGAGAATCATAATCTCCAACACACTCCCTTCCAAATTCACTCTTGAATTTTGCTTTTTTCTCATTATCATCGAACATCGTGAAGAAGATAACCCAAAGTAAAATTAAGTATCCCCTCCCCCCCATAGAGATAGGCTACTTTGCTGCAAAACACCCTTTTCTGTTTGGATTTTGGATTTTGGATTTTCGGAACTTTTTTTTTTTGTTGCTTTTCTCTATTTATAACCATGCAATCTCACGACCAACCTTCCAATCTCCATGGCGGATTCCGGCGATTTCAACGGCGCTCAGCCTCATAGTCCCCTCAGAACAGCTTCTTCCGGTAGTACCAGCAGCAACCGTGCTGCTCCTCCCTCTCCTCCTCCTACTACTTCCGTCGTCATGGTGAGAAAGCGATTAGCCTCCGAGATGTCTTCTTCTTCTTCCTTAAACAACCCTGACTACAACAACCACCGTCCTCCTCGCCGTGTCTCTCACCTCCTTGACTCCAACTACATAATGAACTCTCCACTACAACCACCGCCCGTTTCCACGGCGGCGGTCGTCGACTCCACGACCCAGCTGAACCCACCGCTCTCCGTCTGCGGCTTCTCCGGTCTCCCGGTTTTCCCTACAGACCGCCGAACATCGATGTCCGTACAGCCAATGGAGCAAGACTCGTCTGCTTCTTCTTCCTCACCTACTGTCTGGGTCGACGCCATTATCAGAGACTTAATCCACTCCTCGACTTCAGTCTCTATCCCTCAACTTATCCAGAACGTTAGAGACATCATCTTCCCTTGTAACCCAAATCTCGGCGCTCTTCTCGAGTACAGACTCCGATCTCTCATGCTTCTCGATCCTTCCTCCTCTGACCCTTCTCCTCAACAACCTTTCGACTCCATTTATCATCAAATCTCCAACAATCCTTCTCCTCCTGTAACCCAGCAGCAACAACAACAACATCAACAGCAACAACAGCAGCAACAACAGCAGCAGCAGCAGCATAAGCCTCCTCCTCCGCCTCCGATTCAGCAGCAAGAAAGGGAAAATTCTTCCACCGATGCACCACAACCGCCGCCTGAGACGACGGTGACCAGTACAGCCACCGTAGTAAACACGGCGGAGGCGTTAAGGGAGAGAAAAGAAGAGATTAAGAGACAGAAGCAAGACGAGGAAGGCTTGCATCTTCTCACATTGCTGCTACAGTGTGCTGAGGCAGTCTCTGCCGATAATCTCGAAGAAGCAAACAAGCTTCTCCTCGAGATCTCTCAGCTCTCCACTCCTTATGGAACTTCCGCGCAGAGAGTCGCTGCTTACTTCTCGGAAGCTATGTCTGCGAGATTACTCAACTCGTGCCTCGGAATCTACGCGGCGTTGCCTTCACGGTGGATGCCGCAAACGCACAGCTTGAAGATGGTATCTGCGTTTCAAGTGTTTAATGGGATAAGCCCTCTAGTGAAATTCTCACACTTCACTGCTAACCAAGCGATTCAAGAAGCGTTTGAGAAAGAAGAGAGTGTGCACATCATAGATTTGGACATCATGCAGGGACTTCAATGGCCTGGTTTATTCCACATCCTAGCTTCTAGACCCGGAGGACCTCCTCACGTGCGTCTCACGGGACTTGGTACCTCCATGGAAGCTCTTCAGGCTACAGGGAAACGTCTCTCGGATTTCGCGGATAAGCTTGGGTTGCCTTTCGAGTTCTGCCCTCTAGCTGAGAAAGTAGGAAACTTGGACGCAGATAGACTCAATGTGAGGAAAAGAGAAGCTGTTGCTGTTCACTGGCTTCAACATTCTCTTTATGATGTTACTGGTTCTGATTCACACACCCTCTGGCTACTCCAAAGGTATATATGCATACCTTTTAATCATTCTTTTGTTTAGTGTTTTGAAGAGAGAGAGAGAGAGAGAATGCTTAAAAAAAGTGGCCTTTTTTGTTTTGTTTTAATGATTGGGAATGAACAGATTAGCTCCTAAAGTTGTGACAGTAGTGGAACAAGACCTGAGCCATGCTGGTTCCTTCTTAGGAAGATTCGTGGAGGCAATACATTACTACTCGGCGCTGTTTGATTCCTTGGGAGCGAGCTACGGTGAAGAGAGCGAAGAGAGACATGTCGTGGAGCAGCAGCTTCTGTCGAAAGAGATAAGGAATGTTCTGGCGGTAGGAGGACCGTCGAGGAGCGGCGAAGTGAAGTTCGAGAGCTGGAGGGAGAAGATGCAGCAATGTGGGTTCAAAGGCATATCTTTGGCCGGAAACGCAGCGACGCAGGCGACGCTTCTGTTGGGAATGTTTCCTTCTGATGGTTATACATTGGTTGATGATAATGGTACGCTTAAGCTTGGATGGAAAGATCTTTCTTTGCTCACTGCTTCAGCTTGGACTCCTCGTTCTTAGTTTTTTTTTAGTTTTTTCTCTTCTTTCCTTTTTAACAAACGATGCCCATAAATAGATTTTACCTGGGGTTTACTTTTTGTTCATGTGTTGAAAAGAGAGGATTCTTAAGTCTTTTCTTCGTTTTCACTTTGCACTCTGTATTTTGCTGTCTGATTCGGTGGAATATACATAGAAGTTGTTGTTCATCTTGACAAAAACACATACAGTCGAACTTTATGGTTTTTGTTGAAAATAAGCAGCATGTATGTTACACAGAGTACACTTTTGCTAATTTCGGATCCACACTTTTTGATTATTGGGCCAATTGCTTCTTTATGTTAAAGTGTCAATAGCAAAACCTGAGAACTCGTGCGTTTATTAGTAACATAAATAACTTTTCTTTTTTTTAAATGCCTTAAAAAACGAGATGTTTGGATTTATTCATTCATTCGTATAAAATAATTCTCGTCTATGGTACGGTCGTCTTTTTCATCTTCTCTTCAACAAACGACGAAACCCTAATCTGATTAAGCTCAATTTGACAGAGCCCAAGGTCGCAATTGAATCGATCGCTCGTTTGCTTTTTGGGAAATTTTGGTTCTCTTTTTCCTGAGTTCTCACGGTGGAGCTCGAGTCTTCTGTGGTTGAAAGTCGAAACCATTCCGTTTTGTACGGATAGTTTCATCGCTATTGATCTCTCTTTTTCTCCTCGCGATCAACGGATTCAGGCATATTCTCATCTCTGATTCTCGTCTCCCTGATTTACGTTTTTCTCTCTATTAATCTCTGATTCCAAGTCTGCTGTTATCACAGCTCATCGTCATCTTTCTTTCTCCGGCGTCGTCGTGCTGCTTTCAGTTCACCGGGATTAAGACTTGTGCGTGGTATTCTCATTTTTACCTATTTCAATTCTGTATATCAGAAACTTATTCACTTCTTCTTTGTTCATGGATGTGAGCTGTTCAATTTGTTTGTTGGTCACTGAGCAACGTTTAAGACTGAATTACAGGGAATTTATGTCAAGCAATAGTTGTTTTTCCACGGCCCTATCTATATCTGATTTTCCAGTTGATTAGCGAAGTATGTGTGGCAAATGTTAAAAGGTCTAAATTGTTAGTTGAACATATAATGATCTGTATTCTGATTGTGTTTTTGTTAATTCCTAGCCAATGCATTTTTTGCTACTTAGTGAGAATCTCTCTGCCTATATTCCAAAATGTTTCTTTGCGTAAGTTTTCCGTATGGTGTAGATATTCATGTTTCTGACGAGCTTCCGAGTGTTAATTGGCTATGGATCTATCTATTGTAGTTATCTGTTCTGTGGTTAGTGATCCTTTAGTTTTGTTAGTTGTTACTGATAATGTACCCATGACTCTCGTTTTTATGCTAATTATGGATGGTGTTCTTTCACTTTGGAAGAGTTTTTGTTTTGAAGCTTCCAGTTTCGAATGGGGATTGTTAAGGTTTGGGAGTTCTTGATTATATATGCATTAAGGGATACTTGTGTGTTCACGCGTGTATTTCAGGAAAGGGCTGTGAACATTTTAAGTTTTGATTATTATCTCCACCCAAGATTTGCTCGGTGCACTGGCCGGAAATGGATCCTGGTCGATTTGGTCGTCAGCAAGAATGGGATAATAACAGTGTAATTGTGGTTTTCTCCTTACATATATGGGATGATAAACAAGAAATTTATAGAGATGGAGTGAGAGACTTGGAAAATGAGGATGTGGATGGGATTTGGCTAACGTAGTATCAGTCATGATGTTTGTTGCTGACATAGCTTATTCTCTTCAATTCACAGGCTCCGGAGGGTTATGGCAATGAGCATGATCCAAACAATCGGTGAGTGCTACTCGAATTGACTATTTGATTTAGTTTTTAGTTCTCGTGGATGGATCAACCACGTATGTTAACGGAAACTACTATCACTAATTTGCATTTCATGTCATTTACTTGGTTTGTGTACTTGTGCGTACATAGTCAATGATAGTTCATTTTTAAAAAATTATCTCCTACTCTGCATTTTTCCTACAGGTTTGGTGTATCATATGATGAGGGATATCCCAACGAAAGGTTCTTGCGGGATGATGCCTACAATTATCCACCTGGACATGATACTCCGGGTCCTTTTCCTCAATCTAGAAGGCGAAACTATGAAGAAGATTATCCTCGTGAACCTCGTAGGCAAGAAAAGCCTTATACCGATACAAATTATGCTGCTGATTATTATCACGATGCCGAAGTTGGGAGTCGTAATGGATACTACCGTGATCATGGACAAGAAAGGTCCTCACGATATGATGGCCGCGATGACTATTCTGGCAGTGATTATAACTACAGATCTAGAAACTACCCTCATAACAGAGATGAAAGCCGTGAAAAAGATTATGATTACGCTCGCCGCAGTTATGATTCTGATTATGAGAGGGGCAGTGTGAGAGACGGCAACCGAAAGAGCCGAGACTCGCAGGATAGGGAATGGGACTCACGTGATAGAGAGTGGGATTCACGTGATAGAGAATGGGACAAAAGAAGTTTCAGCCGTGAAAGAGTACTGAGTCCACATAAGAGATATGAGAGATCTCGATCTCGATCTGCTGGACGTGATGGGTTCTCTAGATCAAGATCTCCTAGAGGTCGGAGCCATGGGCGGAGTCACCGGGAGGACAGCTACGAGGGCGATCACTGGCATGAAAGTGAGAGGCGAAGAGAATATGAAGATAGACATGACCAGGACCTTTTTTCTGCAGTATATAATATTCTCCCCCATCCCCTGGTTTACATTAATTTCTTGCGCAGACATTTAAAAGATCCTTTCCTATATTTTCATGGTTTTTGCTAGACCCCATCCGCCACTGTTGTTGTGAAGGGTCTCTCAACTAAATCAACAGAAGAAGATCTATACCAGCTTCTGGTAAGCTCTTCTTCATTTTTGGAAGTTGTGTATCGTTAGGGTTAAACAATTTTTCTTGCATGACTTCATTGTTCCCTTTTGCATGACTAGGCTGAATGGGGTCCTCTGCATCATGTCCGCGTGATTCGAGAGCAAAATTCTGGGGTTTCTCGCGGATTTGCATTTATTGATTTCCCCACGGTGGTAATTACTTTTAACTATGTTGTTAGTTCCTTGTGGCTCCTTCTTGTCTTCTATTCAACCCAGTGAGTGCAATTATGTATGTTTGTCTGTGAAGGATGCCGCACGCACCATGATGGACAAAATTGAGCATGATGGTATGGTTGTGGATGGGAAGAAGCTAATTTTCCATTACAGGTCTTTATTATTTTACTGTGATTTTAGTATCATACACACATTTAGTTGGATAGCATTCTTTGACTGAATTGCGGTGTGTTGAGCAGCAAATCTAGGGCTGGTGTGCCCCGCAGGCAGGAAAATACTTCTAGGCGCAGTTATGGTGGAAATAGAAACATGATGGTTCCCACAGACTGGGTGTGTACAATCTGTAACTGTATCAATTTTGCGCGGCGAACCTCCTGCTTTCAGGTTGGTGCATTGTTCAGAAGACAGTTGTGTAAATTTTATAGCCAGGACTAGAGTATAAACCCATTTGCAAACTTCATGTGAACCTACTTATATTTAATTTCAGGAGTAGAACTAATAAAACCGTCAGGATAAATCTGTTTTGTGCTCCTAAACAAATATTTTGAGTTCCTTTTGGTTACAAATATGTATGTATCTCAATTGACCCTTAATGTAGGGTGACATGCATATGTCAGTAGTAATGGTATATGAACATTTCATCTTTAAATAGACACGTTGATGCACACACCTATGCTAAGACTATATTTGTTTGCATTTATAATTGTTTGTTTGGCAGTAGATATAGCTTTCATTTAATTAAATGTCAAAGAGAAAAACTTATATACCTCCCTTCAACTGACGTTTTTATTGATGCATTCTGATTTATCTTTCCCTCTACTTGCTTAAACCCTGTCAAGCGTTTATTACTAGTTCAATCTTATGGTGGTCAGCCGTATCTATACCCCTTCTTTGTCATGCAGTAGTCTGTGTGTCCTGATCAATAGAAGAACACAAAAAATCGTAGGTGTAGTTATCATGTGGCAGAAACAATATATGGTCATCGCATAAATGTCTATGATCTCTTTCTCCTTACGCAGTGTAATGAACCCAAGACCAAGGATTCTCCTTCAGCCGATGTAGGTTTATCAAACTCAACAGCAGGAAGACGAAGTTCGGAGACAGGTTCTGATCAGCATTTTATTCAAGATTTTTTTATTTCCTTGTTGAGTTAGAAAACAGTTAAAAGTGTTAAGATTAAATTTAAAGTACTTCTGTAGATACCTTTTATGCCTAAGACACTTTCTTCTTTTCCAGGTCCAACTCATGTTTTAGTTGTACGTGGGTTGGATGAAGATGCTGACGAGGGAATGATTCGGTATGAATTTTCCAAGCACGCTCCTATCAAGGTCGACTTTATACCCTTTTGGATTCGTTGTTTTATAGGATATGTACTTTTTACATCAGTTGACTTGGTTTTCTCTCTCCAACATTGTGTAGGATCTTCGACTTGTGAGAGACAAATTCACTCATGTTTCACGGGGATTTGCATTTGTGCATTTCTGTTCGGTAAGATCTCAAGCAAGTCGATTGTTGCACTTACTAGCTCTGGTGTTATGCATCACTTTTCCATTGCCGTTGAATGTAATTGCAAGTAGAGAAGTGTTAGATGGTATAGAAATTAGTAACCCGGTCTAGATGATCAGTAGCACCTGTTTTTTGTTTGTGAGTTTGCAAAGTGATTTTTCTGTCTTAAACAGTAATCATAATCTTCTTGTTTTGTGGGTAGTTTTTGTTTGTTAGATGGGCACACTCAATAATCTCTTTTTGCCGCGCTTTTTTATAATCTACAAATCTTTGCATGGACCTTGTAAGCTCTTATAGTAAAGATTATTTCCGTGGCGCTCTTGTAGTAGATAATTTTTGTGGTCGCAGCTTCTCATACCATGTTTCATATCTAAATGGTGGTCAGTTTTGGAAAAGAACTGCTTTATTATATTTATATATCCATTTCCCCATTTTATGTAGGGTTTTGACTGTTTTTAATCCACCCTAGAAACTTGTAACAGAAGAAAATAATTATGTTTGTATAGGTTGAGGATGCTACCAAGGCACTTGAAGCAACAAACGGAATAACTCTTGAAAAGAATGGTAAAATCCTTAGAGTTGCATATGCAAAGAGCGTTCATGGTTCTGGAACTGGTATATCAGCACCCTCTCACTCCAGCAACCTCGCTGCTGCCGCAATTGAAGCAGCAGCATTTTCTCAACAGGTACTTGAATTGGTTGGTCCTCACACATTGATCACTAATTACATTCGTTCTTTTATCATAATGGTTATGTAATGGGGAATGAAAGCAGTCTGATATTTATGAAAAGTGCAGCAATAATCTGAACATTTCTTGTCACTCAGTGTACTAGAAGCGTATTGACGCCGTTATATTTATTAGCCAAAGGAAAAGCATAATGTCTGCCACACAAAAATATATTTCGAATGAGGCTGAAATTCATTTTTTGGATTAATATTTTCAGTAGTACCTAGTAGCTTTTTTTGTAGATTGTCATGCTTTTGATTCATCTACTCTGTGCGCTTCCACTCTTTTTTTTGTCTTCATTAGTATGACGGTGGTGGATGGGCTCCAAAGGAATACTATCCTGATGAGAAACAAAGCGCTGGAGGACAGGCCCAGGGCGTTGGGGAAATGGAAGCCCAGAAAGGGGCCTCTGCTCCACAATCCGGCTATGTGTGGGATGAAGCATCTGGTTATTACTATGATGCTGCCTCTGGATATTACTACGATGGAAATTCAGGTTTGCACTTGCTTATTTTTTTTCATCTGTGGGATCTGTCTTCTTTTACAGGATAGTTCTAACTTTGAATGCACTAAAACGGTAACTTGGAGATGCAAGCTTTGTGTCTTAAACAGACTTTAAAGTATGGCTGTCGGGATAAAGCAAGTATTATCTGATATAGTTGATTATGGCTGCGGTAGGACTTCCAATAGATGTTTGTCACTTTTTTAACTTGTAGATATTGCAGAGTTAGCCTTCGTATAGATGTATGTGCATTGACGATGATCAGCTGTTTTAATGTTTTTGGTAATCAATAGTCATCTCTACTTGGTGTGTGGTTTGCTGGTGTAAGTAGAGGGTAGTTATTTATTATTAATCACACGTTTTTAAATATGCAGGTCTTTATTATGACAGCAGTAGTGGGCTTTGGTACTCGTATGACCCTCAAACGCAACAATATGTTGCTTGTCCTGATCAGAACAATGAGAGTAAATTAAATGAAAAACAACCAGAGTCTGCCAAGATGGTGAAATCCAGTCAACAAAAAGTAATCATCTCTGCGGCTGCTACTCCCAATGTAGAAAAAGCTCTCTCCTTACCAGATGCGGTTCAGGCGGCGGCAGAAGCAGCAATTGCATCGGAGAAGAGAGAAAAAGAGAGAGTGAAGGAGATAAAACTTGCGTCGAAGAGTAGCATATTGGCTAGCAAGAAAAAGATGAGTAACGTTTTAACAATGTGGAAGCAGCGGAGCCATGAGACACAAACACAACGCCCCTCACTTGCTGAGAATCCAATTACAGTTTCGGCTGAAGCAAGGTCGTCTTTCTCCGCTTTACAACTTAAGGGAAAGCTGAAACCCGATGCAATTATTTCAAAGGAGAGAACTACCTCCAGTCATGGAGTTGCTGCACCGACAACAACTACAGAAAGCTCGAGTAGCAGTACAGCAGGAGGACCTTTGAAGGGGGTGATGCGAGGTTCTTTTGGAGGAACTGTGGGAGGACCTTCTTCTTCAGCTAATGCACAAGTGCCTCCAGTTTTGCCTTCTGCTCCTTTACCTTCGGCTCCGGTTTCGGTTTCTGGGAGTGGGAGAAGAAGGTTCTCTGAAACGCCGACTACAGTGCCTACTCACAGAGAACAGCCTCAGACATCATACCGGGACCGTGCTGCAGAAAGAAGAAACTTATACGGTTCATCAGCTCCGAGTGTAAATGATGACATTGATATAAGTAAGCGTCCTTGACTGTTTGACTTCTCTCACTCAAAAGTAAATTTCTTGGAACCGGAAATGAGAAATTATATATTTGTAACATAACTGGGAAAATGGTGTGTGTTTGAATGAAGATGAGGATACTACGGGGTTGAGAAGAGGTGCGTTTGATCCCACACCTTTTCCTCCTGGTGTGGGTGGGCGTGGGATTACCACAACCGAAGTCGATAGTTTCGATGTAATTACAGAAGAGCAAGCAATAGGCGAGAGTAACGTGGGAAACAGAATGTTGAGGAACATGGGTTGGCACGAAGGATCGGTAAAACTTTTTAAAATATGATTTAAAGTTGTTTTTTTTATCATCAGTAAGTAATGTTATACGTTATGGTAGAGGAGAGAGTGGTAACCAAACTTTGGTTGGTACGTGCAGGGTTTAGGGAAAGACGGGAGTGGGATGAAAGAGCCGGTGCAAGCGCAAGGCGTTGATAGGAGAGCAGGACTTGGGAGTCACCAGAAGAAACTTGATGCTGAGTTTGAAGCTCAGCCTGGTGATACCTACAGAACTCTTCTCCATAAGAAAGCACTCGCGAGGTTTCGTGACATGTCCGACAATAATTGACTGTTGGGAGGTTTTTGTGTTGTGTGTGTAAAGCGGAGTTGGAATCTTTATGTTTGGTTGTGTTTTAAACTCTGAAAGTGATTTTGATTTTGCTCTCCCCTATGAATTGTTGATTATAAATGGACAGTTTGAACACATGGCACCTTCATTCTTTCTTGAGTTGATCCGTTCAAATACAACTTTAATCACTCGTCATACCTGGAGACTTCCAAAAATTTCTGAAAAACTTGTAACTATTTTTCTAAGACTAACAAAGTTTTCTCAAGAATTCCACGAAAGTTGTGAGACAATTTCCGGTAGTATATATGATTGTTACTGGATACTTGAACTTTACCGACTCTTTTCAACCATATCGTGATCGAACGTTGGTGGAAGAGTGTTTAATTCAGACAAAAACAAAAATCAGAAAGACTGTTAGTGTACTTCGTAACATAATCAACCAAATTTGACTACTGTTTGCATGTTCCATAAGTATTTATTTATGCGCATAGCATATGTATATTTTTGGCCTCCAAAGAATACAGTAGAATTTTATCATTTTTAGTAGAGGTCTCGACGATTAGAAGATATGTTAAAACTAATATAATCGTCTGTCATTGGTTCTTTCTAAAACAAAGTGGTTAATACGTTTGTGGGAACGATTGCTGTAAATTGTAATGGTTGGGTCTTGTTGCTGCCGCCTATTTCTAGATTAAAGAAAAAAAGATGTTTCAACGAATCCACCGGGATTTACGTTGGTCAATACGTGAGATGGAAACGAAAGCTTTCTTTCTGTTGTTTAAGTTTTACCGACTCTATATATATACCCAAATCGACAGTTTTAAACCTATACATACCAATTTATTTGATTATAAGTTGGTATTTTGCTTTTAAGAAGCCACCCAACTTTTTTCTATCAAAGGTTTCTCATCATGAAGAAATGTGAGTTTTTTTTTTCTTATTGATTTAAGTTAAAATCAAGTTTGCAAAGGGAATGTCTAAAACTAATTTCTTGAAAAATCGACAATTTTTTTTGAACAGGTTTAGTGGGAGGAGCCGTTGTAATAGTGCTGATTGCATTAGCGACATGGGCTATTATCTCCATGACACCTCCACCTTCTAAGAGATGCGGCACTCCCGGTGGACCGCCTATCACCGCCCAGAGGATACGTCTCAGCGATGGTCGCTTTTTGGCTTACCAAGAATATGGAGTTAGCAGACAAAACGCCACCTTCAAGATCCTCTTCGTCCACGCTTTCTCCACCTTTAGGCGTGACGCTATTATCGCAACCCGTGCTAGTCCTGTAATGATTCAATCTCTCTTCTCTTCCCTTTCTTAAAGCCTCGACTCTTTGCATTAACATTTGCTTCTTCTTTAGGGGTTTCTTGAGAAAAACGGAATCTACGTGGTATCATTTGATCGACCTGGTTATGGAGAGAGCGATCCTCATCCCAGTCGCAATGAAAGGACTTTAGCTCACGACGTTGAACAACTCGCTGACCAGTTACAACTTGGTTCCAAGTTTTACGTGGTTGGATACTCAATGGGGGGCCAAGCGGTTTGGGGTGTTCTCAAATACATCCCTCACAGGCTCGCTGGAGTCACGCTGCTTTGTCCTGTGATCAACTCATGGTGGCAGAGTTTCCCGGAGAGTTTGACTTGGGAGCTATGGAACAAGCAGTCTAAAACCGAAAGGTTCACGATGCTCCTCACTCACCACACTCCGTGGCTGCTATATTGGTGGAACAACCAGAAGCTGTTCAAAACATCAGCTGTGATGGAGTCAAGCCCTACGATATTCTCTCCTCAAGATATGGCTGTACTGCCCAAACTCGCCGCAAGGATGGCTTACAAGAACCAAACAACGCAGCAAGGGACACACGAATCATTGGACCGAGACTTGATTGTCGGATTTGGGAAGTGGGGTTTTGATCCGATGAAGATCGAGAACCCGTTCCCAAAAGGTGAAGGATCGGTACATCTGTGGCAAGGGGACGATGATCGGCTCGTCCCGGTGCCGCTACAGAGGATCATTAGTCAGAAACTAAGTTGGATAAAGTATCATGAGATTCCAGGAGCTGGTCATTTGTTTCCAAATGCTGATGGTGTGCCAGAAACTGTCTTGAAGGAGCTTTTGCCTATTCCCCAAGCATCTTAAATTTTAATTCATACATTGTTTTTAGACTCAGGAAAGAAAATTGTACAAAAAAAACAAGGGAATATACTGTATGAATTTATGTATTATTATTTTTTTTTTTTTGCATTTTGTTCGGTAAAACAAAATTAAACAATGAATTATTCTTTTATTGGATGGATATAAGAAAGCTAGAAGTGTGAATAACAACGAAGATTACATTTATTCTGTTCACATATATCGTTTTTTAAACTTGCGGTTAAAGGATGCTAATCACAACATTAGATTGAAGCAAGAATCACTTGGGAAGACCGGTCTCCGGATCGAGAAGAGTCTGAGTTTGGTCGGGAAGCACGACGGGGCCTCTTCCAGGTCTAGTGCAGATAAAATAACTGACTTCTCCTTTTTGATCCTGAGATCCGATGTTGTCTTTGATTTCAGGTGGAGGCTGCAGACTCTCTACACTGTTTTCTCCATCTAAACCTGCCTCCTTTAGAATCGAAGTGTCTCCCACTACGTAACTGGTAAACATCGAAACCAAAACCATTACAAACAGCCTTTTTAAGTCATTTGTTAAACTCATGGAAAGTCGCAGTACTCAATCTCTCACCTCCTCATATCAGTGTCAGACTTTGGAGGGAAATAGTAGAGAAGCCCCTGGAGCAATTGAACTGCGACCTTTCTGTTGCGTGCAATCAGTACAGCATTTGGGCCAGCATCAAATGTGTAAGCAACCTGTCCACATTTCAGTTTCTTTTTTGTTGTTGTTGTTTATACACTTGAGAATTAGAAAAAAAACAAGTTTTTGAGAGAAGGTGGTCTGATCTGATCCTAGTGGAAGTAACATTTGCAAGAAATGGTCAAGAGATCGAGCAAGACAGAGCTTTGTAGGACTTTACCTGTGGTGTCCCTTCAGAACGATTCCACTTCTCAACTAAGCTAATTATCCTGGGAAAGCAGTTAACAGCTTGATATTAAGAAAAGAAAGGATGTTTGATAGATTGATATCATTGTCAAAATAGAAGAAATACCTGTGGGAGGTGTCATTCATGTAAAATATGGGCGGAGATGTATCCAAACAAACAGCATGAAACTGATTACTATCTGCGCAGCTCAATTTTGTAAACGATGCAAAATCTCGATTTTTTATAGCTTCCTCCATTTGCAGGATTCGTTTTGGGACAACGTCCTACAGACAAGTAAAAAACAGAGGATGACGCTTAAGAGGTAATACAGACTTTCGTCAAACCTCAAGAAGAGTACGTACTCTTGCTCTGTGCTGTAAAAGCAAACTCGTCTCAACACTTTCACGCATTCCAGAGGTGCTGCTCGTTTCCTTCTGCCGTGAACTCACCTGTTTATATCATCATAAGCTAAACTAGTTACAAAAACATATTAACAAAGAAGCTGTTACAGGCTATGTAAGAAATGATAAGCAGGCACTGGAATGTCACACAGTTCAGATCATATTATTCGAGATTTTCTTAGTCATGCCATAATGCAGAAGATTGTGGCTGTATGAATCCATAATCCGCTAATGTTCATTAGTTCACAATTTCAAATCAAAGAACTCAGTACTGAGTCCTGGTAAATACTTAGTCATATAGCTCAATCATATGACGAGTGCTATTGTAACATACGGTAAATTTGCAAAGGGCGTGATCTAAAAGATGGTAATAAATCTACGACCAAATCTAGAAGACGCTTACTGAAAGATTTATAAGATCCATACCACAGCAATGATGATAACAAGATCATCCCAATGCTTCTCATCTGCCAGTTGAACTGCAACGCTGTCACTTCCATCTTCTTTGCTTCCCATTGTCCACTTGACAAACCCACCAAATAAACTACGGCAAGCACTTCCAGAACCTTGCCTACATGAGAGAACTTTTAATATTACAACTGATGCATAAATAAGAGACCATTTGTAAGAGATCATAACAAAAAAGGTAGCTGCACATCATTAATGCATGAGGATTAGGCTACATAAAAATAGTAAGGAATGATGATACAAGGAAGTCCACGACATAGGTACCTTGCTATCGCAGAAAGATGGCTTGGATCTTCATCTACATTCATCAACTTTGCAAGAGAAAAAACTGCAGGAAAAGAGAAGTTTTACATGAAAACAACGATCATTCTCTGAAGCTCATGATCAACCTTGAGAACTGCTCTGAAGATGAAACACAGAAGAGCAGAAAGAAAAAAAGCAGGAAACCTACCTAGACAAGCAAATCCAGCAGCTGAAGATGCTAATCCAGCAGCAGTAGGAAAATTGTTATGAGAAGCAATATGCAGATGCAGCTTCTCCCAATCTTTCTTCTCAATCCTGATGCCCTTCTCCTTGTCTTCAACATCACCACCACGACCTCGAATTTCTCTCAAACAGTTTTGGTATCTGCTTCCAGAAAGTGAGATTTCCTACACTAACATGAAACAAACCACAATAAAATTTCCCAGTGAAGCCAACCGAAAATACTCATTCAAACTCCCTATAAACTTTGCATTTCAAATGCTCTGATTTAACTTTTCCTATATTAATGATCTTCCTAACTACATTTGATATATGAAATTCAAAATTAATCCAAATCTTAGCTCAGAACTGAAAAATCCATACTCGAGGTTTGTGAAGAATTGAGAAACATCACTGGGGAAAACGAAGCAAAGTACATACCTTGCCATTGAGCCACATTCGATCCCGATCAAAAGCGGGACTAACGGCGACAGTGGTGACGGTGCAGAGGTGATCGGGATCAAGAGTTACGCTAATGCTATCATTGACGGGGAGAATCCGGACCTCATCTCTCTTTCCCCAATACTTAATCACGGCGATGTTCGTCGGAGTTTGCGCCGTCACCATATATACCCATTTCTCCGCCGCCATAAGAAAATTTTCACGCGAAGCTCCCCCAAGCGTATAGGTGATGCTCCTCGTGCCCAGAGAGATCTGGAGCTTTCAAGTGATTAAATCCCAAAGGAAACAAACAAAAAAAGAGACGGAGAAACAAAAGCAGCTCATGAGTCATGGCTATAACGGAACTCAGACAAATATAAAAATATTATTTTATTCAACAAAAATGGAGAGACAAACCAACAAGGAAACTCCACTGCTTTACACACTCGTATCAACAAAGTAGTATAGTTTTTGGTGAAAACACCAACACTTAACCTATAATATGTTTGAGATAAACAAAACAAATTGAAAAAAAAAAAAGGTAGGTAGGAGAAATTAGGATATCTGTATTGATATAACAAGCACAAGTACTAACTCAAACGTTACATAATTAATTAAGTAAAACACAAGGAGCAAGCGAAAAACATATCTCATCACATAACTTTCATACAAGTTTGGTTAAGATAATTGAAGAAAGCATCTCATTCCAGATATCCGGGACACCAGGCAAGCACCAGTGACTACAATCTGACGAAGGTCCAGAGAGACGATGATGCTTCTCTTCCTCACGCATTGCTCTCTTGAACACCGAAGGATGCCCATCTCTCCTATACGCCGACATTGTTGTGATATCGTGCAGGTACACTCTGTATTTCATTCTCATAATCACTTTCTTCAACACTCTTGACTGGTTAGGAACGTGCGGTTTGCTGGAAGAAGAAGGCAAGGGATGTCTCTGGTTGTAGCACTTTTGACCACTCTCTCTGCCAAGACATTTATGGTCATTTTTTGCTAATTTCATGTAATTAATGGTGTGCGTTATGTATAATTAACATAAGAAAAAACAACCTCGGTGAGATGGTGCGGAAAATGACTTTGGTTTTGGATGGATCAAGATTAATCTCTACCCATTTAGCCCATGTGGTGAGTCCTCTCTCGTAAGCAACCATTGGGTCCATAGCTTTTAAGAGCTCGTTCGCATCTTTGTAATAGTCCCACCTAAAAGCATCGATAAACTTGTGTTATTGTTAGAAATTCTCACATCTGAAATAAGAGAGATTTTGTTTGGTGGCTTACGAACTCCGTTTCTGAGAGTGAGTCCACCAGTGAGCAGAGTCGAATACAAGAACATCGACGCCTCGCCAATATCTAGCATTGTCTTCGATTGAGTCCAAATGCAACACTCTTTTGCTGTCGTCTCTTTTCTTGAGTTCTACAAGCAGAGGAGCCCAACAGAACTCAATTGATGTCTCAAAATCCTGCAAGTCATCACCAAACTAATTAGTTGCTTTTAATAACCAAATTATGTAAATGTGATCCAAAAGGAAATTTGTGTTCAGAAGAAAGGAGAAATGATTATTACCAGAGAATGGAAAGACATTGTAGGACCATTGTAAGTGACTTTCTTACGATGAGTGGGAATAACAGACTCTACTAAGCAGACAAGAGACTCCCACTGGTTCCTCATCATTGAATCTCCAACCAGCATTATTCTTTTCTTCCTCATTTTCCCCAGAAATTTCAATGCGTCAAACCTAAACCCACATCAATTACTTTGGTAAGTAAATCACAGATAATTACGAACACAAAAAAAACTTGTATGTTTGATTCATCTAATTTCTATATTCTACTCATCTTTTATTACCATTTATTCCTCATGCAATTACCATTTGGAGTTACTATAATCCTAACCGAAGTTTCTTATGGAGCGAGATTTAAAAAGAAGCTAGAATCTAATATATAGTAGGAGTGTGATTGTGGTGTGTGCCTTGAAAGTGAACAATCCTTAGGGATCCATCTCCATTTCTGGTAATGAGAGTCAGGTCTTCCATTTCTCTGGCAGCTTAACGCAGAGCTCAGATATGGACAGTTTGATTCATAGAGCGGATACGTTTCGTCGTAGCTCCATTTCCCCACAGAGTAATCGCACTTCTCCTCTCTTCTTTCGCGCCTTGTCTGCAACGCGTTGAGTGGATCGTTGTCGTCGTCACCGACTAGCCATAGCTCATCAAGCTGCGACGATGCTTCTTTGCTAAGGATGAAACACAGAGAAAAGAAGAAGAAGAAGAAGAAGACTCGAGTGTTTAAGGTAGGCATTCGGTGGAAACTGAGCAGTGTGGGATTGGAGAAAGAAATGTTATAAAGAAGATAGGGAACAAAAAAAGTGGATAAAGTGAACAGAGAGTTAATTACGGAAAGTGGAGTAATTAGTAATTAGTAGTTAGACTTGTGCTTGAAATCATGTTCCGTGACTTGCGTCTCCTCTTTACTCCATCATGTCCTTTTTTTACTTTTTCATAGATTATAGTATCCGAGGCATGATTCGCGAGTAATACCAAAACTTATGGTTAAAAAAAACAGATCAGTTTTTTCTTAATCAGTACCCAAACCAAACCGATATAGTAGACAACAAAATCCATGTAAACCAAAACACTTCTTTCTTAATCAGTGTCGAAGACAAGAAGTATAAAAAAACCAATGAACAAAGGAACAAACCAAGAGTAATCGGATAACTGAACCAAAGAAATGTAGGGTTTTGTTGTAGAGACCCAAAACTCTCCCTGCCCCCAAAAGATCTTAAACAAACCAATTTATGATCCAAGACAAACCGATTCAGGCACAATTAGATATGTAAAAGAGTATTATAATGAAACTGAGACATAGCGACAAGACTCTTCTTTCAGCTTTCACTCTCCTTCATGCTTATCAAATTCACACCGTATTAAACAACATGACACACATATTTTTTTTTTTTGGTTAGCTTCTGTACCAAACAGGTATCATCTTAATATGTCAGTCCATATTTCAGAAAATCCATTTCTCTTTATCATCATCTGGACAGGCATCATCTAACCATGATTGGTGGATGTGCATCCACATCAGCTTTTGCTTTTCCTCCTTTTCATATTAATAATACATTTTGAGTTTTTCAATATTGTTTAATCAATCAAGTCAACTGAAATCTTAAAGGACATGGAATCAAGGTTTACCTGGCAACTCAGCAAGACTCTTGTTGAACAAGACCGTACTTTTCCCTCTGAATACAACCCAAAACAAACAAGATCAAAATGTTAGAGAAAACAAACAAACCAATATCTTAATCTATCACCTGCAAGAACCAAAGATCAAACAACAAACACTTCCTAGAAACATAATTGTATTAATTGGCTTGTAGTACACACATTAAGAAGGGTTTAGATGACCGTAGCCTCTGCTAAACCATTTTCATCACTCAGACAAGTCATAAGTAGATCTATGAAGCAGAAATGAACAGAATAAAAAGAAGAAGATGAACATAATATGGCAATGGTGATTGGTACAAATTTGGTAAGGCAAACAAGATAATGGTTTTTTGAAATAAACTGGCGCAGGAGATTGATCAATATCTCAGAAGACATATCTGAAAAGATATCTTGAAGAAGTAGATTTCTTACCAGATAACTCATGCTTGTCAAATTTTGCAAGCCATGTGTCTGAACTGATATGAGAAGAGGAAACTTTATCCAACCAAATGCGAAACTGCTTTTCCTTCCCTTCCCCATGTAAACTTTCCAACTCATCTGTCCATTCATGTATCGGTTTCTCCACTCCCGACGGATGAACGAATATACCAAGTGGACTCTGAAACATTGCAACAGTAAAACAATTAATCAAGACATCTTCAAAATTATTGTCATGCGTTTATCTAATCCAATCTTTCATCAACCTCAAAGAAGTAAACTGCTCCTTTATATTTGAATAATATATACATTTTAAAAGCATTTTCTAGCCAGCGAAACGAAGACGAACACTTACAGAAAGTGATTTCAGGTTCTGCAAATACTTGTCAGACTTCTCCACCTCTCCACGGCGCCACCTCTCATAAAACAAGTAAAACTGAACAACCTCATGAGCAGGATCCAAGATTCCCTCCTGGAAATTTTCAGAATCCAAAACATCTCTTGGAGAGACGCTTGGTCCCAAATTAAACCTTTGTAAGGCTTCTATCATGCCAGCTCCACATCTCTCGGAGGCAAGAATTATATTCGGGTTGTCCTTTGCATTCTCTTCATGCCATTGCAGTAGCTCTTTGTGCGAATTGCTAACCTTAAACAGTAAAATAGCATCACAACTACAAGAGCAAAATCAAGTACAGTATAATCAAACTTAAAAAAGTTACACTTTGAAGCTAACCATTACACCATACGCCTGAGGAATGTCGAAGAGCTCAGCATCGTTTCCAGAGTCACCACAAACAAGTATGTTAGAAGGCTTCTTCCCCTCAGACTCCAACTTTTCAAGTAGATAAGTCAGAGCCCCTCCTTTGCCAGCTCCTCTTGGTAATACATCGAAAGCATAGTCGTTGCTATAGACCAGCTTCACTTCCACCTATCCGAGATTTTACAATCATCAGCACCAAAACGAACAATATCTGACAAGAACAGCCATCAAATTCTCACCCCACGATCCTCTAATATCCCTGGAAGAACCTTCATTATCTTCATAGCTTCTTCTCTTCCCACAAAGAAACTCACTTTGTGCTGCTCTTGGCTCTTCTCTGGCTTTAGCAGACAAAAAACAAGAGCTTTAATCCATAACAAAAGATTAAGTAAGTAAAATTAGAAAATGCTTCTACTCTGCTAATCCATTGTCATGTTAAGAGATGTGCTTAAGAACATAATCTTGACTTTGAAGAGAAAGTCTAAGTCAACACAGCAAGAAATCATCTATACGTTGACGAATTCTAGATTAGACAGTATACCTGTAGCTCGAGTTGAGGGAATTTAAGAGTTTCCTCAACAACGATGTCTCTGTTCCACATTTCATCCAAACGAGCCTCCCAGACATCATCCGACACCATCGATTCGCCGCCGTAGACAATCTCAGAACCGACAGAAGTTATGGCGATGTCGGGAGTCAACAAGGGCTTCTTGTTCCTCAGGCTCAGGTAAGAACGCAGAGACCTCCCGGTGGAATAAACAAGCAACGAATCGTGGCGATAGTGTGCTTCCCAGAGCGCACTGAATCTAAGAAGATCGTTGTTTTCAGGATCATCGTGATCAACCTGCGGAGGAGAATTTGACTTTTGGTTGAATCTAAAAACAAAAAAAAAAAAGTAAAAGGATTGTGTGAGAGGGAGGAATTAGGAATTACGAGTGTGCAATCAAGATCAGTAACTAAGATGAGACGTGGTGGTCCATTAAGCCTATCCATCGTTATCCAAAGGTAATCTCTTTGCTTCTCCCTTGCTACAGTTTTTTCGTTTGTCTCTTTCTCCCTTGGGGATTTGACTTCAATACGAAGACAAATCTTCTCTTTTGGTTTGGAATGCTTTACTGTATACTACTATATTTCTTTTTAATATTCTTAAACTATAGAATATCAAAGTTGAAATTTTCCTTAGGCACGTATTTATATTGTTTAAGAATCACGACCAAAAGAGAGGACTTCTCTGCTGCTCACCTCGGTCAAAATGGGGATATCTGTGTCGTTTAATCGGTAAGTCTTTAGTTCTTCGCCGACGGTAAAAAACCATGACGGTTAGCCGTTAACGGCGACTTCCAATAATACAATGTTCAGATTCCGATAGAAAGTTCACTTCATTGCGGTGCGGTTGCGTCATTTCAAGGAAGCACCACATGATGCAATCACAAAAACATTGTGCTATAACCATAATAGCCACAAGCGTAACAAACAAACAAAATGCATAGTTTCAAGCGTTATATATGTTTGAAGACACTTTAGCATAAGAGCAATTTTATTTTAGACGACATGCAATCAATCTAATCTGAGTAACGCAATCTTGAAAGATGGCTAAACAAATAGTGGGTCCATTCATGACGTTAGGCGTTAAAATATTGATGTTGATAGTTTGAAGATCATAAAGCAAAAATTATTTAATAATCTCATAAATGACCACTTATATTTTTACCTGATCTTAATAAAATCCAGATGTTAAAAAAAATAATATATTTTTACCTTGCCTTTGTATTAGCAAATTTTCATATTGTATGAAAACCCTTTAACAAGTTTTTTTTTTTTTCATATTGTTATGTTAATTCTTTAATTTATTAATGTTATAGTTACGAGAAGAACGGTTTTATTCCCAGCGAGAGAAAAAAAAAAGAACGGTTTTTCCCCATTTGTTAATTTTTTTTCGCCCGATTTGTTTTTTTTTTTTGCATTTTTTTTTTCGTCCGAGGCTAAAAAGAAAGACGAGGATGAAGAAGAAGGAACCAGCATTATATATCAGCAGAAGCCTTCTCTGCTCTTGAGAAACTCGCAGCTACCAGGTAACAAAAACCCTAATTTTGTTCCTTCCCTTATGATTTTTTTTTTCCTTCCTTATTCTCGAATTTCCCTAGAAATTCACGAGGATGGAGATGGGAAACGGCTGTCCCCAGCAAATCGAATTACTAAAAAAGGCTTTTTAAACGAAGTTTTCTCGATATTCAATTTCCGAATGCCTGATTCGATTTCTCTCTTCGGAATTTCGGTGATTGATTTATGTGCAGTGTGTGTTGCAGGGTCAGTTTTCGCAAAGTGATTGGATGAGCTTGGATGTAGAAGTGAATCCAAGAGGAGGTCCACTCTTGTTTTCGTCATCAACGTTGTCACTGTGGCCATCATGGCACAGCAACAATCTTCGCGACTCAATCGTCTCCTTACTTTGTTGGACAGTATCCTTGATTTTTCGTGATAGTTCCTATTGCATATGTGGCTGCCCTTTTTGTTTTGTTGCGTTTTGGTAATGTCTTTCTCGTTTATCGCCTTCGTATCCTAATCGTCGATGACGGTACGTGTTCTCCTTGATTGTATATTTCCTCGTAGCTGGTTCAACACAAGCTACTCGGCTTACTGCAGCCAGGCAGATCGGAGATATTGCCAAGTCTCATCCTCAGGACTTGAGCTCTCTTTTGAGAAAGGTATACTTCGTTTTCTTGGCTTTCTCCAATTAATGGGTGTTAACTTATAGGGATAGGATTTCGTTCTGGGGTGTACTTTTGTTGATTGTTAGGGCATCTGATTACAGAGATATAGGGCTTTGGTTGATTGTTAGACTGATGGGAAAAATAACTGAAATGCCAGTGACAGTAGAGTAGATTCGTTGAGGCTTGCAGAGATAATCAATGTGGTGTGTGGTTTATGAGGCTACATGGTGTATGTCCTGCATTATAAATCTCAATCTATTGTTGGATTCAGAGATGTCATCCCCTGTTCGATGGATTTACTTCTTACATTGTCCAATATATATCACAAGTCCCTGCATGCTGGAGAAAGTTGTTCCATAGAGCTATATACAACTAGGATTCCTAGGAGCGCCTCCTATTGTTTGACACCTAGTTACGTTACATCTTTAATAGGCTGTTGTCAGCATTGTTTGAACATACCCAGCAGATGATCTATTTACCAATACCGCTCCTAAAGAATGTTGAATCGTTGGATAAAGAATCCAATGGACTTCCAGAACGGAATCTTAAGTAGGTGGACGACCTGCCTATCAATTTTTTTGAGGATTTAACTCGTATTTCTAGAGTTTCTGTTATTAGATTGAAGCTCAAGCTTTGTTAGAACATCTAGTCTTGTTCATAAAATAATATTTCAATTCAGGGTAGGCTTTGTTTTCTGGAAACCTTGTTTCTTCTGTTTTTGGGGTATCATATCTCTTATAATATTCTGTCTTAGCATTATAGTTTGTTTTACATATTTCTAAAGTGCTAAGTTGTTCTCTATTTTAGATTATCCTATTTGTACCTGTGGTTTAACTCTATTTTTCCGGGAATTAGGTTTTGCATTACCTCCGTAGTAAAAAGTGGGATACGAGGGTTGCTGCTGCTCATGCTATTGGTGCCATTGTTCTGAATGTCAAGCATACTTCATTGAGTGAACTCTTAAATTCGTTGGCAACAAAATTGGGCGACGCCGGGATATCTGGTAATGTAGATGAAGTGGTGGCTTCGGGCAATCTTCAGTCCAAACTTCTAGCAAATACTCCGTTCAGAAGGTTATAAATAGACCTGCTACGAAATACATATGTTTTGTTTTTCATTTACTGTTAAGACATAGTCTTTAGATGTCTTCGTCATGTTAATGTTGCCCAATTCTTTCGATGTCTCTAACTTTTGGCATGTGCTAACAGCTTTGAGATGAATAAGGTTTTAGAGTTTGGCGCTTTGTTGGCATCTGGTGGACAGGTAATTTTATCATTTACCATTGTTTACTTGTCTAGGTGAATCTGTAAGCTTTCAGCTGATTTATCTCTGGTGTATTTTCTTAACTGATGTCTTGTGTTAGGCCTAGGCAAAAGATCTTTGTGGAAATTACATTTTTGTTAGTCATTAATTGTTTGGAATAAGTAAGCCACTGGAATAACAGAAAGTTCGACGGCAATCTGGTTAAATTCTTAGAAGCGTTTTAGATTGAATTAAGCTCTCTCGGCATCGTAAGGAAACATGTTTGATAGTCGCTACTCTTGAGTTCTCCTACCTTTTGTTATTGAGGATCACATCCTTAACAGAATTGAAATTATAAGCGGGCTTTTTTTCCACCAAACATATCCTTTGTCAGCTGCACTCTGTAGAAATTGTTTTTTTTACAGTTTCATGATTTGGCCTTAAGAAGTCCTGTTACTCTGTTTGTAGCCTTACTGCTGTTTCAACACAATTACTTGATGGAATATGATGCACTGCCTTCGTTTTTATTTAGAACTTTTGGTTTAGGGAGTATGTGAAACCTTCTGTATTGCTTCCTTTATTCTTACCCATTTTTTTTCCTCATACATATATGTTTTTTCCTTTGGTATAACAAACCTAAAATCAGAATCAGATGGTAGCCAAATTATTAAATGTGTACGGAATAACTCCTTTTGTTGCAGGAGTACGACATTTTGAATGACAAATCCAAGAATCCAAGGGACCGAGTGGCTCGTCAGAAAAAGAATCTCCGGCGACGTTTAGGTCAGTAGTTTCTTGGGTTTGTCTTCTCTTCTAATAATCAAACCATGAGGAAAGTGTTTGAGATATACTAGACTAGTATATATGTATATTATTTTGAAAATCAGTAGATGCGTAAATCCATTCTTCTAAGTTTATTATATCACTACTATGAGTTCGTCTCGTCCTTTGTAAAGGTGACTCTGTATGCACTAAATGTTTTTTGTTTTACTTGATTGATGCATCTATTGAATAGACTTCTGACTATCCATGGAACAGGTTTGGACATGTGCGAGCAGTTTATGGATGTCAATGAAATGATTAAAGATGAGGATCTTATTGAGCAGAAGTCCAATGCTCATTCGAATGGAGTTGGAAACAGATTATATGCAAATTATTCTCCACATCATATTCAACAATTCGTTTCAAGAATGGTTCCCCGTGTTAATTCTAAGAGACCAAGCGCAAGGGAATTGAATCTACTGAAACGTAAAGCGAAAATAAGCTCAAAAGATCAAGCTAAAGGTAGCTGCGAGGGAGCAGATGTTGAGATGTCTTTGTCTCATCCCTCAACCTCAAAAAGAACTTTGTCTGATTCATTGGACTCTAACAAGGTATTTGGATAATACATATTCGTAATGACGGATAACTAACTTGTTTAAGTTGACTTGTAGAACATACAACCAACTTGAAGTCTCAGTAGTTCATTGATATGCTATCCTAGGATTCAGTTCTCTTTGGTGTATAATCTTTAACAAATGTATAGCCCACACATAGGTACACATTTTACTTGAAAATAGAATCGCAGTTGTCATACTTTGTTTGAATAATAAACGTCAAGCTGCATGAGGAATTTTCTTACTTTTGAGTTCTAGGCACTTCGTGATTTCGGCAGACCAAAGTTAACACTGTCTTGTTTCTTCTGTATATGCTACTGGAAAATTCTTAGGCAAACATTGGTAACGAAGATGATATCGAGCCTGAAGGGGATGGGAGATGGCCTTTCCACAGTTTTGTTGAGCAACTTATTCTTGACATGTTTGACCCTGGTAAGGTTCATGTACTTGTGCCATTTTACTTTGCTTTTCACTTATTGAGTTCTAGTAAAGTTAACTAACCATCCGATAATATGGTCAGCATGGGAGATCCGCCATGGCAGTGTAATGGCTCTGAGAGAAATATTGATGCTTCATGGTGGTTCTGCTGGAGTGTCAACAGCAGAGTTTAGCTCGGATAATGGGTTTGAGTTGAACGAAATCTTGAATAAAGTAACACGAGAGAGAGAAATCGACTTGAATACGCAATTTTCAGATAATGAGCTGGAGCCACTTCGGAAAAGACCTAAGACTGAGGATCCGTCAAATTCATTAATTGATAACACAATTCTGGAAGTTATGGGAGGTGACAATG